GCCCATTTCTGGTGTCCCCTGCCGTGACATTGCTGGAATATTGCTAAAAGCGGCGTAAAGCCATTTCTCTCACTCCATTAAGTCACTTTTAACAACCAGCATAGGTTGCTGGGGAGCAATTCTAACTGGAATCCCTGATGTACATACAAACAGTGTTTTTCTGCATTGGTAACATTTTGAGAAGTTAGCTGTACCATCCATGTCATGATGTCAAGTCCTAGTTTGTGAAAGGCTGTTACAGCCGGACTGCTCATGCACTGACCTTTGTGTCAGTTTGGAGGTCGGCCAGGAAAATGTCATCACTTCCTGGGAACCTGTGTTAGTTGAATAAATCACAGATGATGAGGATGAAGGACTTTCAGCGTTTACTGATACAGAAGTTGATGAATTGTCAAATGAAAAGAAATACATTTTAGTCAAACGTTCCACAATACATTTAACTCTTAACACATCTGAGCTTTGCTGACATACCCTAGTAAAATATTCATTGTAATGACATTTCAGTTGGATTAATTCAGCTGATAAGGTCTGATCGTTGATGGTGCATTCTCAACCATTTCCCTTCAAAAGAACAAAAATATGTCAAGTCGGTTTTTTTTTCAAAATAGTGTTTGGCAGTAAAATTTTAATATTTCATGGAAATGTATTTTGTGTGTGAGAAAAATGCTTTAAAATAAATACCAGTGACCTTCTAACTTCCTGTGCAGGTGGTAATGTTTTCCTAATTACTGCCTCCCCTGGTAGTGCTACTTCCCTGACACCACCTTACAATGACAACTGACTTCACTCTGACAATAAGCCACAAAGCCCTGAAGGTACACCAGAGAAACACTGCCACATTGGACTAGGTGATCTGTGGCAAACATAAACATTCAACAACGCAATCAATTGATCAATTACTAACCAAATAAAACCACAATTAGTATCTTTGTTGAAAATACACTCTTGTCTGCCAGTGTATTAATAGGACAGCCTTACAAGCTCCAGATGTCAGCTTCAATTCAATAATAGTGCAATATCGATCTCGCCTTCATCGCTGTCGTCGCTGCTACCTTGGAGTGCGACTGGTTATTAAATCTGTGGCCCTGATCCGTTTCCGAGTAGAGAACTCGTCAGGGATCAATATAGTTTGAGATGCGTAATTCTCGATTTGTAGATGTATTGACTGAATGGTAAACATGTCGTGTGTCTTTATGTCGGAGCTGATTCAAAATAATCGCTAATTGTTATTGGCAATATCACACCTTTTTGAGTGGAGGAGCCAAGGTGACTTTCAAATTGCTTTGATGACTTTCCCAAGTTCAAGGTCATTAGAGTCATAAATCGGATACTGATTTAGTTATACAATGGCTTGTTTAGAAACTTGGAGTATTGATGTACAGGTTTTAGTTTTGATTTACTAATATATTCCAGATATGGCATACTGATTTAGATGAACAATGGCTTGTTAAAAAAACTTGGAGTATTGATGTTGAGCTTTTCGTTTTGACTTACTTAATATATTCAAGATACTGTATGGCATACTGATTTAGATGTAAATGGCTTGTTTGGAAACTCTGGGTATTGATGTAGAGCTTTTAGTTAATGTATGGGAGTCATGATCGTTTAAGTGCCAAGATTTCATTGTGCACGTCGGTCCAGGGCCCCTATGATTATCGTAAGTTTCTGTTAATGTATCGGTGTTACGATCTGTGTGAGAGCTAAGATTTCATTGTGCAAGTTGACCAGAGCCACTACGACTATCGTAAGTCTATGTGAATGTATGGGTGTTACGATCTGTGTAAGAGCTAAGATTTCATTGTGCAAGTTGACCAGAGCCACTACAACTATCTTAAGTCCATGTGAATGTATTGGTGTTACGATCACTGTAGCGCTAAGACTTCATTGTGCATGTGGACCAGAGCCCCTACAACTATCGTAAGTCTATGTGAATGTAAGGGTGTTACGATCACCGTAGCGCTAAGACTTCACTGTGCATGTGGACCAGACCTCCTTCAACCTCAGTAGTTGTCTTCTGTTTGGTTTGTCGAGTAATTCTATGTAATGGCTGGGCTTATGTCAATGACCTAAAAGACTCTGATTGTGGCGGGGTTGCTCTTGTCAGTACTTCCGATTCATTAACGTGATTGGAATGTGTGATCAATTAAGAGCATCTCAATCAATACAGGTTATCTTGTGATGAGGTGACACAGCTTTGAACCAGATTGCACAATTTCCCGCTGTCCGACTGAATGTAAGCCATTTTGCGTGTTGTTACCACGGTGATGGGAACCCCGTGGGTGGAATTGAGGCGACGTTTTTGATTGAATCTCAGACAAAAAGATGCAGATAAATCTCTGGATCTTTGGGATGGAGACGTGCTGCATCATTGAAAAGCCATGTTCAGTGTGGGAGGCATCTGCTCTGTAGAAAATACTTGACATTGTCACTCTTTGAAACAAGACTGTTTTAGAGAAACCAGTCTGTACCAAGTGTGTTCCTAGGTTAGCAAACACCATGGATCACCTTACCCCTGAGTTTCACTTGACCATAGATCTCTATGCCTGCATCACTTCAGGCTTTCCTTCCACATCAAGCAGACACATGATCGTGATGTAACTGGAATACTCTTCAAAGATGCACTAAACCCTAGCCACTGTTTTCACAAGACTATTAAAGACAATTATTTTTAATAATTCTCGATTGAATAGAAAATCTTATTTGATAAAAATTTATTGTATTTTTGATATCATTTTTTAAATAATTTGGACAAAATGGTGTTTATTTCCAGTAAAGGAAATGACACATCTACTATTCTTCACAGGCTGTGTGACCCGTGAAGATCCGGGGTAGAATAGGTCTTCAGCAACCCATGCTTGCCAAAAAAAGCGACTATGCTTGTTGTAAGAGGCGACTAACAGATCGGGTGGTCAGGCTTGCTGACTAGGTTGATGCATGTCATCATGTCCCAATTGCGTGGATTGATGCTCATGATGTCAACCATTGGATTGTGTGGACCATTATTTAAAGAGCGCTGTCAAACAGCTGGTATATTGCTGAGTGCGGCGTTAAACAACAAACAAACAAACAAACACAGGTCGTGTCTATGCCTTGTATATACTGACAAGTTCTTTCATTTTCTAGGTGTTGAACAGCTGTTAGGTTCAACTGATATTATACTTTTTGCATACAATGTGTTAATAAATGTTGAAGCAAGGAAGAAAAGACTTCAGAATTTTCATTTCAACAGCTGTTGAGCTGTAATAATTGACTAACAGTATGACAATGTTATCATGTTATTGCCCCCCTGTCACAGCCGGTGGTGAATTGTGGGATATTGTGCTGCGTGTACAGTCAGGAGGATACGAACAATGGGAACGCCAAACCTGAAAAATATTCAAATTTTAACTAAAATTTCTGAAAAGTAGGACAATTGTCAGTCAATTTCAGCAGCTCTGATTAGGTTGAATATTGCTAAATTTTAATATTTGCATACTCACTCACTATTGGTCAATTTCTAGGACTGCAACGATGCACCTAGGTCACGATACGATACGTATCTCGATACTTACAACACGATTCGATACGTATCTCGATACGCTACGATACTCATAGTGACAAGTGAAGACAAGATATAAATGAATGAAACTTAGTTTATTGAAATGAAAAAATAAATGAAAGTGAATGAATTTTCATGAGTCATAAACACATACCATAAAATATATACTGTAATGAGTATTTTCACTCAATGAATAATCTGCCATTTCCATGTAATGGCTAGCAAACACAAAGGTAACAGTCCTACATGAACTAAATAAGTACCAGTAACTTGCCATTTTCACAGTAAGTCCCCAGTGGCTTCTCTGGCAAAGGACGAGCGTCTGCTTTTCCTGACATGTTTGACTTAGAGGCTGCTCAGCCAATCAGAATGCTTGCACAGCCGCTGTATTTTTGAAGACGTACGACAATTATATTGTCCCTACATTGAAATTCATTTATAACACATTTAAAACGTATCTGTAATAAAAGTTTATTAAAAGAATGTATCGTGAAAAATTGAGATACAGCACCTCACAAATCGCGCACCGTAGCGTATGGAGTGAATCGCGATGCATCTGTGTCCCTGGATATCGTTTCAGCCCTATCAGTTTCTGCTGTGATTCCAGGGTAGAATTAGTCCCTAGCAACCTCTGCTGGTTGCTAGTGTGTCATCGTACCCCGATGGCCTGAATTGTTCACAATATCAATCACTGGATTGTCTGGTCCAGACTGGATTATTTACAGACCGCCGTCATCTAGGTAAAATATTGTTGAGTGTGGCATTAAATAACAAACAAATATTGTTCAATTGTTTTGAATGTTTGTGAAGCAGTTGTTAGGAAAGTGACTTCATATTGAAGCATGCAATTAAACATTTGTATACCTCTAAAACATTCAAAATAAAGAAAGAATTGAACATACATTAAACAACATTTATAACGAACTGACCGATATAACGAACCTATTTTTTTCGTCCTGGCCATTTGTTGTGTACATGCTGTATATATGCTTATAATGAACTACGGTTATTACGAACTACAAATAGTGGCCCCTTTGAGTTCGCTATAACCAGAGTTTACTGTATATGAACAGTCTAATTGTAATAGGGGCGGTCGGGTAGCCTAGAGGTTAAAGCGTTCGCTCGTCACGCCAAAGACCCGGGTTCGAATCCCGACATGGGTACAATGTGTGAAGCCCATTTCTGGTGTCCCCCGCCGTGATATTGCTGGAATATTGCTAAAAGCAGCGTAAAACCATACTCACTCACTCTAATTGTAATAATATTGATGTCTCTGATTATTCTAGAACTACGGATTACTGAATTTACTGTACTGTGGTCTGTTTATTATGTCACAGATGAGAGATGTTTTCATGAACAGGGGTCAGCTGCTGAAGCTACATCTCGACATCTTACCCAGAACTGATGCACAGGAGCAGCTGCCGAGTTTGCACCCGGTTCATGGGTCGTCTTGTTGTTTCAGTGGTGCTGACGTTCGTCAACTGTTACGACGTGAAATGGGCAACGAGAGTCCAGGATGTGTTTACCTACGCCAAAGTGTTAGCGTTAATACTCATCATCATCACAGGGTTCGTGCAGCTGGGTAGAGGTACGTATTACCTGGTGTTTTAACATTTTGTATGCTAGATCCACCAATGCAAAGTGTTAGCGTTAATACTCATCATCATCATGATATGATACAAAAGAAAAGTCTGTGCGTGTTATACATGACAGATATATTTTTCCAGAATTTAATTGCCCGTAATTAAGGGTGCATATAACATGTGAGTGTGTATTATACACGAATATATAAGTCTTGTGTACATTGATCAATCGGAAGGGGTGCTAATTGGGATTTTCACTAGCCAATATATTAGCAAATATCGCTGTGGGTGCTTATTAGAGCAGCGTGCTTATTACGTCGAATACGGTAACTCTTTGACTTTTGTCACAAAAAATCTCCTTCTTTATTTCCTTCATTCCATTGTCAAAGAAAACAAAATGAAATCTTGCTGATATTTTTGGGTTAAAAAAGTGTAACCCATTAATTCTCTTACCTTTGTAAACAGTGAAAGCCCTCTTTTTTCCCCAGGTCAGTTTGACAGTTTCAAGAATCCCTTTGAAAACACAGAACCTGATATTGGGAAAATATCCTTAGCCTTCTACTCGGGCTTGTTTGCCTACAATGGGTGGTGAGTTTTTTTTGCTGACTTAGCTTGAAAACAGTTTAAAGTGCAGACACGTAGCAACACACATTTATAAAAAAAATTAACATTGCAGTCACTGATTTTAGTTTGAAAGTAAATTTTTATGTAATTTTATTAAGCAAAACCTGTTTTGGAAATATTAATATGAGCTTAAGTGACTTGTACATGTAGAAAAGTTTTAACAGTCTAATTTCATGTAATTTTGTCCTACATTGAAAATATTTGAATGATTTTGACACAGGACAATACAGATAGGTTTTGTCTCTTTGTTTCAGGAACTACCTCAACTTTGTGATAGAGGAATTAAAAGATCCTTACAAGTGAGTTTTCTCATTAAAACACATCTTTTGTATTTTCAATTTTTGTGTATTTGTATTTTGCCGTAAGAGGCAAAAATGTTTGTCGTAAGAGGTGACAAAGGGGATCAGGTGGTCAGGCTCGCTGACTCGGTTGATGCATGTCATCATATCCCAATTGTGTGGATTGATGCTCATGATGTCAATCACAGGATCTGGCCCAGACTTGATTATCTACAGACCGCCGTCATATAGCTGGAATATTGTACATTCAGTGGAGGGGATAGGGGTGTGGTGGGTTTTTTGGGAGTGCCATGGAGGGTTCGGGTGGGTGGGATTAAGAAGCCCCAGGTGCGGTGATAAACAACAGACTCACGTAATGTTTTTATTGATTCTGTTTTCCCAGCCCCCCCTCTCTCTCTCTCTCTCTCTCTCTCTGTGTAACTCTCTCTCTCTGTGTCTCTCTATCTCGGTAACTCTCTCTCTCTCTCTCTCTCGGTAACTCTCTCTCTCTCTCTCTATGTAAATCTCTCTCTTGACAGTGTTTAGTTATTGTCATGGAGTCATAATTACCCCAAATGTCAGCCTCATATTTCCATATTGTTGTGTTTCAGGAACCTCCCGAAGGCTATCTGGATCTCCATCATCCTTGTGACCATTATCTATGTGCTGACCAACGTCGCATACTTCACAACCGTCTCGCGTGAGGAGATAGTCGGGGGCGCGGCAGTCGCTGTGGTAAGTAAACATAGACGAGGCTCTTTGTGGATTTAACACAGACAAGTTTAGTTTCCTCTTTTTAGGTTGCAGGTTAAATTGTGTATCCTTTTTTTTCTAAATGTTTTGTTGGTGTTATTGTCTGAATATTGTATTGTAGGAAGTTAACCTCAAGTGAACTGATCAGCGTTTGTTATTATTTCCTTTGTTTTTAATGACTCTCAAAATCAGTGAAAAAGAGTTATTGAATTGGTCTCGACTAATAACAAGAAACTTAATTACTTATACAATTTGTTGAGACAAGACAGTGTATTTGAAAAGCAAATAAGAGCTAGTACTAGGGCTGGGTCGGGTAACTCGGGTACCCGGGTTGGGTGGGTACTGAGTAGGACCCGGGTACCCACAGGACTATCGGACCCATGGTTAGTCACGTGATATATTGTTTAGTGACAAAAATTATTTTAAACTCTATGCTTACACTGCAAGTCACTTTCTTTCTGACTTTTATAGGTTTGAATAAAAATATAACTTCATTCAACTTCAGTGATGCAACACTAGATCGTTTTATGTATGTAAGAACATTTTGCCAGGGCCATGGTAAAGCTTTACCCAATCGGACTGTTTGTACCGATCTCTGGAGACCTATAGCGGGTAATAGGGGGTGGGTACCCGGGTAGTAAATTTGGACTCGTCCCAGCCCTAGCAAGTACAGAGATGTAAGTTACTCAAACCCAGTAAAAGAGATTGACTATTATGCAAGGGAGATAACTCTTGACGTTCCTCTTCCAGATGTTCTCCAAGCGTCTGTATGGCTTCATGTGGTGGATCATGCCCATTTTTGTGTCTCTGTCAACCTTCGGCGGAGTCAATGGCATCCTCTTCACTACTGCCAGGTAAAAAATAAACAAATATATAAAATAGTTTACGGATGTCTATATCTCAAGGGGTTTGCTGGAATTGGACCTGAGCTAAATGGATTGGGAGATCAGGCTCTGTGACTTGGTTGATTGTGTGTCGGTGTACCAGACGTGTGGATCGTGGCTCATGATATCGATCACTGGACTGTCTGGTCAGATTTGATTGTTTTCATACAGCTGGAATATAGCTGAATGTGTTGTTGAAATACAAACAAACAAAAACCTGTACAATTCCAGTAATTGAAATATGTCAGGATATATCATTTGTTTGTTCGTTGTTTAACACTGTACTCAGCAATTTTTCAGATATATGACGGCAGCCTGTAAATAACCTGGAACAGACAATCCAGTGATCGACATCATGAGCATCGATCTACTCCATTGGGATTTGATGACATGCATCACCCAAGTCAGCAAGCCTGACCACCTGATCCCGTTAGTCGCCTCTTACAACAAGCATGCGTTGCTGCAGGATATGTCCACTGTCAACATGACTTACTGTTTACTGTTGAAATAAAATAAACTGTCAGTGATGAGTGTGACATTGTAAATGGCTTGGCCTGGAAGATGGCTACAATTTTGTGTTGACCAATTTACAATCTTGGACTAGTTTAGAAATTAACGATTGTTGAATGTCACCGTCTTGCTGTTGATTGCAGGTTGTTCTACGTGGGCGGCCGCGAGGGTCACATGCCTCAGATTCTCAGCATGGTGCAAGTCCAGAGGATGACCCCTCTCCCTGCTGTGCTCTTCATGGTGAGTCCAGCAGTCAGTGGGTACCCGGTAGGATGAGATCGTAATGTCTGTTACCGGTAACCTTCTAGTGCTTCACAGGGTGAGAAAGAAAGCACTGATCCACTTACCGGGGTAATACTAGTGCAGCACTTCAAGCATTGATTGATTGATTGATTGATTGGCGCTGAACAAGTTGATTGATTGATTGATTGGTGCTGAACAAGTTGATTGATTGATTGATTGATTGTCGCTGAACAAGTTGATTGATTGATTGATTGATTGATTGATTCACTTTTGAAAATGTGTCATTGCTGTTTTCTTAATATGTTTCGGGGCGGTTGGGTATCCTAGTGCGATTCCCTACATGGGTACAATGTGTGAATGGTACCCACCGTTGTGATATCGCTGGAATATTGCTAAAAATGTCGTAAAACCAAACTCACTCACTCACTCACTCACTCACTCACTCACTCACTCACTCACTCACTCACTCACTCACTCACTCACTCACTCACTCACTCACTCACTCACTCACTCACTCACTTCATGTATTTTTATTTATTGAAGGGACTTAGTTTGGGCCAATTGGAATACCCAAAATAAATTTGAAACAGAAAAAGATGAAATAAAATATTTAAAATAATTTTCTTTTAAAACGATTAGGAAATTCAAAACTCCTTTTGTTTTGTCATCTTAATGATGTATTTCGGTCCAGCATTTGCTGATTATTCTCATCACACAGAGACAATGTCTCCGTGGCACACAGGGCGCTAGTTACAATGTGAAGCACACAGTCCCACTCTAACCAGATCTGCCATCACGTTGTACACATTGTCAACACACACTAACCAGATCTGCCATCACGTTGTACACATTGTCAACACACACTAACCAGATCTGCCATCACGTTGTACACAAGCAACACACACTAACCACGTCTGTGTCGTCCTCAGGGCCTGCTGTCGCTGGTGTATCTGGCCTCCTCGGACATCTACGCCCTCATCAACTACGTCGGCTTTGCAACGTGGCTGTCCATCGGCCTGTCTGTGGTTGTGTTGCTGTACCTCAGATGGAAGAGACCCAACATGCCTCGACCCATCAAGGTACGACACGGCAGACATATTGCTTCTTACAGCACTGTTACCCGTATGGATGATGGAGAACTTTGTTTTGTACAGATGAGTTTTTTGGGCAAGTCTTCTGATATCAAGCTCCTCGCAGCGATAGCCCATTTGCGGAGCTCTCTATACTATCTCTGCCCCCAGTCAAAACTCCCCACTGTGATAGGTGACCACAACCATGCTTGGAGTTGAACTCGCAATTGAATGACCGTTATGTTTACAAACAAGTGACGACTGTCGTGACGCCATTCACTTGCCCTGCTAGTTACTTTTCTTTGTTTGTCAGTTTGAATTTGTATTTCGTTAAAACGATCATGTAATTGATATGGTAAGAATGTAAGGGAGAAGTTGGTTGATTTTCCGTTCGTCTGCAATCTCGAACCAATCTGATTATACAAACAAACAACAAAATAAATTCATCTGGAAAACATGGTCAGTCGTAAACCTTTTTAAACTGAATTATGATCGCATTCCCAAAGACATAAACAAAAGTATAAACGTTACTACATTTGGGGTTAGAGGGAAAATTTCAAGATTCCCGTAATGGCTGCGCCCACACTGGAGGCAACGATGTTAATGAGAATGTAACAAAGGTGTCGCGCGCTGGGAAGGAGCTTGTTCTGATATGGTCAAAGGGAGATAATCAGTATTTACCATTGCACAAATTATCTCCCTTTGTTAACTTCTATTAGCAAGAATTTTGACATCAAGAAGATGATGGTTTTCGTTAGCAAGAAATAATGTTAATTTTCAGTAGAGGTGTGTCATTATTGATTATTATAAAAGTTGATTATGTTTAAAAATAGTGAATATTTGTTTTTTTAGGTTCACCTTTTCTGGCCAATCCTGTACACATTGTGTTCCATCTATCTGGTTGTGCTTCCCCTCTACGCTAGCCCAGTAGAGACAGGTATGTACCATGTACCATGTACCACCATGTACCACCATGTACTACTAGGGAGGAAACTGGTCTTAGTACTGTATCATACTAAAGTATATACTGCTCTCTCTCTCCCCCCCCCCTACCAACCGACGCCACCCTTTTTAGATAACATTTTTTAATACCGTCTCCCTGTAATAAATTATCACTCCTCATATTATGTTCAAATTTATTAAAAAAAATATATCTAAAAAAATAAAATGTCATTATTTCAGCACTCTCCACAGTATTTTGCTGTGTCATGTTTTCACCCCCCCCCCCCTAATCTTACAGCCCCACCCCCCTCTCCCCATAATAAATGACCACTTCCTAATGTTCTAAATGTAATTCCTCATCTTTAAATACTCTGTGAAACCAGGAAATCTGAAAGTGTCCTCCTCATTAAATGATCTCCCCTTACGTTGGCTGCTGCAGGTATTGGTTGTGCCATCATCGCCACAGGAGTCCCTGTGTACTTCATCTTCGTGTACTGGACAAACAAGCCCCAAGTCTTCGACAACTTCATGGGTAAGTCATTGTAAGGGTTGTGGAAAGCTAAACTTTGTCCACTTATTCCCAGACTAAACTGTCCAAATCTTATCTCCCCTCTCAAAAAAACCCCAACAAACACAAAACCCAGCGGACTTTTGACATTGAGGTTTTTGACATGTTTTTTTTCTGATCTAGTTAATCACCAGTTTTTTTAGGTTGTTGTAGGAGACGACTAAAGTGATCTGGTGGTCAGCTGACCTGGGTGATTGTGTGTCATTGTACCCAAAAATATCAATCACATTTTTATCAATAAAAAATGGCCGGTGAAAAACTTAGAAAGGGCCACATCGCTCACCAACATGGCGTCCGGTATTCTGTTTTCTAGCTGATGTTAATACAATACGAAATAAGCTTCTGGAATATTGCTGATTACAGCGCAAAACAACTTCACTCAAATGACTTCGGAAATGTGGGGAATGTTTTAGGTAGATACTGTCTGGAATACTTTAGATGGTTATCTGAAATCGAAAAACCAAGTTATGTTTTTAAGGTTGGTTTTATGTGATTCTGAAACATCCAATCATTGACAGCCGCAAGTATCACAGTTACTGTCTGTTGTAGTGCCATTTGGATATTAGGTACATCATGAAGTGATTTATTTTTCATGCCACGCAGCGGAAGGGGGATATAGAATGGGTTGTCGATCCATCCGTCTGTAAATCACATTTCGTTTCAACACCATGAGAGATATCTTAACCAAACTTGGTACATAGATAGATATTGTGGTGAACTGGTGCCTATTGATAGTTTGGAATTTTTTTTTCAAGTTTCTAACGCAATGACTTTGACTAATGGCTTGCACACACGCGGACATGTCATATTGGCTTGTTTGTATTGTTCTCATACACCCAAGAGGAAACAGTCAAATGGTCAAGTGCTCTTAAAAATAAAAAGTGGAGGTGCTTGTTTAGGTAAATCAGGATATTATATATATTAATTAATTTGTGTAATTCCTGTTCACTGAACTATGCATGTTCTGTTTCAGAGAGCACTACAACCATGCTTCAGAAGCTCCTAGTTGTCGTCCCAGAAGACAACAAGAAACAATAATGACTATGAAGCTTAGGATTTTCACCTTTCTACCCTCTTACACAATGGACTCGCCCACATCAAGAATTCTCATTTTGATCAGATAATGTCATTGCAGTTTGGACCATCCCAAAACCAAACCATCACAGGGCAGATTAGTTTTGAAGATGAGCATCTTCTTGCTGAACCGTTAGACTTTCAACAGGGGATGATTTGTTATAGAATTGACAGGGCTTGCTCGACCAAAGTGATCTTGCCTGTCTTTTTAAATTTTGTTGAAATAATTGTTGATGTTTCTAGCATATACTTAAGATAATACAGGAATATTTGTTGGCAGACTGTTAGACAAAACCTACTGATATTATTGTTAATGAGTTTTCTTTGCCTTGTCATGCAATGTTAATATTAGCAGATGCATTGGGGTTGTTTGGCAAAATATCTCATGAAATAGGTTTGAACAAAAACATATTTTTTTTCAGTATTCATAATTTGTATGAGTTTTGTGTTATTGAAAAATCCTGAATATGAGTCCATAAACAAGAAAATATACACCAGCGTCAAATTATTACATCCTGATGAAAATATGTTAAGTTTTAAAACAAACCAAGGTGCTTACCTTATTCGACGTAATAAGCGCCCAGGGAGCTCTCAAAATTAGAAATAGGGGGCTCTTATTAGAATATTATTTTGGTGGAAAAAAAGAGTTGAAAGATAAATTTCGTGGTTTATGCTGACAGCCTAAAATGTTTATATACAACAGATATATTATTCCAGAATTTAATTGCCCATTATTTAGGGTGCATATAACACACAAGTGTGTGTTATATGCGAATAAATAAGTCTTGTGTATATTTATCAACCGGAAGGGGTGCTAATTGGGATTGTTCGCTAGCCAACATGTTACGAATATCGCCGTGGGCGCTTATTACGTCGAATATACTAGTTCTTATTCACAAAGCCATTGTAGCACAATGACTCAGGCCTCAAATACTTCAACATAGACATACGATAGTCGTAGGAGTAAGATTGTTTTGTGACTCTTCTTTTGATTACATAAAAACAAGATGTTTTTATAACCTCGTACCTTTATTGTATTGATTGCCTAAGAAGCCTAATCATCCTCATCATAATCATATTCATGTGTGTTAATAGAACCCCTTGAACAGTGCTGACAGATCGTGATAGTGTTGGTGTGTGTTGACACTAGATCGTGGTAGGTGTTAGTGTGATGTGTGAACAGGTACATGGGCCACTAATTAGCATTGCCACAAAGGGCACTCGAGGGGTTTCACAATACATTCAGTGCGGCCAAAACTCTTATAGTGACTCAATGGGCATTTCTGTCATCACAGATTTTTTTGATGAAAAATATATTTGTTGAAATACCAAGCGTTGTAGGTGCAATTTTAAAAAGGTTGAAAAAGAGTGTTCTAGCAGGAATGGATGATGTGATGAGTTCTCTGGGAAGGTCCCGAGGCTCGAGTTCCGGATACTTACTTGGAAACCAGTGAATATATCCAGTTGCAGAAAACACCCATTGATGGCTGTGCTAGGATTAGTAATCCTATTCTACTGCTAGGTTTACAATTTAAAAATGTTTAAAAAATTGATATGCATTGTGTCTAGTAATCGTCATTCGTTAAGGCGCCAAAATAGTCTTACATTTCATGCCCCCAAGGGCAGGTAACTCTAATAAGCCAACCCCAAAGCAGACGTGAAACAGAATTTACTTTCCCTCTCAGCTTCAAAACTGTTTTATCAACTATTGATCTGCTAGACTCAATGCAACCTAAACATGAGTCTTTGCTGACTGCCAAATATCGTAAACATATTTATTTTATTTATTTGTAAATTTTGCAATAAAAAACAACGGCATTATTACAGTACTTTGTGCAATATAATCCACAAGAACTGCCTACGTTTTTGGTTTGATAAAGTTCAGCTCAACTACTGGCTGCTTATAATAATTGTTCTGCACATACCTAGTTCAAAACAGACACTGGAAAATCTAGAAATACCTTTTCTGTACATGGCATTTAAGAATTGTTGCGTTTTCAGTTTCTCTACCAATCGTTAATGACAGCTGGGTAGGTTGATGCTAGGGGCATTGACACCAAATGCCTGGGTTAGGTCCCCCTTTTGGTATAATCTGTGAAGCACTTTTTTGGTGCCACCATCCCTGATACGGCTGAACGAAGCTAACAGCAGCATCAAACACAACTCACTCCCTCACCACTTCTGACTCCTCTGGTTATCACTCATCGACAGAGATGGCACCGGTGCCTTAAGTTCTGATATTTCTGCATTAGAGCAGGAATCCCATCAGAATTTGGCATGAGTGTTATAAACAAATATTTTAATCCATCACCAGATCTTTTATTTTTTACTAAGAATAAGAACAGAATTCTATTTGTCTAAAATGCTGACAATCGACTTGATATTAAATATAACCCTTATGATGTGTAGATCCATGCGATCAGTTAGAAAATTTCTTGCCACTAACAGTTTTTGTCTTTTTTTCATTTAGCATGGGGATATTTTTTAAAAATTTATTTCTGGAAACTTGTCAATATTTGGGGCAGTTTCCTCAAATGTTATATTTCATCCACTTCCATTATGAATTGTTTGTATACAAGTTATTTAAACTATATTTTTGTAGTTCCTTTCACCTTGCCCATTGAACCTTGAGTTTATGAGCGGAGTGTTATGTCGTGCAGTTTCTGTAAACAGTTTTACAGAGAGCTTCTCATCCATGTTGTAACAGGTTTAATAAACAACAAATATATTATCTTTACCATGACTGAGTGTTTTGGTGTTAATTGTTGGACAACATGCAGTAATTAAGTTGTGTTAAATACTCGTGTGACAGACGATAACTTGAAGCAGCATTTCATCCAAGAAAAGACAAGTGCTTCTTGTTACTTTGGTGTGGTTGTTACAGAAACAATACCTGACTGTACATGTTCGTTTTTGTGTTTGTATGTTGATGAAATATATGTTAAAAAATTAGCCTCTAAACATATGAATTGTTTTCTTAGGGTTAAAGATTTTCAATGAATCAAGATTCCTAAAATATTGAATATGTTTATTGAACATATTTTTTGTGAGTTATGTGATTCTCTGGGGAATCACTGTCAAACAAAGGACAAGGTTTGATAAGAATCCATTTGGGGAAATAAGCCATTCTTGAAATTGTTATGAAAATTAGCAAATGTGCTCATGTAAATAACAATACGACCTATCCATTTCAACTTTGGATTTCTTCTGTATAAACAGACCTTATCATACCGAGTCTTTCAACAACTATTACCCAATTTGCAAACCCAAATTTGATTGTATTGATATGGATACAGTGAGACTAGTTGTTGTCTCTTTATTATCAAAATGTATGGACTGATCACATGTGGCAGTTGCCATGGAAACACTTATGACTTGTTTATCTACTCTAGCATGGAATTCCTCCATCAGTACCAGTGCTCATACACTTAATGAAAAAACACTTTTCAGACAAACAACCTAAAACTAGAAAACAAGGCTTGGGCCAGGTATTTGGGAAGCGTTGTTTCTCATTTTTTGTTGATTTGTGAATAATAATATTTTTTGTCAAATAAACATGATAAATAAGCACATTTTTTAAAATGAATCTCATTGTAGAGTGTAGATAGTTGGGTATACCTGATGTTAGATATTTGTTGGTAATTCACATGACAATTGTTTTTGACATGATTAGATTTGTAAATTAATTCTTTGGGCGTTCTGGCGTTTGATATTTATAGATGGGGTGTACAGGTATGTAAACTATATTTGGATATGCTTGCTACACAGAGGGTGTTATTATTTTCCTTGTGAAACATAAGTCTGTAACATGCTCATACTGAATGTAACATTGTAACATGTCATTTACCTATTTTAGATTCACTTGGAGAAGGGACAGTTGTTTGCTTTTAGAAACATGACATAATATGGGTGTTAAATCTAATTTTTGGATTGAAGTGATTTTAGATAGCTACGTTTTCTGATTAGTAATTGTACAGAATGTTTTAGAATGTTGTAGGAATAACGATATGGTATAGGTTATGTAGTTGTGATTGGCAGTGTCAGTTCAATGTCTGTCCTGCACAACCAGATCCTGTTTTCAACACAAGGGCAGATAACTCCATCCACACCTTCATGACCTATTTGTATAAGAAAATAAAGAAAAATATGTGAGATCATCGGATCCATTTCATACTTGATCCAGAGGAGGTGCATGATTGTGCACCCCAAATTTTAAAACAAAAGAAACATTAAGAAGCCTTATCGATTTTTGGGTATGTGTCAACGCTATAACTAGTCATTTGGGGATGTATTTTCAACAATATTTCATGTCTGCCCAACATGAATTTGAAAAAGAAAGCTGTATCCTCGCTGGATTTATACCAAAATAGAAAACCGAAACACAAACTTTCTAAAACATACCACTATTGACAATTAATAACTCAACATTTTATGAGGTGGTGAGTGTGTAGCTAGCTGCTTGCAGGGAGATTGGGTTCCTTCATAGCTGTGTGTGTGTGTGTGAGTGTGAGAATTGTGCTGGAGCTATTGGTGACTGCACCAAGATATTATATCTGTGAAATGTTCTGAATCTCGACCCATGTGGAGTTGATCACTTATTGCAGTGCTCCAATATACTTCATGTCTTTATTGCTAGTAGATGATGTTATACCCCCAGTCAGTCGTCAGCCCCCCTCTTGTGTAGAGTGATAGAAAAATCAATACTGTTTGTCGAGTTCTCTGAAGGTGCCTCAGTCGCATTGGAGTCTGTTTTACTCTATGATACCACTATTGAATGAAGATCTGACAACACATCCCGAAACAGTCTTGTCAGTATACCCCGTGTGAACATTGATCCAGTCAGATGTCAACTTTCTTTTTAAAAAAAAATGGCTTAATTTCTTTCCAATTTTATTTGGAAATTTTGACTTTTACAAAAGAAAATGTACACTGAACACAAATATGTATTCATGGTATTCTATTTTGGATGTAGATGCCATGGCTCTCCAAAACGGTGCATAGCATATCAATGATGTAATGGTGGAGCTTTTATTATATCCATTTGGAACTGTCAGTTTAAGTTCATTTTCAGGATACAGAAATTAGACATACAACTCTGAATGCTCTTGACACTAAAGGCTGTTTAGAAAGTTCACCTGACACACATGAATTAATTGTCAGATGCAGAGGCGGTATTGTGTAGGAGTAAAAGATCTGATTTACTTGAGCTTGGAACGTGACTTCAATGGAGGTGTCTGGTACCGTCACAGAACATTTGGAGATGACAGGATACAAGGGTGCTGTATATTAAGTATTGCTTTTTGCATGTATTGAAATCCTTGATCATTTCCAGACTTGTAAAATATTTTTCTTATGCTGAAGAACAGTGACGTGTGAACTGTGATGCATTCCTTGTAAAATGATATGGTATTGGCAACTGAGGATAACAGTATCTCCGAGGACATTGTTGTTTGTTAGGCTAGTTAAAAATAGATCTTGTTTCTCATAATTAACTGGGTATGGAGGAAGGGAGGATTTATTATAGACTTGCACGAGTCTCTAAAATTTATACTTTAAATCGTAATTCCTGGATTATGTCAGTAATAAGAACTATTGTGTGTAAACTTGATTCTAAGGTGCCATACCCACAGCAGCTCGAAGAGATGAACATGCAGAGTCCCCTGCTAATCACGCACAACACGAATAGCATGTAGTGAACAAAAAGTTGGAATCTAATGCAAAATCGAAATTTGAGCTGAAAGAGTATTCTAAACAGTGCTTAAAAATATAATGACAAATAAGGGTTGGTCTTGAGAAACCACAAACCTTTTTCAACAAGTCTTTGAATGATTTGAATCAACAGATCTGATACTTGAATGACAACTATGTATGATCGGAATGAAATATTCTTCCATCCAGAATTACTGAGGTTCAATGTTCTGGCTATGGAGATGAACAATAGTTAATGGAAAAATACAAGACTATTTATTTCATGGCTGAATAGATTCAACTTTTAAATGGTTCTGCAAATTCAGTTTAGATGTTTGTCCGGCTGTTTTATATCTCAGTGTTATGTAAACCTGTCTCACATTATGGTAAACATTCGAATACATTTTCAAATACACTGCCAGATGTTGCAAGATCATTTTGTTACAGGCAGTTTTGTGATACCTTTGTTTTTTTGTTAATTTATTGGTTGACTTTTTAATTTGAGTTCCTTAATTAACAAATACTAATCGGATAATAGTGTATCGAGTCATGCATCTCAACTGAGATATACGCATCATATTCAAGTAAATTGTTTAAGGCAGGATTTTGTAGGTGTGTATTGTGTATGTGCATCCCACTGGTAAAACATCAGACGGGTTTCAATTTGTCTACATTGTACAGGTAATCCCCTGATGGTGATGGTGATATTTTGAACTTGTTAAAACACAACCGTCATGCACCTAAAATGTTTTTGATATGTAAATTGAGATGGAAAAGAACTTCATTAATATTTGTCCCTTTGATCAAAAGGTTGGTAGAGCAAGGCCAATATCCAGCTTTTAACATGATTTATCTGATAGATCTTGCCAAATTTGTAATTGTGAAATTTTTCATCATCTGATGAATTTATTTGTAATTTTAGTAAATTTTCTTTTTTGCCATTTACCAAACCAAAGTATATTTTTTTAGCTTGTAAATATTTTTTTCTCACAACTGTACACTAACATCAGTTTCCACAGCATTTTAGTATTGGCAATTATTTTTTTATGGCATTGAATGAGCTTTTTTATTTTAAATTTAATTGAATTGTAGTAAATTTGTTAGCAAAATATTGTACGGGTCACCATCAACTCACTCAAAGGCTGTTGTTTGTTGTATGAAGAAATGGGTATTTAATTTGATAAAATTGGGTCAAGTTACATTCCACACAGAAGATGCTTTTTAACTTTTGAAACCTGACCATAGTTTTCTGAAAAGAAAAAAATGAACGATTTGATCAATCTTGCAAAAGTGTTTTCCCATTTTTTAATTCTCAATAATTCCTGAAGGAAAAATGATTTTTGAGTTATTGATGCCTCTTTCTGTCATTTGTGAATTCCTCAGGTGCAATATTTTAATGTTTTTACTAAAATGTTAACATATTTTTTAAATTTTAATTTCGATTTTATGACGTATTACCTCTGAGCATGACCATGTATACAGATTTTATTTGTGATTTTGATGTTACTGAATTTCAAATTCTTCGATGGAGTATGGCCTAAGTAGATAAGTACCCAATCAAAAAATCAAATATTTCGAAATTATTTTTTAAATAGTCCTGATGGATATTTGTTGAAATAGCATGTCAAACATCTTCATGTCATCAGATTTGAATGTATTAATGTTCAATACAACATGGACCTGCCTCCTAATATAGCTTTGTGCAAGGGGCTGAATGAAAAAAATTAGTAAGTATGTTGATGTTTCTGTTTTGTTTATATACTGTGTCTGATGTACTGTATGTGATGGGAGCGTTGGTTGAATAGTCGGTAATAGGCTATAAATTATCTGCTGGCTATGTACACACTCAAGAACTTAAATTTTCCACCACCTGAAAACCTAGTTGCTATGTTTCAGTGTTATACAGGGAAATACATAGCTGTGGTGGAGACATTAATGTACCTAGGCTCCGGTGTACATGTTTATGTGTACAAAGCTGTTTGTATGGGTTTGCTGATGCTGATTGTAGACAACCTTGTAGAATACTGTAATAAAATATTTAGACTTATTGGAGAAGTTCTCTTTTGTCTTTTGAGACCACCTCATGGTCTAGTGGTAGAGCGTCTGTACGGAGAGTGGAAGGTCGGGGGTTCGATCCCCAGCCATGTCATACCAAGAGTTAAGATGGTACTTGTTGTTACCCTGCTCAGCATTAAGGGTCTAAAACAAGGACTGGTCAGCTTGGAGTCAGTATATAGTGTCTGAGTAGGTATCCATGTTAAACTGCGGCATGGTTTCTCAGTGGTCTAGTACTATAAAGTCGGCATTAGTCCAGACTAGTACAAGCAGCCACACACGTACAAGCGCATTGCTAAAGTGCAATAATCTTGAACGCGATGTAAGCCCCATTTCACCTCAACTGAATCTTGTGAAGAGGGGTGATAGGAAAGTTGTGTACCAAGTACTAGTGACTCCCTTGTTGGCTGGCTCAGAATGTAAGTCCCAAGTAATCTGTGTTTGTCAGGTTTGGCGACTCTGTTGATTTCACGCACCCTGATGTGATGTTGCTCATAATATCAATCACTGGTTTGTCTGGTTCAGACTCGATTACTGACAGGTAGCCATGATTGGCTTGAATACTGCTGACTGAGTCTTTAAAGAGCAATGTTATTTGTGACTTGATACACCCAGTGTCGTCTCCACATGGATAAATGTTTAGAAGCCCAGTGATCAGGTTCTGCCACCTGCCTTCAGGAGTCATGTTCCAGGATATGCCAATTCCCAGTCTGACTCTGTTTCAGCACCATTAACCACATGGAGTTTATCTCACATTAGAACTGACGACTGTTATGACAAACCAGTAACCTTGTTCCTATGTGTGGTGTCACCTGGATTTAGAGATGATTCTACATGGATTTGAACCTTTCAGTCTGGTTTGCCTGGTCCATTATATATGGCCATTCGTGAAATTGTCAGATCCAGACTTGATTATTTTCAGGCCACCTTCATATTGCTGGAATATTGCTGAGTGTAGCGTTAAACAACAAACAAACAAAACAAACAATGTATTCATTGTACCATCATGTCGTCATAGCGTCCATTGTTGCTCATGCTATCAACCACCGATTTGCCTCGACTCCATTACTTGCCATGACAACTGAAATCTGCCATCTTTGCATTCACTCACTTTGTTCACATTTCACAAAGCCCATGTGACCTTTGAAAAAACCCAGAGCAACAAGATTCTGTAGCTCACCTGAATTATGAAGCAATAATTTTATGAAACTTCAATCTTCGCGACAGGATTCACTTTGGGACACGACCCCGAAATATAATCGGCTAACATGTGAGTGAGTGAGTGAGTTGGGTTTAACGTCGCTTTTAACAGTATTCCAGTTACATCGCGGCGTGTCAGCTTAATGTGGGAGGAAAGCCCGAAGTGAGGCAGGTCTCAGACGTTTACCACTTCGATGAAACCCACGAGCAGGGGTATGGTGCTGACAAATCTAGAAACATAATTGGGGCGAACCGGGATTCGAACCCACAATCATAGGTTTCTGGTATGCCCAAGGGACGCAACTCTGCACAGCGAATCGCGGCGCCTTAGATGACTGGGCCACCCGTGCCCCCTCGGCTAACATGTAACAGAACAGCACAGAAAACTTATGTGACAATGATCTCATTACAATTTAGTGTTTGCGAACTGCATCCAATCTAGCCAGTTTCTGCATATGACACCATAACTGACTATAGAACACACAAAGTGCCTGTTTATAATGCCCTGTATTTCAATGTTTCATGTGATAGCAAATACTCCATCAGTTTGCATGAAAGGGGTGACTTGATAAATACACAAACCTTTTGTGAAAACTACACTATTATTTTGACATCCTAAAATAACATAAGCAGGTGGGATGTTTTCAAATAAATTTGTGATGCTCCCACTATATGTAAGACTGAAAGTAGCCTTTGTAGTTAGCAGTTCGCATTTTTGAAAACATAAGCACCTTAAAAAGATTGCCATATTGTTCACATATAAGAAACAGCGAATGAAAAAACAGCTCCGAGCAGTGAGGGAATATTATTGATAGATTGTGGTGTAATGTACATTAGTATATTATTCAATGTACGTTATTCTCCGACATGTTTTGGCCATTTATGGGTTTTTCAATATGGCTGCCATGTCGGCCATATTTAGAATAGGATCTGAATTCAGTTTGCACTTGATGGAGACACCATAGATGGGATTCATGGAAAATTACTGCTTCATAGGCCTTGGAAGATTTAAAGGTAATGTAAAAAATGTACAAGTTAACGACGGAAAAACCAGACAGTTCACCATGACAAGCTCACTGCCAGGTGAGAGTTGGTAGAATATTGCAAGTTGTTCACAAAATAAACAAGAGTTTGCCACTAACGTGGCTATATCCCCCGCCCCTGTTGCAGAATATATGACATAATGAAATCTAAACAAACCCTAAACTTTTTTAACCGAGTTGGAACTTGTCATGGAAATGTAAATTTGGAACCTAAGTCCATCTTGTTGCCATGGAAACGTAAAAAATAAAATTTTCTAAAATTTCAAAATAGCAAAAGGCACCAGTTCAGCATGTACTTGACAGACCTGCAAAGTTTCATGAAAAAATATTGAACGCCTTCTGAGTTATGCTCCGGAAACGAAACGTGATGGACGGACGGAGCCCATTTCTATATTCCCCGCCAACTTTGTTGGGCGGGGGATAATAAGGAGCAAGACACCAAACAAACTAGCACAGAAAAGGTTTATGTAGAATGTTAACATCAAAGATCATGTAATAATAACAATTTCATTCAGCAACCTCCATGTTTCTGTTCTCAAGTTCATACAACAGGATCCTGACCGGAAAAATATGGCTTGATCGGTAAATTCCATTACATGTAAATATACCTCTTGACTTGTAAGCAACATTTGACACTTGCAGGGTGTATGATCCATCCTTTCAGTTAGCTGTAATTTTATATGGCTGATCACAACACATAGCCACAGATGTACAATGATAGTGAATTCATTGGCAGTGATTGCCATTCTTAAAATAAACCTTGATCATTATGTATAGCCATTAACAGTTGCTTTGGTTTAATTTGGGTAGTTTCTTACCAAGCTTTGTTGTTGAAAAGCATGCAAAAGGTAAAACAAAACATAATATAAAAATTGATCAGCAAATACTAGTGTCTTGAATTTTGTATGCCACTGGTAGATATTAAAACCCTGGAAAAAGTATCCATTACATGTGGATTTCATCTGGACTATAAAATCAACAGGACAAGATAGTGTACTAATATCACATTCAATGAAATGAACATGTCAACAACTGACTGACATAAATAAACACATATATAGTATACAGAAATTGTAATAAAAACATGTCAAATATTATACAGAAATTGTTATAAAAACATGTCAAATATTATACAGAAATTGTTATAAATACATGTCAAATATTATACAGAAATTGTTATAAATACATGTCAAATATTATACAGAAATTGTTATAAAAACATGTCAAATATTATACAGAAATTGCGAGTCAACTTCCTCCTTGTCCTTTTTGCCATCATCATCATCATCTGACATCATCATCATCATCATCATCTTCAACATCCACAACATCATCATCATCGTCAACATCCACAGCACCATGAGCAGCAGTTTTAGGGATAATTGTAAGTAAAAACACATACTTGTGTTTCAAATCTTTGTTTCATTTACAACCCAAATGGAAACAGCCATAAAGAAATTATTGTTGTTGCTGAAGATAGTTTGACCAACAAATTTGAAGAACTTTGCAACTAACAGCAGTTCGAAGCAAGCCATCTGTTTTAAACATTTAAAAAATTTATTTAATACAGAAAGAAAAACACCAACCCATTAATTTCAGGTTACCTTAAAACACAAGTATCTTTATGTTGGCCTGATCAGGTAGAAAACATTATTAAAACAGTAACTTTAATTTAAAGATATCACCGAGGGTTTATACTCATCATGCTGAAATTTACTTCATCTGAAACTATTTCACCAAATGTCCTTTTGAGACACTCAGCATCCTTTAGTCAAAATCTCTGTTGCTTTAGAATATTTATAGACAAAACATTTCCCAAAACAAAGGGAAAGCTGTGTCAACATAACAAAATCTCCGCTCCAAAATGTTAAAAGAATCATTGCATCTATTAAACTTAAAGAATTCCACTTTGAAATTACTCTAGCTGCATCTGTATCCACACACATCCTGATAATGTGGCCAGTTTTACACAGGCATAATTCATCTCCATGTCAGAGTATATACTGGACACAAAATACTGCATCTCAACCTCAGACAAAAAATACTGCCTCTCATTAAGACACAAAATACTGCCTCCCATAAAGACACAAAATACTGCCTCCCATGAAGACACAAAATACTGCCTCCAATACAGTCACAAAATACTGCCTCCCATACAGACACAATATACTGTATCTAAACCCAGACACAAAAAACTGCCTCCCAAACAGACCCAAAATACTGATTTCCATACACAGACAGGAAATACTGCCTCCCATACAGACACAAACTACTGCCTCCCATAAACAGACAGGAAATACTGCCTCCCATACAGACACAAAATACTGCTTCCCATACAGACACAAAATACTGCCTCCCATACACAGACAGGAAATACTGCCTCCCATACAGACACAAAATACTGCTTCCCATACACTGACACAAAATACTGCCTCCTGTACACAGACACAAAATACTGCCTCCCATACAGACACAAAATACTGCCTCCCATACAGTCACAAACTACTGCCTCCCATACACAGACACAAAATACTGCTTCCCATACACAGACACAAAATACTGCCTCCCATACAGACACAAAATACTGCCTCCCATACAGACACAAAATACTGCCTCCCATACACAGACAGGAAATACTGCCTCCCATACACAGACACAAAATACTGCCTCCCATACACAGACAGGAAATACTGCCTCCAATACAGACACAAAATACTGCCTTCCATACAGACACTATATACTGTATATAAACCCAGACACAAAAGACTGCCTCCCATACAGACACAAACTACTGCCTTCCATACACAGACACAAAATACTGCTTCCCATACACAGACAGGAAATACTGCCTCCAATACAGACACAAAATACTGCTTCCCATACACTGACACAAAATACTGCCTCCCATACAGACACAAAATACTGCCTCCCATACACAGACAGGAAATACTGCCTCCCATACAGACACAAAATACTGCTTCCCATACACTGACACAAAATACTGCCTCCCATACAGACACAAACTACTGCCTCCCATACACAGACCCAAAATACTGCCTCCCATACACAGACACAAACTACTGCCTCCCATACACAGACCCAAAATACTGCCTCCCATACACAGACACACAATACTGCCTCCCATACACATAAAGGAAATACTGCCTCCCATACAGACACAAAATACTGCCTCCCATACACTGACACAAAATACTGCCTCCCATACACTGACACAAAATACTGCCTCCCTTACACAGACACAAAATACTGCCTCCCATACAGACACAAAATACTGAATCCCATAAACAGACAGGAAATACTGCCTCCCATACAGACACAAAATACTGCCTCCAATACAGACACAAACTACTGCCTCCCATGAAGACACAAACTACTGCCTCCGACGAAGACACAAAATACTGCCTCCCATACACAGACACAAAATACTGCCTCCCATACACAGACAGGAAATACTGCCTCCCATACAGACACAAACTACTGCCTCCCATGAGACACAAAATGCTGCCTCCCATACAGACACAAAATACTGCCTCCCATACACAGACAGGAAATACTGCCTCCCATACAGACACAAAATACTGCCTCCCATACAGACACAAAATACTAAGTGTACTGTAGCTTTGTTTTGCTGATAGTTATTATAAATCTTATGATTAAATCTAGTTTGATAAGGATTACTACTAAAAATATATATTTTGTTCTTCTTGATGGTATGATACAAAGATGGAGAAAAGGAAAAAGTCAACACTGTCGACTGGAGAGAATAAGAGAGAAAACTATACCCTTGGCACCAACCGCCAAGAATAGCAGTCAAAACTACCGAAGGTTCCAACTGCCCCAATATAGAATCAACACATCTGAGGGTTCCAACTGTTGGGAAAGAGAATCAACACAACCAGTTGTTCCAACCACTATCAACTGCCAAGTATATGAGTTGACACAACACAGGGTATCAACTGTCAAGTATATGAGTTGACACAACAGAGGGTATCAACTGCCAAGTATATGAGTTGACACAACAGAGGGTATCAACTGCCAAGTATAAGAGTTGACACAACAGAGGGTATCAACTGCCAAGTATATGAGTTCACACAACACAGGGTATCAACTGCCAAGTATAAGAGTTGACACAACACATGGTATCAACTGCCAAGTATAAGAGTTGACACAATAGAGGGTATCAACTGCCAAGTATAAAGTTGACACAACAGAGGGTATCAACTGCCAAGTATAAGAGTTGACACAACACAGGGTATCAACTGCCAAGTATAAGAGTTGACACAACACAGGGTATCAATTGCCAAGTATTAGAGTTGACACAACACAGGGTATCAACTGCCAAGTATAAGAGTTGACACAACACAGAGTATCAATTGCCTAGTATAAGAGTTGACACAATAGAGGATATCAACTGCCAAGTATAAGAGTTGACACAACACATGGTATCAACTGCCAAGTATAAGAGTTGACACAACAGAGGGTATCAACTGCCAAGTATAAGAGTTGACACAACACAGGGTATCAATTGCCAAGTATAAGAGTTGACACAACACAGGGTATCAACTGCCAAGTATATGAGTTGACACAACACATGGTATCAACTGCCAAGTATAAGAGTTGACACAACAGAGGGTATCAATTGCCAAGTATAAGAGTTGACACAACAGAGGGTATCAACTGCCAAGTATAAGAGTTGACACAACACAGGGTATCAATTGCCTAGTATAAGAGTTGACACAATAGAGGATATCAACTGCCAAGTATAAGAGTTGACACAACACATGGTATCAACTGCCAAGTATAAGAGTTGACACAACACATGGTATCAACTGCCAAGTATAAGAGTTGACACAACAGAGGGTATCAACTGCCAAGTATAAGAGTTGACACAACAGAGGGTATCAATTGCCAAGTATAAGAGTTGACACAACAGAGGGTATCAACTGCCAAGTATATGAGTTGACACAACACATGGTATCAACTGCCAAGTAGAAGAGTTGACACAACAGAGGGTATCAATTGCCAAGTATAAGAGTTGACACAACAGAGGGTATCAACTGCCAAGTATAAGAGTTGACACAACACAGGGTATCAACTGCCAAGTATAAGAGTTGACACAACAGAGGGTATCAACTGCCAAGTATAAGAGTTGACACAACAGAGGGTATCAACTGCCAAGTATAAGAGTTGACACAACACAGGGTATCAATTGCCAAGTATAAGAGTTGACACAACACAGGGTATCAACTGCCAAGTATAAGAGTTGACACAACACAGGGTATCAATTGCCAAGTATATGAGTTCACACAACACAGGGTATCAACTGCCAAGTATAAGAGTTGACACAACAGAGGGTATCAACTGCCAAGTATAAGAGTTGACACAACACATGGTATCAACTGCCAAGTATAAGAGTTGACACAACACATGGTATCAACTGCCAAGTATAAGAGTTGACACAACAGAGGGTATCAACTGCCAAGTATAAGAGTTGACACAACAGAGGGTATCAATTGCCAAGTATAAGAGTTGACACAACAGAGGGTATCAACTGCCAAGTATATGAGTTGACACAACACATGGTATCAACTGCCAAGTAGAAGAGTTGACACAACAGAGGGTATCAACTGCCAAGTATAAGAGTTGACACAACACAGGGTATCAACTGCCAAGTATAAGAGTTGACTCAACAGAGGGTATCAATTGCCAAGTATATGAGTTGACACAACACAGGGTATCAACTGCCAAGTAGAAGAGTTGACACAACACATGGTATCAACTGCCAAGTATAAGAGTTGACACAACAGAGGGTATCAACTGCCAAGTATAAGAGTTGACACAACAGAGGGTATCAATTGCCAAGTATAAGAGTTGACACAACAGAGGGTATCAACTGCCAAGTATATGAGTTGACACAACACATGGTATCAACTGCCAAGTAGAAGAGTTGACACAACAGAGGGTATCAACTGCCAAGTATAAGAGTTGACACAACACAGGGTATCAACTGCCAAGTATAAGAGTTGACACAACAGAGGGTATCAATTGCCAAGTATATGAGTTGACACAACACAGGGTATCAACTGCCAAGTAGAAGAGTTGACACAACAGAGGGTATCAACTGCCAAGTATAAGAGTTGACACAACACAGGGTATCAACTGCCAAGTATAAGAGTTGACACAACACAGGGTATCAATTGCCAAGTATAAGAGTTGACACAACACAGGGTATCAACTGCCAAGTATAAGAGTTGACACAACACAGGGTATCAATTGCCAAGTATAAGAGTTGACACAACACATGGTATCAACTGCCAAGTATAAGAGTTGACACAACAGAGGGTATCAACTGCCAAGTAGAAGAGTTGACACAACAGAGGGTATCAACTGCCAAGTAGAAGAGTTGACTCAATAGAGGGTATCAACTGCCAAGTACAAGAGTTGACACAACACAGGGTATCAAATGCCAAGTATAAGAGTTGACACAACAGAGGGTATCAACTGCCAAGTATAAGAGTTGACACAACACAGGGTATCAACTGCCAAGTATAAGAGTTGACACAACACAGGATATCAACTGCCAAGTATATGAGTTGACATAACACAGGGTATCAACTGCCAAGTATATGAGTTGACACAACACAGGGTATCAACTGCCAAGTATAAGAGTTGACATAACAGAGGGCTTCAACTCCGAAGAACAAGAGTCTAACACAACAGAAGGTTTCAACAATCTGTCACTGGAAATTCTGATGGAGATGGTGATGGATTCTGCTGGTGAAAACAGACAATAGCCATGGGATGTAAGGGGATACAGATACTCAGGGGCTCAAATTGTCAAAACACACAAAACCTAGTAATGTATCTACCAAGATCAAGCCACATAATACCTACTTGTCCCTATCGTCCTACTGATGTGGTCTGTGGTGTGATGCTGAAAAAAGAAATATTCAATTAGAAGGCAAGCTACAGGTTTGTCAAAATGTATCTCTTTATCTCAGTAATATCCATACATCTATCCCAGCAACAAGATGTGACAACTTTGAAGTCCATTGTTACAACGTGTGTTCTGGCATCATGTTACTTGATTTTAGTATAGGGACCATTATCAGCAGATCTGACAAGAACTTTTAATGAGACTCAAGCTTACCGATTTTAAAAGGAATCTATTCTTAACATGCTACCCCTGCCAGGGTAATTGGATTGTGATGATGGAGCATGCTGCAGTTTATAAAAACAAATTAAATTATCTCCAAATACTGTTTGGCTTGGAGGCTTTGAAAACAGTGAGAAACAGTAAATAGTAAATACTTACATGTTGAAGTGGGGTAAGTTGAACAGTGTGCAGATGATGATGATGACTTGTGAGGAAGATTCGAGTTTCTGTTTTCATAGGAGGAGGAAGAGGATACTTCAGCAAGAAGTTCGGAACCAGCTTTCATTATGTCCCATGCTGGTCTTGGAGAGACAGCAACGCTCTCAGAGGAACTTGAACCAGAGGAGTGAACATTTTCTAACCTACTGGTGCTTGGTAGTCTTTGGATCCCTTTCTTGGATCCTACAGAGTGTGGCAGTCCATCTTTCAGGCCTGCAGCCTTTGTTTGGCTTTCAGTGAGCATTTCAGGTGTGCATTTAGGTCCACGTGGTGACTGCCATTTGGGAGACTGAGCCTGCTCATAGCCTGTTTGTCTCCTTGCAACAGGTGGCTTATCCACTGAGTTGGAAGTTGAAGGCAATGGAGCTATGCTGTTGAATGACTTGCCATGTCTGCCTGCCACCTTCCCTACTGGTGGACGTGGTGCATATGATCCAAAGCCTGATCTATGGCTGGATTGATGATCCTTTACTACTGATGGACCAAGACCATATCCAGAATCCAGGACCATGGCAGATTTCACTGATGTCTCTTCTGGTTTGACTGATGCGGACATCTTACCAAAGGACTTGAACTGATGCTCTTTTGGACGTCGTAGTCTGGATGTGGTGGAGTCAGGTTTCTGTGAGTCCACTGTCTGCCTTGCAGATTCAATACTCTTCTCCGACACCTTATTGCTTGGTGCCCTTGATTGTGGATACCTTGAAAGAGACCTTGCCCCCGTCTCTGGTGCCTTTCTGTCAGGTGGAGAAGGATGTAAGGATGGCCTAGGGTTTGATGTTGGTGGACTTACAGATTCAATCCTGTTGGACTCAGTATTTACTGGATCAGGTCCTCTTGATGTCCTTGTATCAAGGTTATTGAAGGATCTAATTCTAACATCTGAGCTCCTTTGAGATGGCTTCCCAATGGGTTTCAAGGAATGAACTTTCTGCTCCTCTTGAAAAATGGCAGAACCTGCAGATGCAAAGGCTCTGCGTCTTGACATTCTTTTGGAGGTAAGTGATTCTGATACATCTCGAGGGATCTCACCCTCCTTTTGACTGGTAGGAATAGGTGCGAGAGGGGATTGGGCTCTGTATGACCCATTGCTCACTGCTTTCAGAAACTTTGTCTCCTTTGGAGTAATATCAAGCAGAACTTTAGGAGGACTATCCAGATCTCGCATGTGCTTCACAGGGGGAAGTGGCTTCCCTTTCTTGAATGCATCAACTGGTTCTAAATCATCTTCATCAGTACTCTTGCTCATGTCGAGGAGTTTACGAAGCTCAGGTTCTGTAGAGCTGCCTGAATTTGACTGGAGGGAATCCACAAGAGAATCGGAGTTGTTGACAAAAAACGATGGCAAGTTGGTTTTGGTAGATGCTCGCCTCAAGCTAATGACTCCATCTGTGAATGAAAGGGTATTACACTTGGTCAGCTATTTCACCAAGATCCAAATGTACACACTGCATACAGACAACAGAAAACTTTGGTATTGTGTATTGGTTGTTTTATGCTAGGCAGCAATGTTGAAGTCCAACTCCCAGTACATTATCAAGACTTCACAGTAAAACCAGTGGTTGACAGTATGAGCAATTGATGTTTGTGCGCGCTGACACAAACTCCTGGGTCATACATTATAACCACGCTATCATCATTAGTCTGATCTGATGACAAGCATGGATCACTGGATCTTATTTTGCCCTGGAACCCAACTTGAAAATGTCCACACTGCATTGAGTAGACTTTTGTGTCAAAACATTCCCACATGCTAAAGCTAAATCTGACCTATCTTGTATGTGACTGATTTTTCATTTAGAAAAGCATTTGGGGTCAATATATTTCAACATGGTATTTGTAACATGGGAAGTTCAATCTTACCTATGTTGTATTTGAATGACTTTGGTTTCTCCAATCCAAGAAGTCTGTACATTTCTGCATCTGAAGACAGTTCACTGCTGGAGGTGTCTGGTGTGCATTTCTCTTCTGGTCTCCTCACAGTCTTCTTCTTAGGTGGAGGGCTTGGGAACAGTTCCCGCATTAGACCCACACGGCTCTCACGTGCCATGGCAAGAACTCTGTTTGGACGACGTGGTGTTGAACTTCTCTCTGTGATGGATACATCAATCATCAATCATCAATCATCATCATCATCATCGTCGTCGTCATCGTCATCATCATCATCATCATCATCATCATCAATATTAGGAATGAAAATCAAAAGGATCCTTGTCACAACCCTAATGTTTAACACCAAAGTATAAGAGCACAACTCTATCAGATCCAGTGGGAAACAGAAGGTTTATAAGGAGCTCACAAACCCAGGCTGATGACAGCAACCCAGATCGAAACTACACACACCATCGAGATTACCCTTAGGTGTCAGCCTAAACCCTTTTCTCATCAGATCCAATGTGTATTTGCCAATTGGGTTTGCCATTTACCAGTGTTCCTGCTAGCTTTTGAAAATGCCAATCCTGGTGGACTGGCAACTGTTTACTCTAAAAATTACCAATCCATCCAAGTTTTGTCAATCCCAACTTTCAAGAAATAGAAAAACGTATGAAAATTTAACTAATTCAACATCATGTTCAATGCAATGACGTCCTCTGAAGTAACTTAATTAGATCTACACGTCATTCACACAAAGTACAGTCTCTTTTTTCTTAATATTTAAGACAAATATAACCTTAACCATGAAATAAAGCAAAATGTTATTAATTTTTTAAATTAAAAATAGACACTGGAAAATCCTGATAGTAACAGACAGGCTGACTTTGTTAAAAAAAATATACTATTGCCAACAAACATTTATGAAGTACTTTATTTGCCAGTCCACAGGGACTGGTAGTCACATGAATTACTGGTCCCAGCCTAATTCTACCAGTAAAAAACTGGTAATTATCGGTAAACGAGAACTTACTGAGTCTACTTAGGACACGGACCTATAAAACAATACATGTTATACAAGTCTGTGCTAACAATCACCATAGGTTGCTGGGGACCTATTCCAACCTAGAATTCCCACAGGGTCTCAAATGTTTAAACAATTAAATACATATCAAGCTCAAAAGCAAGTTACCTCTTTCGGTCCTGAAGTCCTGTTTTGCCCAAAATGTCTTGCGAGTATCTGCATCTGAGGAGCAGTCACTGCCTGATGATGCTGTACGGTCCAGGGGGATGGACTCAGATTCAGATGACCTGGTGGCAGGAGGGTAAGGCGCTGGCGCTGGTGCTGGTGCAGCTGAGACATCAAAGTCAGCATCAAGTGACCACCTCTCGACCTCATTGACAGGGGGTAATCCTGGGAATGAACAAAGCACCATACTATGAATGGTTGAAATGAAATAGGACCTTTAGTGTGATTAGTGATTGCATCATACACAGAGAGTGGAAACACTTCGTAGAGAGAACAAGACAATGTCAGAACTAATAACATAAACAGCTGGGCAAAAGAAAGTATAAACTTGAAAATTGGATTTGACAAAAAAATTACAAATATTATAAAAACTTTGCCAGTTGCCAAAACACTGCAAACTTCAGTTCCAAACCATAACTTGGATAGCTGTATCAAATCCATCATCATCAAATAGCCATTTCTTGTTTGTTTCCTCTGCTTTAGTCAGAATTACCATTATGTTTCCTAAACAAAATTTACACGAAATAAGATAAAATAATATACATCTACACAAATATATTTATATTTCTACAGCATAATGCATTATAGAAACAATTATATAGTTTAGGATCCACAGGCTCTTTCTAGTTGTTATAAAATGTCTCCTTGAACCATGGATTCATTGTGTTTACCTCTGCTCAATGTCAGAATATTGTGGCCTTGGACTCAATCACATACTAACCAAGGAATATATTTTGACTGCTAGTTTAATGCATTGTTGTGCTAAAAAGAATCAAAATTATGTTTTCAAGTATAAAATAGGCTAAAACAGAATTTGAACATTTTCACCTCAAGCTCTGGCGTGTCCACTGACCAATGATTGATCAGGAAAGTAACATCTCAGATGTCATTTGGTCTCACACAAGTAAGACCTCCTGTGGAAGTCAGTATTAAAAAAATAACATGTTTTTCGTGCCTCAGACTCTAACAAACTATTCCAAATTTTCAATGATGAATGATGTGACACCAGTTCCTCAAGCTCTAACAGTGTTCGAAATAAGCGCTTGCCCTTAGGCCTGTGGCAGGTAGATCTCGTGTCAGGCGACTGAGGCCCGTAGTATCGAATTTGTTTGGCTTATCTGCCATAGATTGATGTGTTGTTTCATTTTGCACAATAAGCTGCAGTTTTATAAATGAGGGTGTGAAGAATTTAGTCAGGGTCTGAAGCTTCTAAAGTCTGTGGGTCCTGATGGCAGCCAAACAATTTCAAACACTGTTGATGCTGGGGGATGCTGGGTCCTTGAGGTTTGTCATATAGTATCTGAATCTAGGGAACCCTACATCCTTAACATTAGCATAAGGGCAACGGCAAGGATCCCTGGACTTTCATCTCAAGCCGGACCCTGGCTGTTGTTTCAGCAGGTTGCTTTACTTTGTAACTCCCTGTACATGCACGTGCAGTGGTTGCACAATTTGATTTAGATGAGAAGTAAAGCCATGATTCAGGCTTGTGCATTATTGTGTAAAGAGCCCATGTGGTGTAAATAGATTTGCAGTCTGTGTGTCACTGATATGGATTCAACCCTTGAGGCTCCATGTCCGTAAAGTGTCTTCTGGCATGCTACAAGAGCAGGAGATAATGGTGTTTTCATGTGACACTATCCAGCATTTACCTGTCCCCAGGTGAGACTGTGCATCTCTTCTTGGAGTCTTACTGTCTGCTGCTACAGGTGTCAGCTTGGTGTCTTGTCCCTCATCGGAGGTTTCAGAACTTGGCTCTTCAGGCAATGAGAGATGGTTCTCTTGGGCAGAATCTTGACTGTCTATGGCTGTGGAGTAAATGGTGGTTTGGTATTTATGTTTTTTTTAATTCTGAGTGAGTGAATGTTGTTTCATGACTGAGTAAATACTCCAGCAATATCATGGTAACTAGACTTGCCCAGACTGTTTGGTTTATTTGTTGCTAATGCCACACTCAGGAATATTCCAGTTGTATGAAGGCAGGCTGTGAACAATCACAACTGGGCTCAAACCAGAGATGGATATTGAGTGACTGCCCTTACCATTGGACTATGACGACATACAAGCAGTCAAGTCTTTGAGCACCTGATCAATTTAGTCGCCTCTTACGACAAGCATAGGCCGCTGCATGATGGGACAATTCTAACCCGGAACACCTCGGGGAGATTTCATCTCTGAATCTGTTTGATCTCTTTATCACACCAATTATAGTGGGAAGACCAGTGGGAGAAACTAACAGTTTTATAAGGACTATATATAGTCCTTATAATGATAGCACATAGTAAAACCCTTACAAATGGAACATTGTTACGAGTCCTCATGACACCTTAACTATTGGGCAGTTTCACAAGGACTACAGGACTAGTGGCAAATTCTAACACTGGATCTTGCATCTTAACACCACTGTGAGGGTGTCTTTACACTACTGTGAGGGCGTCTTTACACTACTGTGAGGGCATCTTAACACCACTGTGAGGGTGTCTTAACACTACTGTGAGGGCGTCTTTACACTACTGAGAGGGCATCTTTACACTACTGTGAGGGCATCTTTACGCTACTGTGAGGGCGTCTTTACACTACTGAGAGGGCATCTTTACACTACTGAGAGGGCATCTTTACGCTACTGTGAGGGCGTCTTTACACTACTGTGAGGGCATCTTAACACTACTGTGAGGGCATCTTAACACCACTGTGAGGGCGTCTTTACACTACTGAGAGGGCATCTTAACACCACTGTGAGGGCATCTTAACACTACTGTGAGGGCATCTTAACACTACTGTGAGGGCGTCTTAACACTACTGAGAGGGCATCTTAACACCACTGTGAGGGCGTCTTTACACTACTGTGAGGGCAGTGGGGTAGCCAAGTGGTTGAAGCCCTTGATGCTATTCCCCACATGGGTACAATGTTTGAACCCCATTTTTGGTGTCCCCCGCTGTGATATTGCTAAAATTGGTGTAAAACCATTCTCTCCTACTCACTCTCTAACACCACTGTGATCCTCAGCGCCCTTACCTTGCAGGCTCAAAGCCAAAAGTCATGAGGCTTCATGTGGTTTGGTAAGGATAATGTGTAAATCTAATAAGTGTGGTGTTGGGGGGTGGTGTTGGTGTTAGTTCTTCAGTAAAGAAATAACAAACATTCTTACTGGTCCAAGCCTAATTCTACCGGTAAAAAACTGGTAATTAACGGTAAACGAGAACTTACTATAATAATTTACTATAATAATATCCTAATAATGTACTCCAACCTTACAGTTAATGCATCAATACTGCTCAAGCTGCATGTACAAGAATAGCAGACAGATGCTTTAGCCATGGGTTTGTGGGCCACACCAGACAGTGTAGAGTGACATTTGTGCCAGCTGTTCACTATAGGGTGATTGAAGGGAGCATCATGGACAGATAAGAATTAGGGCTGAAGGGTCGAGTTGAAGTCTAAGGGGTGAGTGTTGTAAAATCACATGAACGAACTTTTAAAGCTGATATTAGAACTATATGTCAATCTCTGATGACAAATGCACATGTTTTTTTAGGCCACAATACATAATCATTACATTTTCATCAGACCACTCGATCCACTGAGTCTACTTAGGACACGGACCTATAAAATAATATATGTTATACAAGTCTGTGCTAACGATCACCATAGGTTGCTGGGGACCTATTCCAACCCAGAATTCCCACAGGGTCTCAAATGTTTAAACAATTAAACACATATCAAGCACAAACGCAAGTTACCACTTTCGGTCCTTAAGTCCTGTTTTGCCCAAAATGTCTTGCGAGTATCTGCATCTGAGGAGCAGTCACTGCCTGATGATGCTGTACGGTCCAGGGGGATGGACTCAGATTCAGATGACCTGGTGGCAGGAGGGTAAGGCGCTGGCGCTGGTGCTGGTGCTGGTGCTGGTGCAGGTGCTGGTGCTGGTGCTGGTGCAGCTGAGACATCAAAGTCAGCATCAAGTGACCACCTCTCGACCTCATTGACAGGGGGTAATCCTGGGAATGAACAAAGCACCATACTATGAATGGTTGAAATGAAATAGGACCTTTAGTGTGATTAGTGATTGCATCATACACAGAGAGTGGAAACACTTCGTAGAGAGAACAAGACAATGTCAGAACTAATAACATAAACAGCTGGGCAAAAGAAAGTATAAACTTGAAAATTGGATTTGACAAAAAAATTACAAATATTATAAAAACTTTGCCAGTTGCCAAAACACTGCAAACTTCAGTTCCAAACCATAACTTGGATAGCTGTATCAAATCCATCATCATCAAATAGCCATTTCTTGTTTGTTTCCTCTGCTTTAGTCAGAATTACCATTATGTTTCCCAAACAAAATTTACACGAAATAAGATAAAATAATATACATCTACACAAATATATTTATATTTCGACAGCATAATGCATTATAGAAACAATTATATAGTTTAGGATCCACAGGCTCTTTCTAGTTGTTATAAGATGTTTCCTTGAACCATGGATTCATTGTGTTTACCTCTGCTCAATGTCAGAATATTGTGGCCTTGGTCTCAATCAAATCCTAACCAAGGAATATATTTTGACTGCTAGTTTAATGCATTGTTGTGCTAAAAAGAATCAAAATTATGTTTTCAAGTATAAAATAGGCTAAAACAGAATTTGAACATTTTCACCTCAAGCTCTGGCGTGTCCACTGACCAATGATTGATCAGGAAAGTAACATCTCAGATGTCATTTGGTCTCACACAAGTAAGACCTCCTGTGGAAGTCAGTATTAAAAAAATAACATGTTTTTCGTGCCTCAGACTCTAACAAACTATTCCAAATTTTCAATGATGAATGATGTGACACCAGTTCCTCATGCTCTAACAGTGTTCGAAATAAGCGCTTGCCCTTAGGCCTGTGGCAGGTAGATCTCTTGTCAGGCGACTGAGGCCAGTAGTATCAAATTTGTTTGGCTTATCTGCCATAGATTTATGTGTCTTTTCATTTTGCACAATAAGCTGCAGTTTTATAAATGAGGGTGTGAAGAATTTAGTCAGGGTCTGAAGCTTCTAAAGTCTGTGGGTCCTGATGGCAGCCAAACAATTTCAAACACTGTTGATGCTGGGGGATGCTGGGTCCTTGAGGTTTGTCATATAGTATCTGAATCTAGGGAGCCCTACATCCTTAACATTAGCATAAGGGCAACAGCAAGGATCCCTGGACTTTCATCTCAAGCCGGACCCTGGCTGTTGTTTCAATAGGTTGCTTTACTTTGTAACTCACTGTATGTGCACGTGCAGAGGTTCACAATTTGATTTAGATGAGAAGTAAAGCCATGATTCAGGCTTGTGCATTATTGTGTAAAGAGCCCATGTGGTGTAAATAGATTTGCAGTCTGTGTGTCACTGATATGGATTCAACCCTCGAGGCTCCATGTCCGTAAAGTGTCTTCTGGCATGCTACAAGAGCAGGAGATAATGGTGTTTTCATGTGACACTATCCAGCATTTACCTGTCCCCAGGTGAGACTGTGCATCTCTTCTTGGAGTCTTACTGTCTGCTGCTACAGGTGTCAGCTTGGTGTCTTGTCCCTCATCGGAGGTTTCAGAACTTGGCTCTTCTGGCAATGAGAGATGGTTCTCTTGGGCAGAATCTTGACTGTCTATGGCTGTGGAGTAAATGGTGGTTTGGTATTTATGTTTTGTTTAATTCTGAGTGAGTGAATGTTGTTTCATGACTGAGTAAATACTCCAGCAATATCATGGTAACTAGACTTGCCCAGACTGTTTGGTTTATTTGTTGCTAATGCCACACTCAGGAATATTCCAGTTGTATGAAGGCAGGCTGTGAACAATCACAACTGGGCTCAAACCAGAGATGGATATTAAGTGACTGCCCTTACCATTGGACTATGACGACATACAAGCAGTCAAGTCTTTGAGCACCTGATCAATTTAGTCGCCTCTTACGACAAGCATAGGCCGCTGTATGCGGGGACAATTCTAACCAAGAACACCTCGGGGAGATTTCATCTCTGAATCTGTTTGATCTCTTTATCACACCAATTATAGTGGGAGAAACTAACAGTTTTATAAGGACTATATATAGTCCTTATAATGATAGCACATAGTAAAACCCTTACAAATGGAACATTGTTACGAGTCCTCATGACACCTTAACTATTGGGCAGTTTGACAAGGACTTCAGGACTAGTGGCAAATTCTAACACTGGATCATGCATCTTAACACTACTGTGAGGGCATCTTAACACTACTGTGAGGGCATCTTTACACCACTGTGAGGGCATTTTAACACCACTGTGAGGGCATCTAAACACTACTGTGAGGGCATCTTTACACCACTGTGAGGGCGTCTTTACACTACTGTGAGGGCATCTTAACACTACTGTGAGGGGCATCTTTACACCACTGTGAGGGCGTCTGTACACTACTGTGAGGGTGTCTTAACACTACTGTGAGGGTGTCTTAACACTACTGTTAGGGATCTCTTAACACTACTGTGAGGGCATCTTAACACTACTGTGAGGGCATCTTTACACTACTGTGAGGGCGTCTTTACACTACTGTGAGGGCATCTTAACACTACTGTGAGGGCATCTTAACACCACTGTGAGGGGCATCTTTACACCACTGTGAGGGCATCTTAACACTACTGTGAGGGTGTCTTAACACTACTGTGAGGGTATCTTTACACCACTGTGAGGGCATCTTAACACCACTGTGAGGGCATCTTAACACTACTGTGAGGGCATCTTTACACCACTGTGAGGGCATCTTAACACTACTGTGAGGCCATCTTTACACCACTGTGAGGGCATCTTAACACTACTGTGAGGGCATCTTTACACCACTGTGAGGGCATCTTAACACTACTGTGAGGGCATCTTAACACCACTGTGAGGGCATCTTAACACTACTGTGAGGGTATCTTTACACCACTGTGAGGGCATCTTAACACCACTGTGAGGGCATCTTAACACCACTGTGAGGGCATCTTAACACTACTGTGAGGGCATCTTAACACCACTGTGAGGGCATCTTAATACTACTGTGAGGGCATCTAAACACCACTGTGAGGGCATCTTAACACCACTGTGAGGGCATCTTAACACTACTGTGAGGGTATCTTTACACCACTGTGAGGACATCTTAACACCACTGTGAGGGCATCTTAACACTACTGTGAGGGCATCTTAACACTACTGTGAGGGCATCTTTACACCACTGTGAGGGCATCTTAACACTACTGTGAGGGCATCTTAACACCACTGTGAGGGCATCTTAACACTACTGTGAGGCCATCTTTACACCACTGTGAGGGCATCTTAACACTACTGTGAGGGCATCTTTACACCACTGTGAGGGCATCTTAACACTACTGTGAGGCCATCTTAACACCACTGTGAGGGCATCTTAACACTACTGTGAGGGCATCTTTACACCACTCTGAGGGCATTTTTACACCACTGTGAGGGTGTCTAAACACCACTGTGAGGGTGTCTTAACACTACTGTGAGGGCGTCTTTACACTACTGTGAGGGTGTCTTAACACCACTGTGAGGGTGTCTTAACACCACTGTGAGGGTGTCTTAACACTACTGTGAGGGTGTCTTAACACCACTGTGAGGGCATCTTTACACTACTGTGAGGGTGTCTTTACACTACTGTGAGGGCATCTTAACACCACTGTGAGGGCGTCTTAACACTACTGTGAGGGCATCTTAACACTACTGTGAGGGCATCTTAACACCACTGTGAGGGTGTCTTAACACTACTGTGAGGGCATCTTTACACCACTGTGAGGGCATCTTTACACCACTGTGAGGGCGTCTTAACACTACTGTGAGGGCATCTTAACACCACTGTGAGGGCGTCTTAACACCACTGTGAGGGCATCTTTACACTACTGTGAGGGCATCTTAACACCACTGTGAGGGTGTCTTAACACTACTGTGAGGGCGTCTTAACACCACTATGAGGGCATCTTAACACTACTGTGAGGGCATCTTTACACCACTGTGAGGGTGTCTTAACACCACTGTGAGGGCATCTTAACACTACTGTGAGGGCGTCTTTACACTACTGTGAGGGCATCTTTACACCACTGTGAGGGCATCTTAACACCACTGTGAGGGCATCTTAACACTACTGTGAGGGCATCTTAACACCACTGTGAGGGCATCTTAACACTACTGTGAGGGCATCTTAACATCACTGTGAGGGCATCTTAACACTACTGTGAGGGCATCTTAACACTACTGTGAGGGCGTCTTTACACTACTGTGAGGGCGTCTTTACACTACTGTGAGGGCAGTGGGGTAGCCAAGTGGTTGTAGCCCTTGATGCTATTCCCCACATGGGTACAATGTTTGAACCCCATTTTGGGTGTCCCCCGCGGTGATATTGCTAAAATTGGTGTAAAACCATTCTCTCCTACTCACTCTCTAACACCACTGTGATCCTCTGCCCCCTTACCTTGCAGGCTCAAAGACAAATGTCATGAGGCTTCATGTGGTTTGGTAAGGATAATGTGTAAATCTAGTAAGTGTGGTGGTGGGGGGTGGTGTTGGCGTTGGTTCTTCAATAAAGAAATAACAAACATTCTTATGGAAATATTATCTCCCATTACACTTTACCCTGTCTGGCCCAGGCAAACCATCAAGATACCATGACATCCAATCAGCCAGGTCACAGAATCAACCACCCAATCCTCATTTCAGACAAGCATGAGGTACAGAGGAACTATTCTTCACACAATCAAGATATGAAGAAAATTACACAAAAAGTTGGTTGGTTGGTTTGTTGTTTAACGCCGCACTCAGCAATATTCCAGCTATATGACGGCGGTCTGTAAATAATCGAGTCAGGACCAGACAATCCAGTGATTAACATCATGAGCATCGATCCACGCAATTGGGATACGATGACATGCATCAACCAAGTCAGCGAGCCTGACCAACCGAACCCGTTAGTCGCCTTTATGACAAGCATTGTCGCCTTTTACGGCAAGCATGGGTTGCTGAAGATCAATTCTACCCCGGATCTTCACGGGTCTACACAAAAAGAAATACATTGTGTATACTACTTACCAATCTGATCTAAATTAGAAACATCTATTCCAGAAAATGTGAAGTTTGGAGATATGGGGCAGACTTGCCGATCCTCCGAGTTGCCCGACTCCACCTCCGTAGCCTCCCCTGTATGAGGCGACTCATCAGATGGTGCTGTGGAGGCAGACACAAGAATACATGTGTTGCAGAAATGTCCAAAAATAAATAAATAAGAAATCTGGTTCGGTTGTACTTTTAGAGTCAGGTGGTGATGAAAACATAACATGTTTTATGTGTGTCCATCATGCTTATAACAGAACACAGCCTCAGATACTTGTATTTTATTTGTTTATTGTTTAATGCTGCACGCAGTGTTTTTTCCAGCAATATGGTCAAGGCCTGTAATTAAATGAGTCTTGACTGAGTGACCAGTGATTGATATAATGAGCAATGTCTCATGCTGTAGGTCACAATGACATGCAGTCAATTAAGTCTGACCAGTGATCATCCTCTCCATTTAGTAGCCTCTTACAGCAAGCATAGGTTGCTGGGGACCAACTGAACTAACCTGGAATCCCCATTGTGAAACTGAGTCTCAGAGGAGGTCTAACTAGATAGTCACAGGAATTCTTTACTCATGCTCCAGACTGGTGACTTACAACTCTAATACATTCTGACATTAAAATATATACATGATTTATCAGAGTACTTATTGCTCACCAAAGTAGTCATCAAATGGAGAAACTGTCCCTGGAAAATAAACAAATGAAATAACAATGTTTGTATATTGTGGTATTATTCAGCATTTCCAAAGTCTATATCACAATGAGACACCTTGAAAGACTTCAAACACATTTTTCATTTCAGAAAACAACAGGGGCATGACAGGGGTGTAATCCCCACATGTTAGCAGAAGCCCTAACAAGTGTTGCTTGTTTGAATAGTATTTGTGTGATGCTAGCACCCTCCCATGACTGCCTATGCTGTCATAGTCATTGGTGCTGCTAATTTCTACCCCTGTGGTTCAACTGATCCATGGCCACTGGTCTGCTGCCATTTCCAGCAGCAGTCTAGGTCTACACCTTGTAGTAACTCCTATTATGTGTTAGTCTACTTATTGACTGAAATACTTTGAAACTTTAACAGACAATATCGTGTTTGAACCACTTGAATTCACTATTTAGGGCTGGGTTAAGTTCTTAATCGTAGAAAGATAAATATAAATTTGGTGCTGACACCAGATAGCCTAATACATGGAAACAGATTTATCCTGTTTCTCCATCAAAAACGATCGGCGCAAACCTTACCTTCGTCATCACGTCATATGAATCTAGATCTAAGCCTAAGCCTATCAACTTGGGCTATAAGTTAAAGGTTTGTTCACTGCTAACTATTGCTTTGTTTAGCTTCATTTCTGATCTCATCTAATCATCTTAAATTTCTAATAATTTCTGCCTGTCGCTAGACTATGTACTTTTAATATAATATACGATAAGGAACGTTTGTTATCCGTCTTTCAAATAAAACAAGCTGCAATCAGTGGCATCACCATCTTATCAGACTAATCACAGATTTATCTTCATGACATGAGATTATAAATGCTGGGTTATCACAATAAAACACTTACCACCACAGCAAATTGGTAGACAACGGTTTTTACGTTTCTTCTTCGGCATGGTAGCGACTGGAACAAATACTAGCGTTCACGCTGAAAAAACACGACTTGCCTTGGCTAGCGTTGTTCCCGCAGTAACAAATGACCTAGCACAGGGAGAGGTCATGTCGATATCAACCAATGAGATCCTTGCGTTTTGATCATGTGATATCTTCAGCGGTACTTTTAGACTTACCTCCCTTTTCTTGTCACAGGTCAATGCCACGTCATCTTGTTTCAGAAAAACGAAAAGTTCGGATATTCGATGATTCGTACCCTCAGCTCCCCCACGGTGAGGTTTGGTTGCTTATAATATCAGCCATTGGTTTGTCTTGTCTAAACTTTATTTACAGCAGGGACCATGAAATAGAAAATATGTCGTGGTGTAGCTGGAATGTTGCTGAGTGCCAGTAGAGCATCAAACAAACATCGTAGGATAAGTGAAGTATCGTCGGATCATACGTTTTCGGACGGCCATGTTTATCGCCATGAGGGCGGTCGGGTAGCCTAGTGGTTAAAGCGTTCGCTCGTCACACCGAAGACCCGGGTTCGATTCCCGACATGGGTACAATGTGTGAAGCCCATTTCTGGTGTCCCCCGCCGTGATATTGCTGGAATATTGCTAAAAGCGGCGTAAATGTTCAGACGAACGTCTGCCGGGACTAGACAAGCAAGTAATGTGTATAAATATGACAAGATGGTGATGGATAGTAACCTTCAATAGGCAAGGGGTAGCATAGTCCAACTCTTCCAATGTAGGCGGTAGCCCCAGATGGGGATTTTGTTACTGTGTTGAGTTGTTTCCCTTCGGGGCGGTCGGGTAGCCTTGTGGTTAAAGCGTTCGCTCGTCACGCTGAAGACCCGGGTCCGATTCCTGACATGGGTGCAATGTGTGAAGCCCATTTCTGGTGTCCCCCGCCGTGATATTGCTGGAATATTGCTAAAAGGGCGTAAAATCAAACTCACTCACTCACACACTCACTGTTTCCCTTCGTGTATACGGCGATTGGGCGTATAGGACTGATATCCATTTTAAGTTCGTCTGATAAAAATCCTTGGGATGTTGCGTTTATATGTAAAAGTGAAATTGTTAATGTAACCAATGAAGAAGTGTTTCATTTAGGGGTTATTAAAGTGAAAGACACGGACAGTAATTATTTAATTCCAATATACACATGTGTCTACGAATTAACTTCCGGTTTGTGTACGAACTCACTGTGAATTGTCTCTCCGAGTTGGGGGTGTCTACGAATTCACCGCATCCGATATGTCGATCAGCCAGATTACAGATTGAGTGAGTGAGTTTGACATAACTCCGCTTTAAGCAGTATTCCAGTTATATCACAGCGTGTCAGCTTGATGTGTGAGGAATGCCCGAAGTGATGCAGGTCTTAGACGTTTACCACGTTGATGAAACCTACGACCATGGGTATGGTGCTGACAAACCAAGAAACACAATCGGGAAGAATCGGGATTCGAACCCACACTCCTAGGTTTCTGGCGTGCCCGAGGGACGCAGCTCTGGGCAGCTAATTACGGCGCCTTGACTGGGCCACCCTGCCTCCGACTCATCAGAACCCAGATATCCATTCATCCACTCAGCACCCGGATCTAGGCATCTCTACGAACAGTTCAGGGAAGTACAGAGCCCTCTTCTCCTCCTCCGTCAATATACAGCCCATCACCTTCATAGGGGTAGGACGCTTGGAAATGAAGCGAAATGAAATTTTGTCAATTGCCAGCTGTTCCCTAAATGATGAAGAGTGGGATATTCCCATGGAGACAAGATATTTTTCAGCTGCAGCTGCAAAACTGGATATTTTCTTATTAAAAAATTGAACCTAAAATGAGCCTTAATATTTGTTTTCATAAAAACAAAACAACTTGCAACAATGTATTTTTTGTGGCAGTTAATATTTTTCACAACAATCTGACGCATTTTAATTTTTTTTTCAAGCATTTCCGAGGACAATATTTTCCCCCAATAAAATCCCAAATTGTAGCTATAATCCAGCAACATCACGGCGTGGGACACCCGAAAAGAGCTTCTACTATTGTACCCATGTGGGAATCGAACCCGGGCTTTCGAGGTAACGAGCGAACCCGAGAAGATCCGGGTTAGAATAGGTCACCAGCTTGCCGAAAGAGATGACTAACGGGATCGGGTGGTCAGGCTCGCTGACCTGGCTAATGCATGCCATCGTATCCCAATTACGTAGATAGATGCTCATGATGTCAGTCTCTGGATTGTCTGGTCCAGACTCGATTATTTACAGACCGCCGTCATGTAACTGAAATATTGCTGAGTGCGGCGTTAAACAACAAACAAACAAACAAACCATAGGGTCGTGTAACCTTTTCCAAACAAATCAGGACCACATTCGGGTTTAAATTGTAACAATTATATCATCCAAACAAAAGGCGGGGACGTTCTTTGCTTTGGCTACTGTAAAGCTAATTCATTGATTGGTGTGACTTGATTGAAGATGTTTCAGCTGCCCAGTAAAATAGGTGATTGTCAGTTAAGGATGTGCTTCACACTAACAGGTAACATTGACAGATATATCTATAACTGCATTAGCTGAACATACTGAGCATACTGACACTTTAAAATAATAATCTTGGATATTCAATAATAACACACCAGCGTTGTACAATAGAGAGTGACATTCAGACATATATACTGGATATATAGTAACACACCAGTATTGTAAAACGCACAGTTACTGGCATTCAAACATTTATCGGGCTTGTGCAAAAACATGCGAATCATTAAAAGGATAATTAAAACTGGGGCGTTGATTTGCTTGATGGAATTGTTGTTCAACAATCTACATTGAAGTTTCGCAACCTTTGGGAGGGGCATGAAAAAATAGACCAAATTTGTCACGACAAATTTCCCATTAAATTAGAATTAGATTAGTGGGAATTAGATTATAAGAGGCACTCTTGTCGTGGAGACCAACGTTTCCAATATTCTTTGATCGGCGTTCCAGATGTTAATATTTTCCCGTATTTACACATGGGCGATGTTTTAAGTTCATAAAGATGCTAGTAGTCTTCACGTTGTCCATATCATTGTTGGTTAATCATGCTATGGTAATAATGATTTAGTTTTAAAATGTTTGTTTTTGTTAGCGGTTGTAAACATACCGATCAAAGATACTTGCCTCCCTTGGAAAGGGAAAATTTACCTCCCCTGTCGATGAGTAAATTTACCGTTTATAGACAAAGGGTGGTTATTAAGAATAAACAGTCGCATTTTAACAACAGAAAATATGGTAAGTTAATCACCATGTTGCAATCAGAATAATTAGCAACAATTCTCAGAAGGAATACTTAATAGATTTGGAATAATAGCGATATCGCGTTTCATATTGTTCAGTTTTCGATCATTTCTGAGTATTATTAGAAGACAGATATCTTCTTTCGGTTGTGAGTTGCGGTATAACAACCCGATTACTAGTATCCATTACACATGAAGTACATATTACGATATGTTATATCTACCTTTAAACTCACACGCCGAATTTGATTCCTATGCTTGTGATTTCAGCTAAGAGTAAGACTCTGGGTGCGTGTAGATATTAACAGGGCCAGGTAAAAGAAGTAGTTGACAGAATGAAAAATGATCACTGCTGTCAATTTCGGCAATAGAAACTAACACTTTTAGTTCAATAGTCCTTTAATACAATGACAATATCCATGTGTTATGGGTTTTTGAACGCTTAAGAAATATTTGTTGTATTCTCACTAATCACATGAACAAATGTAAAACATCTCACTCACTTATAAACGACAACTTTATCTTAAAGACAAGCCATCATCCGAGTATTTACAATGTCAGTGTGACGCCACACCCCATAGTGCGAGTAATTGCGATAAACAGAGCCGTCTGAAAACGTATGATGTCGGAGAACATATAATAATGACATTACAGGTCTCAAAGTTGCGACTAAAACAGTCGCCAATGCACCCTAAATTTCAATTTGTCTACTGTCTAAAATTCAGAGGTAGCCAAATGGCTACATTGAAAAATATCTTGTGGTGACTAAATTCTATTGCTACACATATGTAGACACAAAAATAAACATGCCCGCTACTAATTGTACTCACAAATAATTACTCCTAAAGTCAACAATGAACCGAAATACATAAATATTACTATAATGAGTATTGGATTTTAGTTGTTGATTAATTGGATAAGCAAGGATATACCTATATAATATCATGTAATATAGTAACAAAAATTGCATCATTGTTCTTGTCACAAATAACACAACTCAGGTACAGTGTCCACTATTATACAATTCCAAGACTAGTGCTATGACTTTTACATGTAATAGTTATTTGATAAAAGATCATTTCAAATGCTTTTGGCTACCTACAATATTGGCTTGACTTCTTGATTTTACCACTGGCTACCTGGAATAAAATACTTGTAGCCATATGGCTACTTGGTAAAAATTTAAACTTTGAGGCCTGATAGTTATGAGAGAAAAAACCCAATATATGGCAAATTTCTGCCAGATATCTTGTCCTTACAATATCTCACGTCACCCCCATTTGATCAAAGCATATCCTATATATTAACTCCCCTCCATTTGATCTGGGGGGCACGGGTGGCCCAGTCATCTAAGGCGCCGCGACTCGCTGTGCAGAGTTGCGTCCCTTGGGCATGCCAGAAACCTATGATTGTGGGTTCGAATCCCGGTTCGCCCCAATTATGTTTCTAGGTTTGTCAGCACCATACCTGTGCTCGTGGGTTTCACCGAAGTGGTAAACGTCTGAGACCTGCATCACTTCGGGCTTTCCTCTCACATTAAGCTGACACGCTGTGATATAACTGGAATAATGTTAAAAGCGGTGTTAAACCCAACTCACTCACTCACTTACTCCATTTGATCTGACAGGGGACTCCCATCAAGGACGTGGCCATCCCGGACAACGCTCCCAAATCCCTGCTGCTTCAGAAACATGCAGATTACATTGCTGCATACGGGGCCAAGAAGGATGATTATGTAAGTTATCCACGTTCATGATGTTCAGACAAAATAGGACGTCCTACGTTTGTCCATCGCCCATGAATACAGAGACTGCTTTTTTACTATACTTATCAACTTTGGATAGGGATAATCAGATATGTCATTCTATTTAATAATAATAATAATAATAATAATGATAATAATAACAGACCATTTATATGGCACTGTATATCCATGCATGAACATGCTCTAAGCTCTTCAGACATTACTCTGAACAATGGATCAGTATGCACTCAACAATCATTCTCAGCTCCCTCGGGAGTATACAACCCATGCTGCCTGTGAGGTGCAAGAAGATAAACAGTCACATTACCATCTCATCCTACCGGGTACCCATTCACTGCTGAGGCACATTTCGAACAAAGTCAGTGCCAAAGGAGACAGGACATGTGCTACATGTGTTTCACTGTGGCGCGTGACCTAGGCGTGACCGAAGCCCTAGAAACTCAGGAGTCAAGCAACTGAACACGGTCAATCTCATTCAAATCAGACCTTAGTTCTCACTACCGCTAAACAAAGATCTGAGGACATCCCATTACGGGTTACGTCAGACCAACCTTGCGCGAACTTTGACTGACCAAAGGAATGACCAATCAGAAACCAGCTTTACGGCATAAATTTCAAATTGGCGACTACGCTTCGAAACATATACTTTGACAAATTCTCGATTACAAATTTGAAACCTGAACAAAAAAACCATTCTGGCATGACTAATAGATTGTCTAGAATGTAAGGATTCAGTCGTTAAACCCGTAACTATCTTTCGGAATACCCCATGTTAAAGTTTTCGAGATTGCATGATTAGAAATCACATTCCGACAGTCACTTTCATAATCTGGTAAGCGACGCACTGATTGGTCGGATGAAAGGTTGTTCTGACGTGACCCCTAATGGGATGTCTTGAGATCTTTGTTTAGCGGTAGCGAATACTAGGATCTGATTTTAATGAGATTGGAACACAGTCACCCATGTGACTGCTCTCCGAGACCAATGTAGCTGAACTTCACCTGATGTGTGACCTGTGCGCTGTGCAGAGTTGCGTCCCTTGGACACGCCAGAAACCTATGATTGTGGGTTCGAATCCCGGTTCGCCCCAATTATGTTTCTAGGTTTGTCAGCACCATACCCGTGCTCGTGGGTTTCACCGAAGTGGTAAACGTCTGAGACCTACATCACTTCAGGCTTTCCTCCCACATTAAGCTGACACGCCGCGATATAACTGGAATACTGTTAAAAGCGGCGTTAAACCCAACTCACTCACTCACTCACCTGATGTGTGACCTGTGCGCTGTGCACAGGACCACAAGCCACCAGTTAGATATACCCAGAGCTCCAGATAAGCTGCGTATCTGCGTAAAATACGCATCAGAAATGCAGAAATATGCAGTAAAAGAAAATCCAAGCGTATCAAATACGCAACGAACATTACAGATACACTATAAAAATATAACTTGTGTGTATCATCAAAATATTGTGAAATAACCCTGTGTATTCGATTAGCAAATTAGCAACTTATTTTGAAATTATAAACGGGCATTCCGTCAACCTTGCCAAACTCCACGGTGACAGTTACATCATGATCATTTGCCATCACACTTTCTTGTGGAAGTATCGTGGTATTTTTGAGTCCTACAAAGCTCTCGAACCCACACGACACCAGTTTGCAGGGACTAGATGATTAGTGTTTTTAAATATTTAACTTAAATACCCACATGTGTAAAAACTAGTGGGTAACAGAAATTTGAATACCCAGATAGAATTACTGATACCCAACGATTTTAAAATGCATGGGTAAAATACCCACAACACCAAAAGCTTATCTGGAGCTCTGATTAAGTGTGATGTTTCGAATGCTAAGCAGAGCACTGCGAAATATACAGGTAAAGCCAAACTTTCCTTCTTTCTTGGTTATATTTTGTGTAAATCCCTGGGCACAGTGGCTGATAAAAAAATAAATAAAGACATTTTCTTTTTTCAAGTAGTTTTGTGAGTGTGTTTCCATGTGTGTAATGAATACAGGTTGAAGTACTGTTCTAATATTCCTCACACAGAACTCTCGAGTTGGAGATAGTGGGCCTTAAATCAGATGCATCAATCATCGATGTGATGTTGGATAGATGAATGAAGCAATATGTGTGTGGTGCATGGGGTTATAAATAAGGGGGCGGTCGTGTAGCCTAGTGGTTAAAACGTTCGCTCGTCACGCCCAAGACCCGGGTTTGATTCCCGACATGGGTACAATGTGTGAAGCCCATTTCTGGTGTCCTCCGCTGTGATATTGCTGGAATATTGCTAAAAGCGGCGTAAAACCATACTCACTGACTATAAATAAGGTCTTGACTGTCACCTGTTGTAGTAGCAGTGCTCGATTTAAAAACTTGAAAAAACACTTCTGTTATCAATTATGTTGGTTTGAATGATTCAAGGGACCAAGTGTCAGGAGACATATGAGAATCAGTTTTGTGGATCAAGGAAAGATAAATATGTCTCTATCAAAGTAGAGCAGTATATTTTTGACCAACAAATGCAGTGACAGTCGAGGTCCAGCACGAGGGGAACGGAGGGCGCTCAGTTGCCTCACCAAACGGCAGTGTTCCTTGAGTGATGTGTTTGCATCATGTGTCATAGCCTTGCTGCGTCTCTTTGCATGTCTGAAGCACATGTAGCACACGTGATGTCTCCTTGGGCAAGTGACGTTTGAATGTGGCTCTGATCACGCAGCAGTGAATGGGTACCCGGTAGGATGAGAAGTGACGCTTACCTCCTTGCGCCTTACAGGCGGCTTGGGTTGTTTATCCTTTGAGTGAGTGAGTGAGTGAGTTGGGTTTTATGCCGCTTTTAACAGTATTCCAGTTATATCGCGGCGTGTCAGCTTAATGTGGGAGGAAAGCCCGAAGTGATGCAGGTCTTGGACGTTTACCACTTCGGTGAAACCCATGAGCGGTGCTGACAATCCTAGAAACATAATCGGGGCGAACTGTGATTCGAACCCACAATCATAGGTTTCTGGGTGCCCAAGGGACGCAACTCTGCACAGCGAATCGCGGCGTCTTAGACGACTGGGCCACCCGTGCCCCCCACTGATCCTTTGACTGGGGGAATAATACTACAGTGCTTCCATCATACACTTTGTATAGACTTATGCACTTAACAAGCAGATTCTTCTTCTTCTTCTTCTTCTTCTTCTAGAATAGGTCTTCAGCAACCCATACTTGCCGTAAAAGGCGACTATGCTTGTCGTAAGAGGCGACTAACAGGATTGGGTGGTCAGGCTCGCCTACTTGGTTGAAGCATGTCATTGATCCAAATTGCGTGGATCGATGCTCCTGATATCAATCACTGGATTGTCCAGACTCGATTATTTACAGACCGCAGTCATATAGCTGGAATATTGCTGAGTGCGGCGACCATTAAAAATAGACACGAATCACCACCATGTTGCATCACAAACCTCTGTCTTGCTTCTGTTTCAGGAATATATCATGACAGAGTACCTGCGTATGAACGGCATCTACTGGGGTCTGACGGCCATGTCTCTTGTTGGGCAGCTGGACCGAATGGAGAAACCGGAAGTTCTTGACTTTGTTAAACAGTGCCAGCATGAGTGTGGAGGAATCAGCTGCAGTGTTGGGCACGACCCTCATCTGCTGTGTACACTCAGTGCAATACAGGTAGGATGTGAGGACATTAGCTGTAGTGTTGGTAGTATGTTGATGTTGATGTTGTCTGATGTTGATGTTGTCTAATGGTGATGTTAATTGCAGATCCTCACTCTGTACGGGTCGCTGGACACGATCAACGCCGACCGAGTGGTGGCCTGGGTTCAGAGTCTGCAGCAGGAAGACGGCAGCTTCATCGGGGACAAGTGGGGTCAGTCAGTCTCTCCATCTTTGGGTGGGGGACAAGTGGGGTCAGTCAGTCTATCTTTGGGTCGGGGACAAGTGGGGTCAGTCAGTCTCTCCATCTTTGGGTGGGGGACAAGTGGGGTCAGTCAGTCTATCTTTGGGTCGGGGACAAGTGGGGTCAGTCAGTCTCTCCATCTTTGGGTGGGGGACAAGTGGGGTCAGTCAGTCTCTCCATCTTTGGGTGGGGGACAAGTGGGGTCAGTCAGTCTCTCCATCTTTGGGTGGGGGACAAGTGGGGTCAGTCAGTCTCTCCATCTTTGGGTGGGGGACAAGTGGGGTCAGTCAGTCTCTCCATCTTTGGGTCGGGGACAAGTGGGGTCAGTCAGTCTCCATCTTTGGGTCAGGGACAAGTGGGGTCAGTCAGTCTCTCCATCTTTGGGTCGGGGACAAGTGGGGTCAGTCAGTCTCTCCATCTTTGGGTCGGGGACAAGTGGGGTCAGTCAGTCTCTCCATCTTTGGGTCGGGGACAAGTGGGGTCAGTCAGTCTCCATCTTTGGGTCGGGGACAAGTGGGGTCAGTCAGTCTCTCCATTTTTGGGTCGGGGACAAGTGGGGTCAGTCAGTCTCTCCATCTTTGGGTCGGGGACAGAAATGTGGAAAAAATCGTAATTTGACTTTATGGAATCACACTTTAAAAAATTTAACATTCCTGTCACAGAAATGAAAACAGAGAATTTGAATTCCTTTTTTTTCAACTTACAAATCCTATTTTTACACACAAGCTTGTAATTTAATTTTTGAGTATTGACACTTTAATTATCTAATGCAAATATGTCGGAATAATTCAGCTGACCTCCTGATGCTTGTGGTTCTATATTGTATGAGTGAATACCACATTTCCGTCACTACAGTGTGCATACAAGCATAATGGGAACCTCCTTGTTTGGGATGCTCTGTTTTGGAAAAAAAGAGATCTTTTGAGTATTATTTGCATTAAAAAGCTACATCAAATTGCTTCAGGTCAACAAATAGGAGATAACAAACTTTGTCAATGAAAATGTGAAATTTGTGATAAAACATCACTAGACATGAATAGAAGATGTATATTTCCTCTGTGGTCGAGTGGATAGAGCATCTGCCTGGAAAGTGATAGGTCAGTGGTTTGATCGCAAGTTGCGACATACCTGAAGATGTTTAAAGATGAAACTGCCTGGTGTTCGGCATTAAGCATCTTCCCGAGGCAAGAGAGTTAACTGACTTTAAAAGTCCAGCTTCCACCCTTCCTGAACTAGGCTGGAATTCCTGGGCTTGATCGTAGCGCCACCAATGGCTATTACGAGTTATGTCCTTTCCATGCCTCTCCTATTGACCAATCAGATCCAACCTCTCTTATCACTTGCATTTGCTTCAAACAAAACGGTGGCGCCAAGTCAAGACGATCTGATTGATAATCAAGATCTATATTGTGATAAAACGAGACTTACATCGCGAAGTGCATCAAATCACGTGAGCACCTTGATTAAAAGCATGAAAAGCTTCAGAAAATATCTGTTGACAACTAGTTAGCGGTGCACATGCTTTATAAATCCTGCAGTCGACCGAAATTTTCATGACACTTTACGAACCGGATTTCGATTTCGGTGCAAGATTTTGATTGGACTATGCATAGACTCGTTAGTCCAGCCTAAATGTAACTCCATAATACCAGCCTAGTTCGGCAAGGGTGGAAACTGGACTTTTATAGTCAGATAACTCTCTTGCCTCGGGAAGATGGGCATTAAGGGGACAAAACAAGGGCTGGTGGTCTAGGAGTCAGTGTACTGTGTCTGAGTGGGGTATTCATGTTAAACTGCAGCGTGGTATCGCAGCATGGCATTTGTCTAGTACAAACCGACAGACGGACTGACAGGAGAGACAGACGTACGAGACAGACAGACACACCATGTAAGCACAACAGTCTTCAAATTACATCCTATTTCCCCTCATCTCCTTCAATGTTCCACTTGTATTGCAGGTGAAGTTGACACCAGATTCTCCTTCTGTGCTGTGGCCTGCCTGTCACTGCTGGTATGTACGAGAGATGGGAGATGGAGAGGAGCCTCGATTACCCAAGCTTCGATTACCTGAGGCTCGATTATCTCCCTTCTGGACTATTCTCAACCATAATTTCATTCCGAACCCGATTGGCACCAATCTCATTTAATCTCATTCTCGCTGCCGCTAAACAAAGATCTGAGGACATCCCATTACGGGTCACGTCAGACCGACCTTTCGCGAACTCTGACCGACCAATGGAATTACTGACAAGAAGTTGATATTAGCCAATCAGAAGGCAGCTTTCTCGTGCTTTATGGCACTAATTTCAAATTGGCGACTACACTTCGAAACATATTTTGACAAATTCTTGCTTAAAAATTTGAAACCTGAACAAAAGAACATTCTCAAATGGCTAATAGATGGTCTAGATTGTATAGATTCAGTCGTTAAGCCCGTAACTATTGTTTGGAATACCCCGTTTTAAAGTTTTCGAGGCTGTATGATTAGAAATCACATTCCGACTGTCACTTTCATGATCTGGTAAGCGACGCTCTGATTGGTCGGATGAAAGGTCGTTCTGACGTGAACCCTAATGGGATGTCCTCAGATCTTTGTTTAGCGGTAGCGAGAACTAAGATCTGATTTTAATGAGATTGGATTGGCACACCACTAAAAACAACCATCTAGTCAATTCAATTCAATTCAATTCCATGTTTAATGAAAGGCCATTGGCCCATATACAAACGAGTGAGTGAATATGGTTTTACGCTGCTCTTAGCAATATTCCAGCAACATCACGGCAGGGACACCAGAAATGGGCTTCACACATTGTACCCATGTCGGGAATCGAACACAGGTCTTCCAGGGTGACGAGGAACACTTTTACCACTTGGCTACCCGACCGCCCCCCATATACAAATGAGTTACCTGCACACACAGTAATATTGACAAATATTGTAGTATTCCGAGTATCAAGACAACAACAGCTGACGTAACGTAATGCATGATGAATGTATCTTGCAGTTGGATGCTGTACATTTTGTTAGACAGCAGACATACAAGTTATTAACTTGAATCCTAATGTGCCATGGACCCGTGAAGATTCCGGGGTAGAATAGGTCTTCAGCAACCCATGCTTGCCGTAAAAGGCGACTATGCTTGTCGTAAAAGGCGACTAACGGGATCGGGTGGTCAGGCTCGCTGACTTGGTTGGTGCATGTCATCGATCCCAATTGCGTGGATCGATGCTCATGATATCAATCACCGGATTGTCTGGTCCAGACTCGATTATTTACAGACCACCGTCATATAGCTGTAATATTGCTGAGTGCAGCGTTAAACAACAAACCAACCAACCTAATGTGCCATGGGTGTTACAAGGCAGTACTTGTAAGTTTTTCCATTCTCAGCCAGTTATTAACCTGATAAATTAATTCTGACTTCTTCTTTCATATTCTTTACAAACCTCTTCTTATGACATTTGTATTCAAGTTCTTCAAATAATCCAGATCATACAGGTCTGCTACAGATCCTACAGACTCAATTTAATTATTTTTGCCCAGGATGTTGTCAGTATGTTTATTTCCAGGGCAAGCTGAACGCCATCAATGTTGACAAGGCTGTTGACTTTGTGTTGTCCTGCATGAACTTTGACGGAGGGTTCGGGTGTCGGCCGGGAAGTGAGTCACACTCAGGGCAGGTCAGCTGATTCATTTATTGACGATTGCGATTGATGGCGATGGATGATTAATTTTATTTAAAAAGTTTACGTTATGGGGAATTCTTAGAGACTAAACAACTTGAAAGAAATTTAGATGGTAATAGCTCAAACTTTCAAAAGTTAATAAACATTTGCTTATACTGTACTAAGCATTTGCTGCATGGGGATGAGCCATGTTCAGCACGGAGATGAGCGGTGTTCAGCACAGGGATGAGCGGTGTTCAGCATGGGGATGAGCAGTGTTCAGCATGGGGATGAGCGGTGTTCAGCACGGGGATGAGCGGTGTTCAGCATGGGGATTAGCAGTGTTCAGCACGGGGATTGGTGGTGTTCAGCACGGGGATGAGCGGTGTTCAGCACGGGGATGAGCGGTGTTCAGCACGGGGATGAGCGGTGTTCAGCACGGGGATGAGCGGTATTCAGCACGGGGATGAGCGGTGTTCAGCATGGGGATGAGCGGTGTTCAGCATGGGGATTGGCGGTGTTCAGCATGGGGATTGGCGGTGTTCAGCATGGGGATGAGCGGTGTTCAGCATGAGGATGAGCGGTGTTCAGCATGGGGATGAGCGGTGTTCAGCACAGGGATTGGCGGTGTTCAGCACGGGGATGAGCGGTGTTCAGCACAGGGATTGGCGGTGTTCAGCATGGGGATGAGCGGTGTTCAGCATGGGGATGAGCGGTGTTTAGTATGGGATGAGCCGTGTTCAGTATGGGATGAGCGGTGTTCAGTATGGGATAAGCGGTGTTCAGCATGGGGATGAGCAGTGTTCAGCACGGGGATGAACAGTGTTCAGCATTTATCCTAAGATTAAGTGGGCAACAGGGAAAATATTAGGGCTGGGATGATACCCGAACTGTGCGATCAGATACGTATCATGATACCTTACTCAAGATCCGATATGTATCATGATACCTTACTCACGATCCGATATGTATCATGATACCTTACTCACGATCCGATATGTATCATGATACCTTACTCACGATCCGATATGTATCACGATACCTTACTCACGATCCGATATGTATCACGATACTTCCATGCGCTCTTATCTGTGGTACGTAAGCCATCTTTTTCATAGAGAGGATGGCACACTGAAGATTTACAGTTGGCAGTGTGAAGTATCGCACCACAATTGAAAATATGTATGTTTTCGCTATTAACTTGCACTACTGTTTCGTGTTCAGTGGAACAGTTATTATAACAAACATTTAAGGTCAGAATTGATATTTTGTACTCAGTGTGCGACTGTGATCGATACTTGTATCGAGAAGTAAAAAATCCCGATCCATCGATGCACTAGTAACTACATGTATGGGATAGAAATTAGCACTGTTGATGAAGGGATGTTGCCAGTGTAGTTCAGAGTAAAAACATTGTCAGCATGCGTGTGTATATTACTATTGCATGGACTACGATGTGAGGCAATTATTGGACATAATTGTCGAGTGTCCACTCGACCACCTTCTACACCAATCTGTAAGTAATCCTTATAAGCTCCTTACTTAGCTAAATAATTTACAGTATTTTTGTGTGTATATTACAGATTTTTAAAAAAACCCACAGCAGTGTAGAGAGGGTGTATAGTTGCCCGGTGACGATTATTTATAAGTTTCAATGATGTTTCATCTTTTCTACATCAAATGTAACTTGTGTAAGGTTTTGTAATCACCCCTTTTGTCAATTTTGTCACCAGAGCACTTATTAGGGCAAGTACAGCATTTGTTGTCAAAGTTCCATCAGAATTGGCATTTATAAGGCATTGTTCGGGGATGGATATTAAACTGAGTATGGGCAATTAATCAAGCATTTACAGTAACTTTTTAATAGCCCACGACTGACTTCTTTGCAGGTTTTTTTGTGTAACATATTAAACCACAGCTGTATTGACCAATACTAACAAACACTTTTCTAGTATCAGCCAAATAGTATCACATGGACACTAAGGTTGTCTGGACCTACAGATGCTGATAGTTCCAAGGAGTTAAAAGGCTTCCTGTACATGATACTGATGGAAGGGAGATAACTGTGTTTCAGATCTACTGCTGTGTGGGGATGTTGGCGATTACGGGGCGACTCCATCACATCAACGCCGACCTGCTGGGGTGGTGGCTGTGTGAGCGGCAGCTGCCCTCTGGAGGTCTCAATGGTGAGAGGACGACATTACACTGTCACACTTGATCACGTGATTGCTAACAATGCACAGCTATTCTCCTCTGAACCAGTGTTTTCCTCAAACAGGTCCAAGTATCAGACAAGATAGACACAATTTTATGGATAACAACTTCTTTAATACTGTGAAAAGCGGCGTTTTGGTATAGATCCTTATACCATTGTCAAGCAAGACTGAATGAGGGACATGGTACAGAATATATATAGTAGGTGGAGGATTAACAGTAGAGGATTAACAGTAACAACAATTGCATACATGAGTGGGATAACATAGGTAGGTGTTGGCAACAAAGGGATGATGCTGTCACAACACGATGGACAGAGAACACATAGGTGGAAGCCAATAGGGGCATGAAGCCAATAAACAGGATAAGTTTATATAGGTGTAGTGATTATTGTTTGATGAGTTCATAGTAGGCGGATGGGATGAAATAGCCTTGATCTCTGTTGATTGATGGCTTGTGGCGGCGAATGTGGACTGCTTCTGTTAGTTTTCTTTTTGTGAAATCATGGAGGTTGTTGGTGAGGATTTGGACGTTGTCCCAGTTGATGATGTGATTGGGACAGTTGCTGATATGGTCCGAGATGGCTGGTCCAAGTGTCCCTGTATCATGCTTTGCTGATGCACCCCATACCTGTTACATTTCTTCATGACAAACAAAACTTGGCAGATACAAGCCAGACACCTTCCTATGTACAGGTCCTACCCATGAAGATCCGGGGTAGAATAGGTCTTCAGCAACCCATGCTTGTCTACCCATGAAGATCCGGGGTAGAATAGGTCTTCAGCAGCCCATGCTTGTCTCCCCATGAAGATCCGGGGTAGAATAGATCTTCAGAAGCCCATGCTTGTCTCCCCGTGAAGATCCGGGGTAGAATAGGTCTTCAGCAGCCCATGCTTGTCTCCCCGTGAAGATCCGGGGTAGAATAGGTCTTCAGCAACCCATGCTTGTCTCCCCGTGAAGATCCGGGGTAGAATAGGTCTTCAGCAACCCATGCTTGTCTCCCCGTGAAGATCCGGGGTAGAATAGGTCTTCAGCAGCCCATGCTTGTCTCCCCGTGAAGATCCGGGGTAGAATAGGTCTTCAGCAGCCCATGCTTGTCTCCCCGTGAAGATCCGGGGTAGAATAGGTCTTCAGCAGCCCATGCTTGTCTCCCCGTGAAGATCCGGGGTAGAATAGATCTTCAGCAGCCCATGCTTGTCTCCCCGTGAAGATCCGGGGTAGAATAGGTCTTCAGCAGCCCATGCTTGTCTCCCCGTGAAGATCCGGGGTAGAATAGGTCTTCAGCAGCCCATGCTTGTCTCCCCGTGAAGATCCGGGGTAGAATAGGTCTTCAGCAGCCCATGCTTGTCTCCCCATGAAGATCCGGGGTAGAATAGATCTTCAGCAGCCCATGCTTGTCTCCCCGTGAAGATCCGGGGAAGTATAGGTCTTCAGCAGCCCATGCTTGTCTCCCCGTGAAGATCCGGGGTAGAATAGGTCTTCAGCAACCCTTGCTAGCCGTAACAGGCGACTATGCTTGTTGTAAGAGGCGACTAACAGGATCGGGTGGTCAGGCTCGCTGACTTGGTTGATGCATGTCATTGTATCTCAGTTGTGTAGATAGATGCTCATGATGTCAGTCACTGGATTGTCTGATACAGACTTGATTTTGTACAGACCGCCATCATATAGCGGGAATATTGCTAAGTGCAACATACCCTGGTGTGTATCAGCTACACCTGATTGTTGATCTGTTTGACGTATCACTACAAAAAGGGAATCATGTCTACAGTCAATGATATGTCGATGCGTGATGTGTCTCCTGGAATAGCGACAGATGTGTCAACACATATTACATGTATTATCAATTAACATCAACATTGTAACAATCAATCATTACTTGTAATAAATGATCTACAATGCAGCATTCATTGTCATGCGAAGTACTCAGTGATGGAAAGGCTTTCGGAGAAGGTCCCCCTCTAACAGACATAGATTTGACATGATAAGGGAGTGTGGTATTTCTCCAGTAGGCATAGGGTAAAAATAATATATCGTTAAAGGGATATGGGAAGACAAACACTTGTTTATTGTAAATGTAGGGATTGTGTATGCGTTAGTGAAGTGCATAATTCTGATTCGCTTTATAGACGGGTATATAAATTAGCATCAAGCTGGAAGGCTTTTAGGGGGGGCGCTTTATAGGTGGGGTCATTATAGACGGCGGTATATGGTAGTCTGTCCACTGATGTGAAAGTCTTTCTCTCTTCATCCAGGCCGGCCAGAGAAGCTTCCAGATGTCTGCTATTCCTGGTGGGTGCTGGCATCTCTCAAGATCATCGGGAAACTGAACTGGATCGACAAGGTAACAATAGTAAAGAGAGCTGTAGCATGTGAAGACCTGTAAAGATCCGGGATAGAATAGGTCTTCAGCAACCCATGCTTGCCGTAAAAAGCGACTATGATTGTCGTAAGAGGCGATTAACAGGATTGGGTGGTCAGGCTCCCTGACTTGGTTGATGCATGTCATCGTATCCCAGTTGTGTGGATCGATGTCCATGATGTTAATCACTGGAGTGTCTGGTCCAGATTCGATTATTTACAGACCATCATAATATAGCTGGAATATTGCTGAGTGTGGCGTTAAACAACAAACAAACAAACATAGAAACTTTTGATTATACTTATGTAATCCTAATCTGACACACAGTGATTTAACTGAAATACTGTTCAAAGCCATACTCGCTCCCTCACTGACTGTTTACATTGCAGGACAAGTTGATTCAGTTTATCCTGGCGTGCCAGGACGAGGAGACGGGAGGCTTCGCTGACCGCCCCGGAGACATGGTGGGTATCTCCATACTCTGGCGCCAGCAGGGCAGTGTTTCCAACCTCACACCGCCAGTTATAAACTTGGAAATGTCAATGAAGCTAAACTTTGTACAGATGATCCAAGCAATATTGTTTCTTAAAAGAGCTCTCAGAACTGCACACTGCTTTAAAAATCACTGCCATGTGAATAAATTGTCCTTTTTGACCATTGCCTAACCTTTTCTACATGTAAAATTATGAAATTTGATATACAGTAAGCATATGCTGCACTTATAATACATTTTGGAGCATAGTTATCTTTTCCACTGCTATGACCTCTGACCTTTGAACCCTCTTGTTATTCCCCCGGGATCTGGTCTGTCCGTCCGCCTGTCCGTCCATCTGTCTGTCTGTCTGTATTTTATTTTGTTTCTGGAGCATAACTTGAAAATCGTGAATGTCTTTACATCCAAACTTGGTACTTGTATAAACAGAGGCTGAAGTGGTGCCATTTGCTTTTGTGGGCGCTGGGGGATTTGTCATCTTCTCCTTACTCTTGTTTCATTGAGCTTAAACTTTGTGTGTGATCCGATCTCGGAAAATAGTTCACCACACATGACAGCTGTACAGCTGTAAGTGTCATTATAGGGACAGGACATGTATTGTAGGAGTCTTAGGCCTGTATGATATTACAAGGGTAATGCTATATTTCAGGGCATTATCATTTGCAGAAGCCTGAGGTCTTCCGGTAACTGCCCAACGAAGGAGGGCAGTTGAAAAGACTGAGGGCTTCTGCAAATGATAATGCCCTGAAAAATAGTGCTACCATTATTATAGCTAAAATGGATAGAATTTGTTATCAAATAAAAATAAACAATATCGGTTTTGAAACATTTACTGCAATCAACACACAAAGAATGTCACTGACCCACTTTTACAAATATGGAAACGTCATAGAACAAACCAGATGATGTCACTATTGAACATCAATATGACGTCACCTACCAATGGGCGTGATAATGGCCCGTCGTCAAGCAATATTAGGGCATTATCAAGTTATGATAATTCAATCCATTTTAGCTATAGATGCTGACACAAACACCACCCAACCCCATTTTTATACAACATTTATTCTTGATCCCCCTGTCAATGCACATCATCTCTGAACCTCACTGGGGCGGTCGGGTAGCCCAGTGGTTAAAGTGTTTGCTTGTCACGCCGAAGACCCGGGTTCGATTCCCGACATGGGTACAATGTGTGAAGCCAGTTTCTGGTGTCCCCCGCCGTGATATTGCTGGAATATTGCTAAAAGCGGCGTAACACCATACTCACTCACTCTGAACCTCACTGTTCTTGATCTAGAATGTCCTCCCGGTTGATCTCTGGTGTTTGGTTTCAGGTGGACCCCTTCCACACGCTCTTCGGGGTCGCGGGATTGTCCCTCATGGGGGAGACAACGATCTGCCCGGTCAATCCGGTCTTCTGTATGCCGGAGGAAACAGTCAGGAAGCTTGGGATCCAGCTGGACCTGTTATGATGCTCGCATTCCTCGTCTCACAAACATGTTCATTACCGACCTTGTTCCACAACACGGTCGCTGCGACAAGTGGCAGAAATATGTGAACATTGATTCTCAGTCGTAGCACTATCATCATGGAAATGGGACCAGCGCCCTGTTCCACAAAGTGACCTTAGTGCTACCAATTGTCGTAAGCCTGTGTTAAAGTAGGGGAGTTACGATGACCTTAACACTACCAATTGTCATAAGTCTGTGTTAAAGTAGGGGAGTTACGATGACCTTAGCACTACCAATTGTCGTAAGTCTGTGTTAAAGTAGGGGAGTTACGATGACCTTAGCACTACCAATTGTCGTAAGTCTATGTTAAAGTAGGGGAGTTACGATGACCTTAGCACTACCAATTGTCGTAAGTCTGTGTTAAAGTAGTGGAGTTACGATGACCTTAGCACTACCAATTGTCATAAGTCTGTGTTAAAGTAGGGGAGTTACGATTACCTTAGCACTACCAATTGTCGTAAGTCTGTGTTAAAGTAGGGGAGTTACGATGACCTTAACACTACCAATTGTCATAAGTCTGTGTTAAAGTAGGGGAGTTTCGATGACCTTAGCACTACCAATTGTCGTAAGTCTGTGTTAAAGTAGGGGAGTTACGATGACCTAAGCACTACCAATTGTCGTAAGTCTGTGTTAAAGTAGGGGAGTTACGATGACCTTAACACTACCAATTGTCATAAGTCTGTGTTAAAGTAGGGGAGTTACGATGACCTTAGCACTACCAATTGTCGTAAGTCTGTGTTAAAGTAGGGGAGTTACGATGACCTTAACACTACCAATTGTCATAAGTCTGTGTTAAAGTAGGGGAGTTACGATGACCTTAGCACTACCAATTGTCGTAAGTCTGTGTTAAAGTAGGGGAGTTACGATGACCTAAGCGCTGCCAATTGTCATAAGTCTGTGTTAAAGTAGGGGACTTACGATGACCTTAGCACTACCAATTGTCGTAAGTCTGTGTTAAAGTAGTGGAGTTACGATGACCTTAGCACTACCAATTGTCATAAGTCTGTGTTAAAGTAGGGGACTTACGATGACCTTAGCACTACCAATTGTCATAAGTCTGTGTTAAAGTAGGGGAGTTACGATGACCTTAACACTACCAATTGTCATAAGTCTGTGTTAAAGTAGGGGAGTTTCGATGACCTTAGCACTACCAATTGTCGTAAGTCTGTGTTAAAGTAGGGGAGTTACGATGACCTTAGCACTACCAATTGTCGTAAGTCTATGTTAAAGTAGGGGAGTTACGATGACCTTAGCACTACCAATTGTCGTAAGTCTGTGTTAAAGTAGTGGAGTTACGATGACCTTAGCACTACCAATTGTCATAAGTCTGTGTTAAAGTAGGGGAGTTACGATTACCTTAGCACTACCAATTGTCGTAAGTCTGTGTTAAAGTAGGGGAGTTTCGATGACCTTAGCACTACCAATTGTCGTAAGTCTGTGTTAAAGTAGGGGAGTTACGATGACCTAAACACTACCAATTGTCGTAAGTCTGTGTTAAAGTAGGGGAGTTACGATGACCTAAGCACTACCAATTGTCGTAAGCCTGTGTTAAAGTAGGGGAGTTACGATGACCTAAGCACTACCAATTGTCGTAAGTCTGTGTTAAAGTAGGGGAGTTACGATGACCTTAGCACTACCAATTGTCATAAGTCTGTGTTAAAGTAGGGGAGTTACGATGACCTTAGCACTACCAATTGTTGTAAGTCTGTGTTAAAGTAGGGGACTTACGATGACCTTAACACTACCAATTGTCGTAAGTCTGTGTTAAAGTAGGGGAGTTACGATGACCTTAGCACTACCAATTGTCGTAAGTCTATGTTAAAGTAGGGGAGTTACGATGACCTAAGCACTACCAATTGTCGTAAGTCTGTGTTAAAGTAGGGGAGTTACGATGACCTTAGCACTACCAATTGTCGTAAGTCTGTGTTAAAGTAGGGGAGTTACGATGACCTTAGCACTACCAATTGTCGTAAGTCTGTGTTAAAGTAGGGGAGTTACGATGACCTTAGCACTACCAATTGTCGTAAGTCTGTGTTAAAGTAGGGGAATTACGATCATCTTAGCGCAAAGATAACTTTGTGGAACGGGATCCTGGTATTTAAGTTGTGAGAGTTGTTTGATTGGACAGCTTATTTTAGCATCACATCGTTTGAACAGGGCTAAAAATGAAGCTGTTGTAGCGAATGGGTCCAGGGTGTTCATCATCAACAGAATACAGGTAGGATGCCTTGGATAGTTGCGGATGCTGCTGTCTGTTGTCCTTCTATGCTTATCATGTTTAACATGTACAAACTTCCTCATTTCATTCTAACTTCTCTGTCAATAATCTGTGCAGATGTTTATGTAAGAAACTTGTTTATCGTACAATAAAACACTGCAGGGAGAATAAACCATGTGGGGTGCAACCCTGAACGGTATATTTTCCCTGCAGTAAACATCCCAGAATACAATCCAACCTTGGCAATGTTGGATGAGTTCATTTTATGAACGGGGGGGTTAAGTTTGGTATTTCCCAGATTTTTTCATAATTCTCACGTTGATTATCGGTACCTTTTCTCCCATGACCAGTTGCCACTTTTGGGTGCAATCATTTGGCCATTGTGTTTTTCTGTGTTGCCCAGATACTTCTATGGGTAACAACTCACCTCCCTCTCAAAAATAATGTCATGAAGTTGCAAGCGCATGTTCAAATCTCCAGAAATGATGTCATGATGAAACAACGTTTCATCATGAAAAAAAACATGCTTCGTTCTTCATTGATCTTTATTGCACAGCTATCTAATATTTGATGTTATTGTGACTCCCACATGTTTTACTGGATTTTGGCATCAGGGAAAGCGCTAGACTGTAAAGGCCATGAATTGAGATTCTGACGGCCTTGTGACAAGCCAGCTCTTACGTTGTGCACCAATGATTGCTTGAATAGATCATTTGTTGAAATAAAGACCAACACATAATTGTACATTTGGGAATATTTATTCATCTGTTCATACATACACCAATAAATATACATATTTACAAATATGGTAGTGTGCTCTTTCTTGATACGGATGGGTTGGAAGAAATGTAAGTCATGAAAACAGTGATTTACAGAACACAATACTTTAGAAACTTTATGAAAGTGTTTGTAGAAATATACAAAATTTGATGTAAAATGGTTCTCATTACCTTGTATGAATTTACTCTCAAAAGTTTAGATAAATATATCTCAAATAAAAGGGGCTAAATCCTCAACAAGTTGAGTTTTAAATATAAACTGTTACAAAAGATTGGACGGAGTGTGTAGAAGGAGGGCGAGGAGGATGGAGGGCATCACGCTGTGGGCTTGGCTGTGTAGCCCACGTACTCGTCCCAGCCCTTCCTGCACGTCCTCACGATCCAGTCGTGTTCATCATCATCTGGAGGGAAACGATTGGTGTCATTATCATACACTGTTGTGTCATTATCATACACTGTTGTGTCATTATCATACACTGTTGTGCAATTATCATACACTGTTGTGTCATTATCATACACTGTTGTGCCATTATCATACACTGTTGTGCCATTATCATACACTGTTGTCATTATCATGCACTGTTGTGCCATTATCATACACTGTTGGTGTCATTATCATACACTGTTGTGTCATTATCATACACTGTTGTGTCATTATCATACACTGTTGTGCCATTATCATACACTGTTGTCATTATCATGCACTGTTGTGCCATTATCATACACTGTTGGTGTCATTATCATACACTGTTGTGTCATTATCATACACTGTTGTGCCATTATCATACACTGTTGTGTCATTATCATACACTGTTGTGCCATTATCATACACTGTTGTGCCATTATCATACACTGTTGTGTCATTATCATACACTGTTGTGCCATTATCATACACTGTTGTGTCATTATCATACACTGTTGTGTCATAATCATACATTCATGTAAAGTAAAATGCCTCCCGTCTCAATCTTTTTGTAAATGTGGATGAAAATCTTATGATATATTGTGGTCACATTTTCCCGTCAATCCAATTGCGAGACCCACTCCTGATTGTTTTACAATACTTCATAGCAGCAGGTGGACTTCAGTGACTTTTTTTGTATTTTTCCTAACATGACAATACTAGAATAACTCTCTTGAAATTACAGATTATTTATCCCTTGGTATGATCGCTGTCAGTATATTCTTTGAGATTGTCAAACATTGAAACAACTCACCTGCATTCCTTAAGAACTTTTGGTTATAATCAACAACTACACGAGATACTGGATTGTAGAAGCCATCGCCACAGTCGTAGCAGCCCTCGGGGATGTCTCGTGGGGGGACACGGTTCGTCAGCTGAGATCGACCTGCAATGGATTGTATGTTAATCTGCTGAATCTGATTTTGGTTAATCCAGTCAGCGACTACAGCCACTAGTCCGAAGAACGATGCCAGTAAAATTCTGTTCAATCCATTAAATTCAGCTAAGAAAGTCCATATGACAACACTAAAATCTAATAAGATGATGTTAAGAGACATGTTCAAGCTAGTTGGCCAAATATATTTTTTTTCATAGACTGTTATTCTCATTAAAATGAATTAGCGACTTGCTGTCTTGAACAGTATTTCAGTTATATGACGGCAGGGAGAGGAAGAGTTGCATCCCTTGTTGCTCTCGAATACGGTTTGCCCCAATTATGTTTCTAGGTTTGTCAGCATCATACTCGAGCTCACGGGTTTCACAAAAGTGGAAAACCTCTAAGACCTGCATCACTTTAGGCTTTCCTCCCACAACTGACATGCTGTGACATAACTGGAATACAGTTCAAAGCGGAGTTAAACCCAAGTCAGTAAAGTCACTCCCTCACTATATAACAGCGTGTACGTTATGGGAGGAAAGGTGAGGTGAAATGGGGTTTAATGTCGCGTCCAAGATTATTGCACTTATATATAGCGACGTGCATGCATGTGTATATGTGTTGGTGTGGCTGCTTATGCTAGTCCGGACTGATGCCGATTTATAGTGCTAGCACACTGAGATACCATGCCGCAGTTAAACATGAATACCCCACTCAGACACAGTATACTGACTCCAAGCCGACCAGTCCTTGTTTTAGCCCCTTAATGCCGAGTGCCAGACAGGGTAACAACAAGTACCATCTTTTGACGTCTTTTGGTGTGTGGGAGAGCCCGAAGTGATGCAGGTCTTAGACGTTTACCACTTTGGTGAAACCCACGAGCACGAGTATGGGACTTACCTGCAGGCTTGAGTCCATTGCAGATTTCAGTGTAGAACCTCCTGTCATAGCCATCACAGTACTCCCACTTCTCTTCCTCGTACCCCAGGCCGTCCGAGAATGTGTACTTGCCCTGTGGTGTGGGGAATACTTGTACTGATAGAACACTTCCGGAGTGAAAGGGAACTTTGTTAAACATGGCAGTCACCAATGTTCCAACTACATCGTGGTATATAAGCCTGTCCTCTGTCATGCAGGGGTTGAAATGACTGCTGGCCCATTGGCCTGTGGCCAGTTACAATTACAAAGGGCTTGCTGAAACGTTAAGTAGAAGGCCCGTCTGGCTAGTCAAAATTTCAGCCCTTCTCCATGGGTGTTTAAATTTTTAATTGGACTCTGGGTGAATCATGTAATTTTGATGAAAATATATTTATTGGGGATGAGGTCTTGTGAATGGTTAACTCATTAATCACCACCAAAAAATGAGGCAAATGGAATCCACAATTTAATTTCAGACTGATGGAAAAGACGTTTCAGGAATTCTAAAATTTCCAAAGCCCTGCCAGGTGGCGACATGTCCTCGGGTTCAGCCCCTTTGTGTCCTCCCTGCTGGCTACATACCAATTTGTTGTTAAATCTACCCCTACTCCTAACTTAGGACTATAGCATGACAAAGTCCATGCCCTGCATGAAGCATGAAATTGTCCAAGTAGCAGGACTTGACTAACAAACAGCAAAAGGGTACCGAGACATCTTTTGATATTTTTGGTCCCCGCTGGCTGAACACTTAGATAGAATTATGTGTTAGATTGTATTGGCAAAGCCAGTATTTATATATAGGATTATTTCAGGTGATATTTACAAAACATTTTAGCATATTTCCTAGCATTACAACACGGATCAGTTTATTCTGGGACACTGACTTGAGTGTTTTCCGTATTGCCATAAAAATTCTTTTAAAATTTTGTAATATGGAAAATGTCCTTTCAAAAATTGTTAAAGTCATTAAATGTCATCATTCCATATGTGTGTTGCACATGACAACTTACCTCTACAGCATAGCCATTGTCCCATGTTGCCTCGTACTTGCTGCCGTTGGTGAAGAACAGCGTTCCCTTACCATGGAACATGCTGTCTTTCAGTTCACCCTCGTAACGGGTTCCAGTGGGGAACATATACGTTCCCTTACCCTCCATTCTGAAAATACATTTACCATTTCATGATTTGACTTTATTCTTTAAGAAAAACAAAATAATAATCACGTTTAATTAATTCCTTGTTATAAAATTTAATAAATAAAACTAGACCAAAACCTGTAGGCAGGAAGGAAAACAATTAATAAATATACAAATCATTTCTAAAGATGAAAATCAATGACGAAATTAATGATTGCATTTTGACTGTTTCTTGTTTTAAATGAGCAAAGACTAGGTGAGAATTACTTTTTGTCTTTTCACACACACACACACACACACACACACACACACACACACACACACACACACACACACATCCGGATATCTTTCGCCATTTTGGTAATGGGTGTGCGAGCTCCTACCTAAGTAACTGATATAAGTTCTTCAGCAGCCATTTTTAGCCATCTTGCTTACTTAAAAGGGGGTTGGTTAACACAAGTCATTGAAATAAAAGCTTTTCAAAGTAAATATCATTCTCGGTCACCATAAGTTAATAAAAAACGCTACATGTTTGGTTTAATGTGGCCCTGACGAGTTGCCTCATGCCAGTATGGAACTTCTATTTTCGAGTAATTTTTCAATGTTGATGTCTGATTTTCTAAGGAATTGCTTTCATCTTCAATTTTGTGGTTAAATCACATTAAACAATACAAATGAATACGGGGGTACTTGTTTTTGCGTGTTCTCAGCTTTATTCCCCAATTTTTCAAATGGACATTCTGTCGCATGGAAGCATCAAACAGATATGGCCAACATAAAAGGTAACATTGCATTTTACTGGCACCTATCCACTGTGTTTGATGCTTCTCAAATAACAACACAAGAAAAAACTCAAAATCAGCAGAAAAAATCTGTTTGTATTTGAATGAATAAACATCAAAGATGAAGATCCAGGCTATCCATAAACATTGAAAATTGATGTCAACATCAAAAACTTACTCAAAAAGAGTTCCATAATGGCTTGCGGTAACCTATTCACTGACATCCATCAGGGTCACATTTCCACTGACACGTAGGATTTTTTATGAACTTTTGTAACAAACTTACATTTACTTATGGAGGCATTTAGTCTAATTCAAGGCGTTGTGTTGGGGGCAAGCCCCTCATTTAGCGAGGCAGCTGAAAAACTTAGAAACCATCCAACTTTCAATGTTTATGGATATTTAATTGTTTATTCATTAACAAAACCATACAAATGCAAACAAATTATTTTTCTGCTAATTTTGAGTTTTATCGCAATGCAACGTTACCTAGATCTACCCCAAGTTCCCAAAATTCAAATCTTTCGCGTGGCCAACTCTACACCTAATATACAGCCCCCCAATATAACTTAAAATATTATTTGCTTAGAAAAGGAAAACAGAACGTCATCCCATTACTAAATTCGTACATACCTCCATGTATCATGGATAGTCATTTTTACAATCTTCATGGTGTGTTGTCAATTTGTCAAAAACGGTAACACTGCCAAATTATCAGCTGATAATCGTTTGTTGATAATCTAAAAAGATCTTTTTCACGTGCATCACTTGACGTCATTTTAAGAACAGGTTCACGAAATGACAACTCGGGGAGCTGTTGTTCGAACTAATACACACGTTCACAAAACACTTGTATCTCTATTCTGTTTGAATTAACAGAATTGTAATCAATATTTACCGTCCATTTTCATGGTCTCCCTTGTAGCTGCTGCCCGTGTACTCCATCTTGAGGCTTCCACTGTTGTCATAGCAATCTCGCGAGAGTTCGCGAACTGTAGTACATGAAGCGCGATTAAGGGAAGCTACTCTAAATATGAACCCTCATTAAAAGAAGCGCCTTAAAATGACGTTTTTTAAATATATAACAGGTTCGCTTGGTTTACTGATCTTTATTTGATATGAATATGATGTTTAAAATTAAGGCTAGTGTAGGATACTGGGTTACACACAGTACTTCGTTCCGTGGTGGTTCGTTCGAAATTGTGCGATAAAATAGTGATAAATAGAATAAATATGTTTCCTCTTTGTTTCAGTACAAATCGGATGAAATTATATATATATATATATATATATATATATATATATATATATATATATATATATGTGTGTGTGTGTGTGTGTGTGTGTGTGTGTGTGTGTGTGTGTGTATTATCAATCTTTCCTTCAGTATTCAATCACGAGTCATAAACAACAGAATGCCACGAAATAGGTGAAACCTAAGGGCGAACGATAGGCCAAGGACTGAGCAAATATAATTTTATGATTATGAACAACAGTTGCAAATAGGCGGTTAAGTGTCCAGATTTGCGTTAAGGTATATAATTATAGAAAGAAAAGAGAGTTCAGTGACCCTGGCAGAAACAACACAATATCACCAAGCCCCGTGGTTACTCAAATATAATTAATAACACAATTAAATGTATGCCTGTCTATATTATATCAATATGAGCCTCCTCATTAGAAAATAATATTAACCTTACGATAGGTAAAGGGGTTCCAGATGCTATGTCAAACTGAAAATATCTGAAAAAAGAGCATTTAAACGATAAACTTTTGTACACAATTCAGAGTGTTGAGAGCGACCACGATCACGGTATAAGGGAGATAAATCCTGTCGTCAAAATGATGTCACGTGTTCACGGGAAGGAAGCAAGATGATTGGTTATAATATACCTTCACCTTCATCCTTGCGTTGTCGTCTCAGGTTAGGCTTCCGGCTTTCTACGCGCGTCGTAAACTTGCATTTGTCTAGGAGCCGGTAAAGGCCATCTTTTTTAATTAAACGCTCAGTCCGTTTTTTTGACTTCACATCCGGCTTAGCTTTGTTGGACCCTATATTGAGGGTGCACGGGTTGCCGGCCCAGTCACCTATGGTTGTGGGTTCGAATCCCGGTTCGCCGCGATTATGTTTTTAGTTTTGTCAGCATCATACTTGTGCTCATGGTTTCACCAAGGTGGTAAACGTATGAGACCTGCATCACTTCTTGCTGTCTTCCGACATTAAGCTAACACGTCGTGTCGTTTTGTCAAAACAGTTCAAAGCAGCGCAAACCCATCCCCCGCTCCACTCCACCCCCTCCCTCACTCACTGTATTGATGTCGCGCTGAAAGATCCAGGAACTGGTTTACATGCAATGCCAATGCAAGATGCGCTAACGTTAGCTTAACGTATAAATAAACATAATTATCATTTGGTCTTATATAAAATGATGGGGACCGCCTCCGTGGTCTTGTGGTAGATCGTCCGCCCGGAGAGAGGAAGGTCCGGGGTTCGATCCCCGACCGCGTCACAACAAAAGACGTTAAAATATGGTACTTGTTGTTACCCTGTCTGGCGCTCGGCATTAACGGGCTAAAACAAGGACTGGTCGGCTCGGAGTCAGTATTCTGTGTCTGAGTGGGGTATTCATGTTAAACTGCGGCATGGTATCTCAGTGAGCTAGCACTATAAATCGGCATCAGTCCGGACTAGTACACACACACCTACATGCACGTCGCTATATAAGTGCAATAATCTTGGACGCGACGTTAAACCCCATTTCACCTCACCTCACAACAAACACCATCCTAAATGTGATGTCGTTGCTGACAAAGTATCTCTCTTCTACATCTGCACGAACAAAACATACGGCTCCCATTGGAATGATAACATAACTGGTGGCAGATCACTGAGATTTTGTCTTGAGACCAGACATTTTCCCCCGCAAAACCTGATATTTGTCTAATCATAGCAATGAGTCAAAATATGTATTTTCTTCTAAAAACACATTGCAACAATGTAATTTGTGTGGCAGACAATTATTTGCCAACAATATAAAGCATAACTATAACTTAAAGTTCCTTTTGCCTTAATAGGGGGCACGGGTGGCCCAGTCGTCTAAGGCGCCGCGATTCGCTGTGCAGAGTTGCGTCCCTTGGGCACGCCAGAAACCTATGATTGTGGGTTCGAATCCCGGTTCGCCCCGATTATGTTTCTAGGTTTGTCAGCACCATACCCGTGCTCGTGGGTTTTACCGAAGTGGTAAACGTCTGAGACCTGCATCACTTCGGGCTTTCCTCCCACATTAAGCTGGCACGCCGTGATATAACTGGAATAATGTTAAAAGCGGCGTTAAACCCAACTCACTCACTCACTTTTGCCTTGATAAGAATTTACAGCAAAAGACGAAACCCTGCGGCGGTCCAAAAACAACGATGACACCCATATCAATTACATCACCATAAATCGTGTGTTCGTTTCATTTTTAGCCACCGTCAAACATAGATGTATACTCTCTGTTGCCTGGCAGCATAGATTACAAACGTAACTCTTCGAAAACTCTGCCCCAAATGTATTTTGTCAAATAGAAAAGATGGGAAATCATTATTATTTTAATATCAGGCAAAGGAATTCATATGCGACAACAATGAACGTTTGCCCTAATAAGCTGGCAGGAACTGGCACTTCCATATCTGCGTTATACAAGCTGGTGTGTGCTGTTGACAGCTGATTGTGTGTATCTCGGCTACACGGAGACCGTGTCGTTAGCTCAATCACTGAAACTGATATGACACGGTCTGTTTAGACGCCGTATACCTGATTATAATGGGCATACTCTGCTGTCAACAAGCACACTGCCCAACAATGGCCTCGGATGGTGCGTGGCTGCACGCTCTGACCGTCTCCTGCCTCCTTGTGCTGTCCCTCGGGCAGAGTAAGCTGTATGTGGGGGACGGGGCTTTGAGGCTGGGTGGGGAGAAGGTGTATCTCTCAGGGGTCAATCAGGCTTGGGTCAACTACGCGTGTGACTTCGGACAAGGACACTACAACAAAACTCGGCCTCAGCTGATGAAAACGTTGGATAGTATTTACGATAATGGAGGTAACTCGTTACGTAAGTATTCGAAGCAGAGAGAAAGAGAGAGAGAGAGAGAGAGAGAGAGAGAGAGAGAGAGAGAGAGAGAGAGAGAGAGAGAGAGAGAGAGTGTCTTTGTACGTGGCTGTTCACGCCTGGTTTGATTATTCTAATTATTGCCTTTTAATTTCTGTTACTTGATCTACGGATTATTCCAGAAAAAATATTTAAAATTGTGCAAAACAATACTTGTTTAAAGTGGTGTCTTAATATTACAGTCGGAAGCGTGAAAGATAAAATATATCACACCAGTTAAAGCGAAACATTGTTAAAGCCAAGCATCGGATGATGAGGCTCTGTGATGAGGTTGATGCATGACATCGTATTCCAACTGCATGGATCGATGTTCATGTCAATCACTGGCGTGTCTGGTCCAGAATCGATTACTCACCGACCACCGTCATATGAATTGGAAATTGTTGAGTGCGTCGTTGAACAATAAACTGAAAAATGACCCTCATAAATTTAAATTTTAATTCACATTTATAAATTTAGGGTCGACATATTCATAATAATAATGAATACAACAAACGCCTAAACACTCTCATGGACAGAACGCTTGTCTCATACATGTAAAAGATCCTGTGTAACCGCGTGTGTCAGAAACGTTTTGGTCCTCGTGAACCAGTTTGTCAGAGTACGAGTTGGATTGTTACATGTCCGAATAATTGACCCTTTCAAAACGGAAGTTGGAACAAGAAGTAGGTCAGGTGACTCCGGGTCGTATTTCTCTCAGCGCCTATTGAGTGAAACTGAAACTATATTGCACTTCCTCTGTGTGTGCGTGCCTTACAGAATAACGCGCACCTAGAATACATTTAATGGGATTCATCGAGCACTCATGTCTGAGCGGAGGCGGCGAAGTAGCATATAGAGGTTAAAGAGCTCGCGCGTCGCGGCGATGACCCGGGTTCGATTCTCGACATGGGTAAAATGTGTGAAGCCCATTTCTGGTGTCCCCCGCCGCGATATTGATGGGGTGGGGTGGTGATGGTGGTCTTTTACGACAAGCATTGTCGCTTCTTACGGCAAGCATGGGTGGTGGAGACCTTTTCTGACCCGGATCTTCACCATTGTGAGCGTGTATTTTACAGGTAACACTGACGCAACTATAAGGTCATTATGCAAAAGTATAGATAAATTATAAATCAACCAGAAAAATGGTTTTTGTTGGAGAAATCACACAAATTCTCACGATTTGTCCACTACTTTGTACAGCACCATACCCGTGCTCGTGAGGTTCACTAAAGTGGTAAAAGTCTGAGACCTGCATCACTGCGGGCTTTCCTACCACATCAACCTCACACACCGTGATATAACTCCAATACTGTTCGACAGGGGTGTTGAACACAACTCAATGACCAATACCGCGTATTTTCTGGATATGAAAATATATTTTACGGTAGCTTTGGTTAATATTATTTCTACTTCACCTGATAGATGGTAGCTGTTCCCAATTCCATTGCTGATGGGAGTTAGCGTAAAAAAAGTATGCAATAAAATGAACCCTGTTTCTGTACATGCAGGGATGTGGCTCCACATCGATGGCTCGTCCACACCGAATTTCAACAGCTCTGGCTTTGTGACCGGCCTTGACCGCTACCTCATCCATGACCTTACCGATTTCCTGAACGAGGCTGGGAAGAGAAACATCCTCATCACCTTAGTGTTGTGGAACTGCGCCGTTAAACCTGGTAATTTTCACACAGCCTAATCTCAAAATCTCAAAAGCTCCTATTCTGCAAGTTCCTGATCAACGATGTTTCTCAAGTTTGTTCGTTTTCCAAAGGTAACAGACCCCTGTATATTTCACAGCAATGAGTCAATTGACTGAAGTTCTTGTGGGTACATCTGTATGCCATCATGTAACGCCCACAACGCAATATTTCACTTTTACACAATTTCTTCTATGTGAGGCTCAGAACCTAACGATCAACTATGGAAGCTATGATACAACTCCAAAAAAAGAAGAAAAAGGGTTTTGGGTCGGCAGCTCAAGATAACGGTCAGTTGGGAAAACACAGATTTTTTTTTTACATTAGCTTTAACAATTCCCACTGTTGCGGTCTGCTTTTTATAAAGTCAGAATACCATGTTATTCACATTAAACTGTCACCTGTATACCACGCATATGGAAGTGTTAAACAAATTACAAACGTCATAAAAAGTTACTTGGGTGAAAACAGTCACCAACTGATGGTCCAAACCACTTCCATATTCTTCCCGAGGCAAGAGAGTTAACTGAGTATAAAAGTCCAGTTTCCACCCTTGCCGAACTAGGCTGGAATTATGAAGTCTGACGAGTCCATGCACAATCCAATCAAAATCGCGTAACGAAATGAACACCCGCTTCGTCAACTGCAGATTTCGGTCGATTGCAGAATTTGTGAAACATGTGTACCGCCAACTCAGCGTCAACAGATATTTTCCAAATCTTTTCATGTTTTCAATCAAGGTGTTCACGTGATTTGATGCACTTCGCGATGTAAGACCCGTTTTATCACAATGCAGATTTTGATTATCGATCAGATCGTCCTGACTGAGCGCCGCCATTTTGTTTGAAGCAAATGCAGGTGATATGAGAGGTGGATTTTGATTGGTCAATAAGCGGGACATAGAAGGAACATAACTCGTAATAGCCTCTAATGGGCTACGATCAAGCCCAGAAATTCCAGCTAAGGCAAGGGTGGAAATTGGACTTTTACAAGGTGCCATCATATCCGTATCAAATACATCACCATCGAATAACCATTTCTTGTTTCATTGTTAGCCACCGTCAAACCTAGGCCTATACTTTCTTTCCCCCGGCAGTTTACTTAAGGAATGTCATTGTACTTAAACATATGATAAACCATGGTTTACCTTTTGTGTTCTGTATCAGGGCACAGATTGGGCGGCCTTCTGTATGACGACTCCAAGCTGCAGTCGTACATAGATAACGGGTTGAGACCGCTTGTGAAGGCCCTGAGGAACAACTCAGCTTTAGGGATGTGGGAGATTGTCAATGAACCGGAAGGATGCGTGGACGTCGGTTAGCGCCTTTACTGACTTCAGTATTTTGTAGTCGCTTTGCCGTCAACATATTGTATTATTCATGTTAAAATGAGGGGCGGTCGGGTAGCCTAGTGGTTAAAGCGTTCGCTCGTCACGCCGAAGACCCGGGTTCGATTCCCGACTTCGGTACAATGTGTGAAGCCCGTTTCTGGTGTCCCCCGCCGTGATAAATTCCTGGAATATTGCTAAAATCGGCTTAAAATCATACTCTGTCAGTCAGTCATGTTATAATGTTGAGACTCATGAACCTCCACCAGAAACTTGGTCAGAGCAAGCATATGTGGGGCAGTAAGAAACAGATCGCGGTCGCTGTTACCCTGTGAGGAATGATGAAAGGTGCCCGATGAAGCGAACGTAAAATATTGCTTTCCCTGCGTGTTCTGCAGCATCTCTGTCCTCACTCTATGCTGCCTAAAAGTGCGTCCGTCTGTGTGGTACCTTACCTTACCACTAAATAATTTCAGTTTTAAAGGCTTTAATAGACATATATCATGATTTTTACAGTCCATACGTAGCATTTAAGTCCTTTTTCACGCTTCGAGCACACAATAATAAATCATACATGTTTTTTTATAATCTTTAGTTTTGCTGATTCCTCCGAATCTTTGAACGACCATGTGGTCCCTTCACCGGTAACCTTCCCCATACCTTCCAGTTTCAACTCTTAGGGGAGCTACACCACATCTACAAAGGGCCAGTGCCCTTCTATGTGGACGAGACATGTTACAATATACATAAAATACACAACCAAATTCATTTTTAAAAGTATTAAAGGTATTATATTAAAGGTTCGCAGTTTGTTACCACCTCTTCCAGTTTTACTGCCTGCTCGTGACACTTCATGTTTCATTTATGTACATAATCACAAAAACTAACGTCAGTAATTTGTGATACAACATATACGATATAATAATCAAAGTTTATGTTTTTAAAATGAGCTAAATTAAGTTGTCCACGAACTCTGTAATTCCAGTTACGTTTTGTCTTTTTCATTACTCCAAATAAAAAAGTGGAAGTTACTCCATTACAATCTAATTTACACAAGCGTCTATAAAATCTTGACACACTTCTCCACTGATAAACGCCAGTTGGCGGCCAACCCATATCGCCGATAACACCATTGTTCGCTTCATACTTGCGTAAGCCTAAAGTGAAACGCACGGCACGATTAGGAACAGCATTAACGAAAGAAAAGTTATAAGTGCCACAGTGGCCTATACAATAGAACGATCCAACCTAGAGTGAGTGAGTGAGTTGGGTTTAACGCCGCTTTTAACAGTATTCCAGTCATATCACGGCGTGTCAGCTTAATGTGGGAGGAAAGTCCGAAGTGATGCAGGTCTCAGACGTTTCCACTTCGGTGAAACCCACGAGCACGGGTATGGTGCTGACAAACCTAGAAACATAATCGGGGCGAACCGGGATTCGAACCCACAATCATAGGTTTCTGGCGTGCCCAATGGACGCAACTCTGCACAGCGAATCACTGCGCCTTAGACGCCTGGGCCACCCGTACCCCCGATACAACCTATTGCGTACCAACTAGGACTTTTTATATTGTTTTCCGTAGGCCTAGCTCTTTGTTTGCCGCACATGCTTCAGCTTTTGTCATACGACCAAAGTGTTCTGTTGAAAGCATTTTACTCAAAACACGTATTTTTCTTTGAAAAGAGAAGCCATTTGCAAACATGTCCAGCGAAAAATTGTTTGGGGGCAAAAACAGAGGACAAATTATTGTTTTCCAATTTTTTAACAAATATTTTTAAAAAAAGAAAGAAAATACCAGCAAATGGGGACTTTGGATTATGGAGTACACGTTAATAACCGATTCACCAAGATGCACTTGTGGAGTATTAAAACGTATTCCTGCTCTTGTACTTCCAGACCACGCTTCCAGCGAGACCTGCTATGACACCACGTCGCTCAATTTCTTGGACTTCGCTGATTGGACACACGCTCACGTTCCATTACAGAGACTCCTTGTTTTCATTGGACGACAGGTGACGGCCATTCACGAGGAGGATAATGAGGTGAGTAGTGAGTGAGTGAGTTGGCTTTTAAGCAACTTTGAACATTTTTACAACCTAATGTTAGAGGAAGAAACTAAGTAAATTCGTAGACAGAAATCAGTTGGGTAAAACCGCGAGCTATTTTATGCTGCGGACAAACCAGGGATCATAAACAGGAGGAATCTTGATTAGCGGATCCTGACGCAACTCTGCACAACGATTTGGTGCGCGTTAGATTGATCACTGGTTGCCACCCGTGCTCCCCTACCGTATTATCTATACCCCTGTTCCCGTGTTACATATACCTCAGACACTTGTAGATACTGTATCACCTATGCTAAAGTCTTAGATCTCACACCGTATTATCTATACCCCTGTTCCCGTGTTACATATACCTCAGACACTTGTAGATACTGTATCACCTATGCTAAAGTCTTAGATCTCACACCGTATTATCTATACCCCTGTTCCCGTGTTACATATACCTCAGACACTTGTAGATAAAGTCTTAGATCTCACACCGTATTACCCGACCGTGTCAAACCAAAAGACGATTAAAGATGGTATTTGTTGTTACCCTGGCTGGCGCTCGGCATTAAGGGGCTAAAACAAGGACTGGTCGGCTCGGAGTCAGTGTACTGTGTCTGAGTGGGGTATTCATGTTAAAATGCGGCATGGTATCTCAGTGGGCTAGCACTGTAAATCAGCATCACACACACACACACACACACACACACACACACACACACACACACACACACACACACACACACACACACACACCACACACACACGTGCATGCACGTCGCAATATAAATGCAATATCCTGGTAGATATGACACCGTATTACCTCTACTCCATTCCCTGGTAGATATGACACAGTATTACCTCTACTCCAGGCTCTGGTAGATATAATACCGTATTACCTCTACTCCAGGCTCTGGTAGATATGACACCGTATTACCTCTACTCCATTCCCTGGTAGATATGACACCGTAGTACCTCTACTCCATTCCCTGGTAGATATGACACAGTATTACCTCTACTCTATTCCCTGGTAGATATGACACCATATTACCTCTACTCCAGGCTCTGGTCACTGTGGGGTCGTGGACGTACAAGTCGGTCACTAATCAGTTTGCGAGACGCAACTTCTACTCTGACCACTGTTTACAGCTAGCCAGCGGTCAAAACAACAGCGGCCTTGACCTTTATCAGATACACACCTACTCCACGCTGGGCATTTACTGGCCAACAGATCCCTTTAAAGTGAGTGGAATAAACCTGCATGTATTGATCTGTTTTCTCAGTTGCATCATATATTAACTATAGCAAAAGTTTCTTATGCAATCAAGTAATATTAACGTTTTGAATTATATTACATAGGTATTTTTGTGTTCAATGTGCTATCGTTCTAGATCAACCTAATTAAACCTACATCTTTTACTCCAACACCATAACTCTTAGTGTAAAGATCCGAGGACATCTACGGGGAGGGTCTTGTAAGGCGACTCCTTGGCGGACCTTGAAGCTTCTCCAGCCAATCAGATGTCCGCTTTCTAAATCAATTCGGCTTAATTTCTTCACCACCTCAATTCGGAAATTTTGATCTCATATTCAAAGGCGCCCAGAAACGACAGGGTGTGCAAAATAATGTACTTGCGCGACATGATATGTTGCAATCGGAACTGAATTGTATACATTTTCGAGATACAGAAATAAGATATGCTTGTCTAAATACTTCAGAAGCTGCGAAGTGGCGGTAGGGTAGCCTAGTGGTTAAAGCGTCCGCTCGTCACGATGACCCGTGTTCGATTCCCCACATGGGTACAATGTGTGAAGCCCATTTCAGGTGTCCCCCGCCGTGATATTGCTGGAATATTGCTAAAAGCGGCGTTAAACCCCACTCACTCACTCGATGCTTATTGGCTCATTTGAAAGTTCACCTGACAGAACAACAGATCTTCTCGCAGAGAGAAAAAGGTCTGATGTTAATGAGATTGAAACCAGATGAAAACCATTTTGAACGGAAGATTGTTGCAGGGTAACATTATTCGACTATTGTAATTCTATGTTAAAGTATGGGAGTTACGGTCGTCTCAGCGCTAAAACGCTTTGAGGAACGGGGCCCTGGATACGTCGAATTGTGGTTTATATGATTCAGTATGAACACATATGATTCAGTATGAACACATGATTCAGTATCAACACAAACGATTCAGTATGAACACATATGATTCAGTATCAACACATATGATTCAGTATGAACACATATGATTCAGTATCAACACATATGGTTCAGTATCAACACTTATGATTCAGTATCAACACATATGATTCAGTATCAACACATATGGTTCAGTATCAACACATATGCTTCAGTATCAATACATATGATTCAGTATAAACACATATGATTCAGTATCAACACATATGATTCAGTATCAACACATATGATTCAGTATGAACGTTCCACAGGTATCGGCGACAAAATACGCCCTGGACAAGCCTGTCATCATCGGTGAGTTCAGTCAGAAGAAAGGAGCCGGACTGTCAGCGGCCCAGCAGTTCAGCTGGGGCTATCACCATGGTTACAGCGGCACGTGGGGATGGAGCGTCAGGGGAGGCGACCCTGCTGCCGACAACTTGCACGTGCTGGAAACAGGCATGCGCGAACTCCGCGGACAAAACAACCAATCAGCAGGGGGCATTGTAAATTTTGTTATTCCATCTCAGCAAAGCGATAGTTGGCACATGTATCCAATACGATTTTTCATGTTTTTGTATTCATTTTTCATGAATTAATAAAAAAATGAATTAAATAATGAATATAATTAAGGAAGTCACTAAAATGGCGCGCCATTAGCCATAACCAACCGACCGCCTCCGTGGTCTAGTGGACAGATTGTCTACCTGGAGATCAGTGGTTCGATCCCCGTCGCGTCATATCAAAAGACGTTAATAGATGGTATTTGTTGTTACCCTGCCTGGCGCTGGCCTTTAAGGGCATAAAACAAGGACTGGTCGGCTCTGAGTCTCTGTGCATGAGTGGGGTATCCATGTTAAACTGCGGCGATGTATCTCAGTGGGCTAGCACGTCTCTATATAAGGGCAATAATCTTGGACGTTAAACCCCATTTCACCTCACCTCACCTCACCGCAGCCAACCTGCTGACATTTCATAATGGTTAAGGTGTCATTGTTGACTTTCTGAAAAACTTGACTACGGGTCCGTTGTTTATGGTGAGGCCTGTAAAAACAATATGAAAAAATTAAACACGACACACCACCGAGGACTAAGCCTGTTTTGGTGCGTTTAGAACACATTCTGTAGACAGCTTGTACGTGAAGGTGAGGTGAAATGGGGTTTAACGTCGCGTCCAAGATTATTGCACTTATATAGCGACGTGCATGCACGTGTGTGTATGTGTGTGTGTGGCTGCTTGTACTAGTCCGGACTGATGCCGATTTATAGTGCTAGCTCACTGAGATACCATAGTTTAACATGAATACCCCATTCAGACACAGTTTACTGACTCCGAGCCGACCAGTCCTTGTTTTAGCCCCTTAATGCCGAGCGCCAGACAGGGTAACAACAAGTACAATCTTTTAACGTCTTTTTGTATGACGCGGCCGGGGATCGAACCCCGGACCTTCCGCTCTCCGGGCGGACGCTCTAACGCTAGAACATCGCTAGAACATCTGCTTCACTTGCTGCTTTATTACTTTTGAAATTTGCTTTCTGAAATTTCATTTCTTGTAGGTGATTCAAGAATATCTTAAGTAAGCTGGCAAAAAGAGTTAACAAATGCATTCGATTCGTCGATTTCAAAACATCTTTCCTTCTTCTCCGAGGTTGAAAATAGATTCTTGAGTTACTGAGTAAGTTAAAGTTTAACGTCACAGATCCTTGAAATAGTTAAATCTATCATCAATTGGAATATTGTTTTGTGAATAACAGTTAGTGTTTAGCCCTTTAAGAGTGGTCCAAAATTGTTTAGAATCGGGTATACAATGTACAAGTGTTTTTGCTTCCCTTTGAAAAAAGCGCTTTCTTTTCTCTGCAGACACTGTTATATTTATTTCTAATATAATCATACTCATATATAGAGGTTATCACGCGAGTGTGTTTGGGGCTGGTAAATATCCTGCATTAGGAATAAACATTGTATTTAGCGAGCCTTGGCGAGCTAAATACATAGTGTTTATTCCTAATATAGGATATTTACCATCCCCAAACACACAAACGTGATAACCTCTTTATCATATAATGTCATTCTTTAATTCTGTGCTTCAAAATCGCTTTCCCTCACTCAAAAAACATTACCGAAACATTGCGAATTTTCCTGGAATGCGCGCATTAATATTTATTACGTCACAGGGTAAGTAATGTGTCAGTCGGACAGTGACAGTAACCAATATAGTTCCAACTGAAATCTGTTTCTTATACAGTGGCGAAGCAACATATACGCAAAACAACAATTGTTTTTATTTGCCTTTCGCGGCAATCCATCGGTCTGTCCGCTAGAGTAACTGCCCTTTGTCAAAGGGAAGCTAATCTAACCCTAGTCTATGAGACGTCACGACCAGGGTCAGATGTTGTTGACAGTCGGTCTGTCCTGTCATAACGATAAGAAGTGTCGTCAGATGTACACACAGCGACAAAACGAAACAAGGTAACAATTCAAACATATTTCCGCCAAATCCAACTATTTTAATTTGTTGAGGAGGTTTCAAGCCGCAGAGGTCTACAAGCACAGATATGGCTACTGATCCCGCTTGGCTAGGCCTCGTGCCCTCGCCAAATTGTTTCGAAATTTATATCTCCAAAGTTGCCAAAACTTATAAAATGCCTCAGCTACGTCACAGTTAGACACAGATTTTCAGTATATTAGACTGTTCTTTTGATAATGATAGCAATTATCCCTGTAGTTTATCCAGATTCCTGATGGTTAATTCTGACTCGATCGCCGAATGACAAGGGCGACGCCATGTTTGTTTATAAACAGTGAAAGTAGTCCCCTACTTGACCTTTGATATTCGATCTCTATCCGCATATGACCCCAACGGATATCGTTTTTATCCGTTGGCTTTATCCTGCCGAGAAACCTACCCACTATATGATAAAATGAGTTATTATCCTTTCCTCCTAAAATTGTTTAAATATTTACATCATTCTTTTTTAAGTAGCTCACATTCACGGTCAAACCACTGTTGTCTACATGTGTTAAACGTACAGGCTCTTTTCTTATCTTCTAGGTTTGTCAGCACCATACCCGTGCTCGTGGGTTTCATCGAAGTGGTAAACGTCTGAGGCCTGCATCACTTCGGGCTTTCCTCCCACTTTAAGCTGACACGCCGCGATATGACTGGAATACTGTTAAAAGCGGCGTTAAACCAAACTCACTCACTCACTCACTCTTTTCTTATCACTTGCTGCCGCCCACAAGGCCCCTGACACTTGTCTTTATCTATATTGTCTGACACTTCGTCAACAGCCTTTTCTGATAAAGAATAGCATTCACTGCTCAACAAGTTGTTCATAAATTGGCAAGCTTTTATCGTTGACCCAAAACAAATGTCCAAGCCTTCTTATTACTATGTGCTTGCACGGGTTTACTCTGCACAGAAGTATTTGAGCTAGCAAGGACAGGAAGATGAGAGGATTCCGTGTGTGATACTATGTTGAAATTACAACATACGTCAAACAACCCAGATGAACAGATAATGTAATCTATGACGCTAGCTCCTTGATTGCCAATAACCTGTTGTCCCCAACTTCTGAGTCTGACCCACGTCTATCATTATTACATTATGTGTGTCGTGGAGAATGTTTACCGAATCCCTTGGTGTAACTTCCTTCTTGTTGATGAACTTGCCCTGACGAGCTGAATCGACTGCGTGGTAACAACGCCACAAGATCAATAACAAAATATAGGTCCAGGGTACATTTCTCTTTACTTGTATGTTTGTGTGACTGAGTAGAAACAGTAATCACTTCAACTCACATATCGATTTTCAACTCATATATCGCGTTTTGGCCAAGTCTGTTTACTTTAAGATAAGGCTCACTCACGATCACCTTCAGACATAAATCTCCCTAGCCCGACAAATCTTCTCCCTTCCCCCCTCTCAACTATGGTTTGCAGACTGGCGAACTTCAACAGAGGTGCAAATGTACACCCAGTCGATATTTTTACTATTTTCATGAACTCGATGTTCACATATTTTTCGACATTTATGATTGAGGTTGCAAATAGTGATCCCGGATCATCTAGTCGATTTAATTTTTTTTTCAAATCATTTTAATATATAAATGCGAATCTGTTTGATTACAAGACTTAGAAATTAGGAACTTACGTAATGCACAAATGTGCATATCAATTACTAGTCTTATAAGATATCTATTATGGTCGCTCCTGTTACACATTCGGTGACAAGTCTGTCCTGTCCAGAAAGCTTAGTAGGCGGTCTCCGGCCAGATGCTCTGTCCACTTAACCACGGAGGCGGTCTCCGGGCAGACGCTCTATCCACTAAACCACGGAGGCGGTCTCCGGGCAGACGCTCTATCCACTAAACCACGGAGGCGGTCTCCGGGAAGACGCTCTGTCCACTAAACCACGGAAGCGGTCTCCGGCCAGACGCTCTGTCCACTAAACCACGGAGGAGGTCTCCGGGCAGACGCTCTGTCCACTAAACCATGGAGGCGGTCTCCGGGCAGACGCCCTGTCCACTAAACCATGGAGGCAGTCTCCGGGCAGACGCCCTGTCCACTGAACCATGGAGGCAGTCTCCGGGCAGACGCTCTGTCCACTAAACCAGGGAGGCAGTCTCCGGCCAGACGCTCTATCCACTTAACCACGGAGGCAGTCTCCGGGCAGACGCTCTATCCACTAAACCACGGAGGCGGTCTCCGGGCAGACGCTCTGTCCACTAAACCACGGAGGCGGTCTCCGGGCAGACGCCTTGTCCACTAAACCACGGAGGCGGTCTCCGGGCAGACGCTTTGTCCACTAAACCACGGAGGCAATCTCCGGGCAGACGCTCTGTCCACTAAACCACGGAGGCGGTCTCCGGGCAGACGCTCTGTCCACTAAACCACGGAGGCGGTCTCCGGGCAGACGCCCTGTCCACTAAACAACGGAGGCGGTCTCCGGGCAGACGCTCTGTGCACTAAACCACGGAGGCAGTCTCCGGGCAGACGCCCTGTCCACTAAACCATGGAGGCAGTCTCCGGGCAGACGCCCTGTCCACTAAACCATGGAGGCAGTCTCCGGGCAGACGCTCTGTCCACTAAACCACGGAAGCGGTCACCGGGCAGACGTTCTGTCCACTAAACCACGGAGGCAGTCCCCGGGCAGACGCCCTGTCCACTAAACCACGGAGGCAGTCTCCGGGCAGACTCTCTCAAGCGAGTAAATGAAAATGACATTATCAATATGACAGCCATGTCGTACGGATCAGAATTATCGGCCGACCAGTTTTCTAGTATGGCACAGAATAACAACAGAAGAGAATGTTTAGGTACAAAAGGCCACGTTGTGGAAAGCGGCGACGGGCGCTAGATCAAGCAAAGGGAGATAACTCCCAGCAGCAGTGAAAACCATGTGCCCTCTCCTGTACAGCTGATGAGCTTTATGCATTTGTGTCCACCCACGGAAGCATGAGGGCTGGCATGGGCTCCCACTGTACAAGCAGGCAACCGAGCATACGAGCGAAACCTAATCGGTCCAGCGTCCGTCCAAACCTTGCCACACCTGACGAGATATAATAATATAAGACACTAATCAGTGATAAACAATAACAGCATTTATAGTATTTGACGTTTAAGATGCAATGTGCATGAAGTTGCGACAAGAGCAAGGAAAGGGAGGATAACTGTTTTCTAAATATACAGCGTATTGTATGGAGTTACAAGATGGCGAAGTGAGTGTTTGTGAAATGACGTAATATATATGACGTCATAATATGACGTCATTTGAAAAACGATTAACAAGCGCAAGTGTTTGTTTGGCAGCAAGGCCACGTGTTGTCGTTATGGTTATTGCGTATCACAAATGGTATGACAAATGGTATGAGTTAAATTATTACAGAGTGTATAATTATATTACTGAGTGTAACTTAGGGACACTCTGTAAAGTTTAATGCGGGTGTGTGTATGAATGGATGAGTGTGCACCTGTGTGCATGTGGATGAAAGTGAATACATGAAACATATAGCATACTTTGAAATGCTTGGAAGTGAAATTAAGATCATAAGCTAAGGTATTTAGCAGACCAGTAACACCATGTGGCTAAATATTGCGAAAAGACATGTGATCAAATTTTAGGGTCAACATGCTGACGTCATAAAATACGGCGTCATAAACCAGAAGGGGAGATAACTGTGGCGAAGATCAAGGGTCGTAGCGGGGGCAAACACCAAAATATACCAAACAAATAAAGGGTTATTCCACAGGCTACATCCAGAAATATTGACACTTTGAAATGGGATTCGAAATTTGTGAACACATTTCAGAGACATGACTCTAATCACAGATAGATAGATCTTCTTTATTTCCTCCATTTCATGAAGAGTACAAGGTATACAGTGAAAAGACAACATCTATAGTATAAATGTGCACACACACATATATATAGGTATATTACATATATGTCAGAAGTAGTTCATATATTTCAGAGACATGACTCTAATCATATGGGTTTCATGCGCCTTCAGAAGAAATGTCGAAAACATTATGTTAACAAGAAACGCATTACGACGCGTCGCAAATACATGTACACTTACATGACCTACAGTCAAGAGAACTACAAAGATATCAACTTTTTTTTATGCTTGGATGTTGTCTGCATTGTCGCTGATGTTAACGATATTTTCGTAGAAATTCTCTGGGCTGTTTCTTCTATCTAGCTCCAGGTATATGTTACTGCGCTGGGAGAAAGGAGCGTTCAGAGAACTCTCTGTGGGTGTCGGTGGAGCCGGATGACGTTGTGTGCAATTATCCTTAGATGATTTCATCTTCCTGCGCCTGCAAGAAACGACGACGTCCTTCAAAATGACGAGCAAATTAAATCATTTTCTCTGTAAAATAAATAGGAGTGATAACAATGCTGTGATATTATTATGGTTTAATTGTTCGTAGTTAATCATTCCAAAGGAAAACTGCATCAAAGTGGTTGAAGGCACTAGGACAGATTGAAGGTAGTTGTGGGTTTGTCAACAAGACGTCTCCGATATTTGTCGCAGTCTGCCTACTTTGTGTCTCACTCCCATACCACCCACCACATAGACAACCACAGCAGGATGCAATACTTACACATAGAGAACATATCCGATGAAACCGACCAGCAGGGACACAATGATCACCCCACAACACACTACCACAATCATCGCAGCGTCTGGAAACATATAACAAATCAGTACCACAAACTAAACTTTAGGGTTTTGTTCTAGAATGGACATCACTTACATGCAAAGCTTAATGTCTCTAAAAACATTTTAAAATATATTTTCTGTACATTTCATTGATGTTCATAGAAGGTGGTTTCCTCAAAGTGTTTAACCTCTAAGACTGTATCACTTCGGGTTTTCCTTCCACCCCAAGCTGCCAGTCTGTGATTTGACAGAGATACTGTTCACTCAATCATAGAATAAACAAATTGTGAATGTAAAAAGCACAACGCCACGGACATTACGGAAACGCAACCGAACTTGACTGATATCTGTGCACCCATGTCCATCCGTATGTTGCAGTTGCACACTCAGTCCCAGGCTCATTTAATATATTTTCATGTCAATGACCCCACGTCTGGTGGCATGCATCAGGATCCAGGGTGTTCACACTTGTGTTGAAGTAAAACGCACGTCTGACAGCAACACACAGTTCCATAACGATAACTCAGACCAACATGTTCCTGAAGGAACGTACACGTGTGAATTGATGCACATTGGTCTGAACCTAAAACTGGGTTTTTAATGTCGCTAATTATATGTCACACAATAGTTGTACATTCACAGAGGTGCTACTTAAACAAGTCACTTACTGTTATTAAATAGCGGACCTTGCAGAGGAGTTTGTCCCTTAATCGTTGGTGTCGTCCCTAAACAAAATACAAGCAAATATGTATACATGGAAAATGTGATGGTACTTTAAATACATATTTCAACATTCTGGTAAAGAGACCCCAATCAATCACAAAATGAATGCATTTTGCCCTTTTTAAATAGTTGGAGTCATTATACTAATTTGTGTTGCCAAAATCGCACGAGGTAGTGATTCATGTTCTAGTCCCTGAATATGAAGATTATGGGCACAAAGGGTCCATGTAATTGTCAGTGTAGTCTGGCACAAAAACACAACATCACTGACAATAAAAACACAACCATACTTGACTTAGACTTTGCACGTGCATTTTGTGCACCCATGTCACACATCGTTGGTCACTTGACAGAAAAGGGCAACGACTTTGTTAAGTGGAGAGCAGCCAGGCAAATGGTTGAAACCAGGAAATTAGTTTGTCGGCCATTGCTAGACCCAGTACTCGGTACAACACCACTGGAGACGTTTCTTATGTCCAACCTCCAGTGCTTCACGTGCATCCATCTGTTACACGTGCACACTCAGTCGAAGGCTCATTTTCATATCTTTGCATGTCAATGCCTCCAGTTTGCAGACATGCATCATGTTCCAAGAGGGTTACACGAGTTGATGTCTGCGTTCAATGACCATAACTCACATGAACACCTGATTGAAAGAATCATCTTGACTTATCATGTGCACAACCATCTGCTAAAACGTAAAAATGCAAATTGATTCAAACTGATTCAATGCTTTTTTTTTTATGTTGCGAAATATACTATATACTATACATAAACTTTTACAGAGTAAATAATAAAATACTCACTGTCATCAAACATCGGGCCTTGGAGTGGTGTTTGAAAACTAATCTTTTGTGTCGTCTCTGAAAAATATGAGCAAATATTAATTGATATTGAGTTGATACCATGACTGCCAATATAAATGCAACATATTTATTTAATTCCTTTTTCCGGATTTTCGTTACAAATCAGCAAAGTAAACTAGCGCAAGATATGTTATGAATCAACGATCATTCATTGGAGTAAATCTTCCATCTTCCAAAATTATGCATTAATAAAAAAGAAGTATATCTAGACTGTATAAAATCATATCAAATCGTTGATTTATTTAAAACTAGTTTGAGAGCATGATAAAACACACTATTTTTCAGAAACACAATATAAAAACGGGCTATAGATCACCAGCAACTGAAGACGGATCACCATATTAGGGACCATGGGGACTTACAGTACTTTTTTCTACCTGCATGGACCCTAGCAGGGTTTATATCATCCCTTCAGGTGTTAGCAAATCATTGGCACATTAAGCCAAACATTAATAGAACACGTATTCTACGATTACGTGGTAGGAATAAATCGACTTTGAATGACTGTGGTCTTACATCCCCTCTCCAGGAGACAATTCTTTTGCACTACTTCAACCCCCTTCGAGGATACAGCCACTAACAATCTCAGTTATCAGATTTATTCTGCCAATTATAAAAAAAGGTTTATTTCATACACAACATATCAATCAAAATTTATGTAACAATTCAATTTCTTTGAAGAGAACAAGAATTAAACTTGGTTATACTTACGTGTATGATCTGGAGATTTGAAACTGAAGCCTCCATTGTCGATGCGATAATTACTGTATCCCAGGACACCGAAAGATGTATTTGAGCGGATGAACGTTGACGAACCAACTGTGCATGTCCCTACTTTATATGTTGTCCTTGGGATTGGTGTCCAGTCCACGTGAATATTGTTCACTGTAGATCCGTAGCGACGTTCAACATGCACGTTGTTACTTCCTTTATCTGTCAGTATTTGTAAAGTACCACCATAGATTAGTGTACTTTGCTTTGTGTGGTATTTAACGGGTGGTAAGACAGTGAACAAACCTTGCTTGAAGTACCCGCTTGACCCTGCAACAATACACAGTGTTGTCATAACCGGATGTGTGGTGTTGAAGTAAAGATGCGTACGGGGTCCATATCGCTTTTTGTACACCCTTGTGTCACCAACAGATACTGAAGAGCCGTCATTGAACCTGATCTGAGTGTCACTGTGGTCGGTGACGACCTGAAGCTGGTATGGCAGAGAACTGTGATATCGTTCCGGACTATTATCACGAATTGCAACAACATATTCATGTCCATGATGGCTGTTCGGGAGAAGTTGTTCATAGGCAATGAGACGAATGTAAGAAGCAGCTTTATATGTCGCAGTGTAGACGGCGATAGTCTCTTCGGCAGCTACTACTGTTCCAGTGAGATCAGATGAACTGTTGATTGTGAAAGTTTGGTACTCCATTAGTGTGAGGCTGAGCGTGTCTCCATGGGTGTACGTTTTGTTGTCATAGGTTACGTTACCATCCAGTCTAAATGTGATGTCCACATCAGTCTTCTTGCTGTGTGTGGCAATCACCATCAATGAGATGTAGCCACCAGAAGGATGGCAAGAGGTCATGACGTATTTTGTCCCTAAAGCGGAGATGGGGAGTGGAGAGAAACGAGTGTAGCCGCCGAGTCCTCTGATCTGAATCTCAACACTTTCTACATGGATAAGCATTGTTTTATTTTGAATACCATTTGTTGTGTTTACAGAATATTGGGGGTAGAAATAGTCAGTGTTGAATGGTTTGACTTGTCGAGACCAGATCTTCCCTGTGTATGGGTTTTGTATCTGCCATTGTCCTCCTTCCTTTCCAGTTGATGCACGTATCTCAGGGCTGTATTGAAATCTTGTGAGAGCCATCAGGTATGTTCGTCCTAAATACACACCTACTCAGGAAAAACAGGAAGTATTGTCAATTATCACTTCTAATGTAAAATGGGGTAGCTTTTCATATGCAGTTGTCTTAGTACCCTTGGTACTATCTTTCTTTGACTCGCATCCAATCATCACAAAATGTTACATACACAAGTGCACAATTGTTATTAGGACATTTCATTGAAAACATCACGACATAGTGGATTAGCTGGAGATTGAAGAGATCAGTGAAACTGTCTCATATTTAGTGTTGTGTTTGACTTTAAGAACATGTGACACTTTAATTTTAACCTTGATGATCCATTTTGCCAAGTTTAATCTTTTTAATATGTCTCAAAGTATGTTTACAGTGTTTGGACAAATAAGTGACGTTTTTTTTTGCGGTTCAGTATATTTAGATCGATGCATAAAGGTTCAGAGTGACATAAACACTATCCACAAGACTATGACAAGTGGAACAAGTTCCTAAAAGTCAACTTTCCCTTAATGTCAAGTGACATTCCATCAGCTACATTTCACAACTTTTGAGATACAACTGAGCATGCTCTTTCTTCAAAGGTTTCAAAAAGCATCATACGACGCTTGCTTGAAAGTTGACTGAACAGGGTCACAACATTCAAGGCCTCATTCAGGCTTTCAAGAAGTTTTATGGTACAAATGTGAAAGACATTTCCAAACGTTTTAATTCCAAAATTGATGTCCGATGCAATTCACTATTTTCACTTGTACCACATAATCCTGTTTGTCGACAGAGGAGGAACAGGGGTTCCTGTATGAGTATGGGAAGGGGGTTGTCGTATTATGTTTTAATAATAGGAACAAACCAATTTCACAAATAACATCAGCTAAAAGAGTCCATTGTACGATTCCGAGTGTATCATAAATATGTGTTAATGAATGACTACCAAATAGTGGTGACACCAGGAGTTCGTGAAAAGGTCAGTGTATCCCCCCACAACCGTGGTACCCATCATAAACACAGGCAAGTGCAAGTGCACGTCAATCGTTCAGCTGAGAGAACATATTATAGTACTAGTCAAAATAAGGAATTGCATCGGACATTTTAATGAAAGTAAATACATACCTCGGAAAGGATTTGTTGCTGCTTCCTCTGGTGAGAAGCTGTAGTGGTAACAGTGAAAGGGATTTGATCCAGTATAATACTCAAGGACAGTAAAAGGGTAGTCAGAGGAAATGGAGGAATATAAACTGGTAACTGATGATGTTATAGCTCCTACTTTGTATCCACTGCCTGATATTTCTTCCCAGTCTACTGAAATGCGGTATTGATTCTTTTTCTGAATCACCACCGAGTCTGTCTTCCGGGTACAAATCTTGAGACCATAAGAAGACCCCAGACGTGGCACATATTCGCGGGTGTGATTGACATACGATTGCACAGGTGGAATAGTAGCAAAGACACTTTTCGCACCATCTCGTCTAATTAGTGTCACCATAACCGGTCGCGTGGCACTTACATGAAGACTCCTATAGAGTGTTTGCTGATAGAAACGTTTCTGACCAAGGGAAATTGCTGCTCCACTATTGAACTTTATCTGCGTGTCACGTTGCTCTGTGGTCACCTGAAGTTGGCTATGTCTTACAGGAGTTTCAACAACAACAACAAATTCCTGGCCGTAATGTTTGACAGGAAGTAGTTGATCATATGCTGTATATGTGTTGTTGTAAATAATCCCAGCATAGACGGCTCCGCTGTCGCTCGCACTGATCACAGTTCCATTGATATCATACTGGGTGAGTATCGTCAATGTTTGATAGGGACCAAGGCCAATGGAAACACTATCGCCGTCTCTGTAGTTGTGACCGTTGACGTTTACATACCCTTGTGCAATTCTCCAATTGATCTCCACATCAGTGCTTTGGTTGTGTGTTGCCACCACAAGTAGTTTCTGATACTGCCCAGTATACTTACTATCAGATGGCACTATGTACTTGGTTCCCAGTGCAGATATTGGTAGGGGAGAGAACCTACTTTCACCACGTACTTCTATTAGCATATCAGCATCGCTGGGACTTACAATAATGACCTTTGGTTCAATAGCACTTGCAATCTTCATTTTTTCATCAATAGACACTGAGGTAGATCTGAATGATCCACATTGTGTTGATGTTCCATATGCGAAGTGAGGATACTGTACCTGTAAAAGACCTCCAGTCTCTCCAGCTATTGCATAAACATAGGTGTTTCTCGTCTTGTATGCCATAACTGTCAAGAAGTCTTCACCTGTTGAAGTTAAAACAAGATTACAAAGCTGCGTATATTCCAACCATCCGGTACAGAAGGAGGTGCTCAAACAACCAATAAAGGATAAAACGAAGTCGGATAAAATAAAACATCTGTAACCAACACGCTTGTAATAGATAACCCGATGTGACTCTGGGATAAAATTGGTCCCAGCTTGGGAATCTACAATATGTAAGGACCAGTGACTTGGTTGATGGTGATCCATCGTGCCCCGAGGGCGTGTGGAGCTGTTCGTAATATCCAGCACGGGTTTGCCTGGTCCAGATTCGATTAGGTACAGCCCGCTGTGTAGTTTATGAATAATGTATGCTGACTGCGGTGGTAAACAACATTAACTCACTGTCAAAACCAATATTATTTTGGACACAAGGACGAAAAAAAACAAGGATGTTTTACCAGACAAGACACAGAGGGAAGGAAAAATCAAAATAAGAGTTCTGAAATGTCTAATAACTATAATATTATTATAAAATGACGGCCAAAAGAAAAGTTACCAACGGTATGTCTAGGGTAAAATATGACCAACACAATTTGTAGAAGCAATAACAATTGTATTGTAGAAATTCATCATTCAGAACAGTAAAATGCAAATTTACTAATTCAACAACAAGGGGTCATTCGTCCAGTATTCGATCAACAACATTGGTTACAAATTTAAGGTGACGACGGCCCAGACCGTTCAATACGGGATATGACCTTTATGAGCGGCAATGCATCTTCGAATGCGGCGTCGAACTGAGTAGACAAGCATCCTCACATCGACTGCAGGTTTCTGATTCCATTCCTCACGGAGGGCAACGATCAAGGCTTGTCTCGGGAAGGGAGGATGTTGACGTTTCCGAAGACGACGCCCCAGCTGGTCCCAGAGATGTTCTATGGGTGACAGATCTGGTGATCGAGCTGGCCACGGCAGGACAGTCACGTTGTTGGCTTTGAGGAAGTCTTTAGTAATACGGGCTTTATGGGGTGTGGCGTTATCTTGTTGGAACACCGTCCGTTGTTGACGCTTGATGAAAGGAAGAACCACTGGCCGTAAGATATTGTCAATGTAGCGTTGTGCTGACAGATTGCCTTCGATGATGACAAGTTCTGTGTTCTCGTCCCCGCAAATGCCGCCCCAGACCATCACACTTCCGTTCCCGTAAGGTTCCACCTCCTGGACACAACAAGGTAATAGATAATAGTTCACCACGTCGTCGATAAACTCGCGTCCGCCCATCAGGTTTGAAGAGTTGGAACCTGCTGTCGTCACTAAACAGCACTCGCCGCCATTCCCTTGGTTGCCATCGCTGAGTTTGCCTGCAGCACGTCAATCTGGCACGTCGATGTTGACGGGTCAAGGTCATGCCCTTGAAAGGGCGATAAGCCCGGAGACCATAATGTCGTAGTCGGATGTCCTAAGCTGTTGGCAGCTGATGACGTCACAGTAAGAAATCTGTTCCTCAGATGAAGTACCCGTAAAAAGCGGTCATCCTGCGGGGTCGTGACCTTTGGTCTGTCACTCTGTGGTCTGTCTGCGGTTCTGCCAGTCTGTCGTAGACGTGCGACCAGTCTGGTAATGGTCATTTTGGAGCAGTTCATGTCAATGGAAACCGCTCTCTGTGTCGCTCCTATCTGCAGCATACCTATGGCTCTCTCCCTCTGGACATTGGTCAGTCTTGGCTTGTTCGTTGGTGTTAATCATCGCAACCAATGATAGGGAACAGATCCGTGCGTAATTTATACCCGGAAATTGCACGATAATTTGGGAGAGATTGTTTTAAAAAAATGCTGCAAAACACCAATATCTCCCAAAATCCGTAAAGCACGTGCAAAGAACGACAGAGAATATGAAGGCTGTATTCGTGAGACGTGTTCTTTACTGTTTTTGAACAGGCTGGCATCTTTGTTTCAAAGTGGCAAATCAGTTAATGTTGGTAACGTTTCTTTTGGCCCTGATCAGTTCATGACCAAGTCACGACGTGTATTAAAAGGACGGTATGACAGATGAGGGAGTGTATCTCCATAAATAGCGCACAATTACATGACAGAGTCGCGATCCTCCCAACTGATCTTGAATTATATGACGTCAACGCCAGGGAATATCGAGTCTCGAATATCTGCCGTAACAGATTTCACCGGGCTCTTTAAAGGCAAAAACCAGTGATGACATCAGGTTTACGAAAAGGGCACGCATGTCCTGTCCTACCGGTCGCACCCGCCATAACATTTGCATAACAAACACGTTTTAGCTGGCACATGTCCAACAAGCTATTTAAGGTTGTAAAGGATCCCAAACTGGCACTTGGCTTTGAAGATATTTTTAGTTTGTTTGCTGTTTAACGCTGCTGTCAACAATATTCAAGTTGTGTAACCAGTAATCCATGCTTGTAAAAGTCGATTAAACTGATTTTGAGGTCAGACTTTGTGATGTAGACGATTGTGTTTCATCGTTACTCGATGAGTTGATCATTGCTCGTGCATTTAGTTATGGTTGGATGGTCTAGGTCCATTATCCTAACTTTATGACAAGAGAGACCAGTGGGTGATACTGTGAGCTACGATCCACGCAGTCGGTGGACGTCGATACGCTATCAACCAACTCGGCAAGTGTGACCAGCTGACTCGACATATACACAGCTTGCTCAGGTCAAATCAAACCAGGTACTAAAGTGATTACTAGAGGCTTCAAATTCCTGAGGCATCATATTCGACTCTCACTTTCAGCAATTTTTGACGATATTTCGAAAACAAACAAGTTTAAATCTTGAACAACTTTCTTGAATATAAGTTGTAATTCATCAATTCAACAAGTTCCATGTTTCAAATGAGCTACAGACCCGTACTTACCACTGACACAATGCATTGCCAGAAGGAGCAGCGTCAAAGGAAACATCTTGTCAATGATCCTTGCAATACAGGGTCGAAATTCGACAGCTCCCCCCAGTTACAATGCTGTGTGAAGCCAAGCATAGGTATGTGGTTTGAAATATACTGTCGATACTGTAAGTAACGAGGGACAAATTGAGAGTTCATACCGACTCATGCCCAAACATGCGCATTTGTATATCACTTCCCTCCTTGTTTAAACAACCCAAAGGACCGCCGTTAAAGTAAACACGTTTTTAAGAAAACAGCAGAATAGGTGTCAGTGTATTGTACAACCCAGCCATATTGATTATGTCAATATAAAATGTCGAGTGATTGTTGACATCTGGATTGCCTGTTCAGCGTGTGTCGTCGCATACATCTATTTATAACTTATCACGACGAGGGGTTGACACCCTACCACCAGTAGGCAATTGCAAGTCGTCTAAAGCGTCGCGATTGGACACGGAGAGTAACGTCCCTTATAATTGTCAGAAAGATATGATCGTGGTTTTGAATCCGGGTTTCTATAATTGGTAGAATCATACCCTGAGATCAAACTGACACAACTGAAATATGCCTAAAATGGCACATCCACACATTCTCTCTGTGATAAGGGTTAGGTTTTGTCGTTTTTTTTAAATTTAGGAAATAAGGAAACTGTGAAGAGTATCTTAAGCTGTGTGTTCAGTTGAAACACACATTTTTGCGATCAAGTACATGTGTGGCCAAACACTACAACCTAAGTAATTATTATGATAAGTGAGCAAGATTAAAAAAAAACATTTGACGGTTCAGGGATTTGGAAAAACGCTAACCGATCATGAGCACAAGGCATGTGAGTACATGTGGACATCGGGTCAAATAGGCACTTAAATAAAGAGCCCCATACACTGGTTGCCGATAGAAACGTTTCTCACAAAGGGAAGATGCTGTGCCACTATTCAACATGATCACGTGGTCTGTGATCACCTGAAGTTGGCTTCATGTGGTGGTTTCAAAAGGAAGAAGAATTCCTGGCCGTAATGTTTGACAAGGAGAAGTTGATCGTATGCTGTATACAGTGTATATGAGTTGTTGTAAATTATCCCGGAATAGACGGCTATGCTGCCAAGAGGGGCGGTGGGGTAGCCAAGTGGTTAAATCGTTGGCTCGTCACGTCGAAAACCCGGGTTCGATTCCCCTCATGGGTAAAATGTGTGGAGCCCATTTCCGGTGTCCCACGCCGTGATATTGTGGAATATTGCTAAAAGCGGCGTAAAACCATACTCACTTACTCTCTCACTCATGACTGCCAAGAACTATTCACCTTTTGATGTTAAAACAAGACTACAAAGCTGCGTATATTCTTACCATCCTGTACAGACAAAGGTGCACAAACAGCCAAAAAAGGATAAAACAAAGTAAGATCAAATGAACATATGCATGACGACGCACGCTTCAACCACAAGGCTGCCCCACCGCCCCGGGAAGAAATAGAGACTGATCTGATACATTAGATTTGAAACTGAGGCGAATCAAAATACGACATCAGAAATATTTAATAACTATATCTGACTGGTCTCGCTCATAATTTTACATGGCCAAGTCACGACTTGAAAGGCCATCATGGAAGGCATGGCAGGGAGTGTATGTACAGAAATAGCGCACAAGTACATGACTATATTGACAGTGGTTATATATATTTATACCTCCAGATTGATCTTTAAAATAAAACATCAACGTAAGAGAATAACGATTATCCACCCACGAAGATTTCACCAGGCTCTTTAAAGGCAAAAGATGAAATTATATAAATGGGTTATTTGTAGATGACACTAATTGTTCGCGAAAGGATACGCATGTCCTGTCCTACCGGTTGGACCAGCAAAACAAAACAAAAAAAACTTTTTCGCTGTCACATTTCAGACCAGATATTTCTTCGCCTGTGTTTTCTTTGATATGTCTCCGAATGCGTTTTCTTTTCTGAAGAACCAAGTGCTGTTTTGATCTTTTCCCTGAATATAATATTGTAAACATTTAATTCTGTCTAAACTTTGTGACAAGGATAAGGCTCACGTCATTTGGTGTTTGTTTGTTGTTAAACGCTGCACTCAGCAATATTAAAGCTGTATAACCAGTACCCCATGCTTGTCGGAAGATTCATTTAAGATTATTAAGTGGTCCGACTTTGTGATGTGGACGATTGTATTTCATGTTGCCCGAAGGAGTTGATCATTGCTCGAGCATTCAGTTAATGGTTGTATGGTCCAGGTCCATTATTTTATTTATAAGAAAAGACAAACCAGTGTTTGATACTGTGAGCGACAATCCACGCCGTCGAGGGGCGTTGACACGCTATCAACCATGTCAGCGAGTGTGACAACCTGATTCACTGAGTCGACACAAACCACAAATATAACTTGCTAGGCATCAATTTTTGACGATATTTCGAAAACACATAAGTATAAATCGCAGACAAATATGCACAAATTTGATGATACATTACATGGACCATGTGCATTTTGATGTTGTGTGTCATCCTTTGAATTTAAGGGAAAAACTATTTTGAATTTCAGTTGTCTTTTGAAACAGGTAGATGTCGCACGTCACCCGTCGCCCACCCAGAATGATTGGAATAGAAACTTGAAAGAGTTTAATGTACTATTTTATGTAGAACCTGAAGTGTTGACAGGGTGGCATTATTTTCAGCACCTTTCGATCCTAAATAGACAGCAAATCAATGACGACATTACAGTTTCCGTTATGTGTGAACGCAAGATGCAGCTAGCCAGTGAGCAACAGACTTTCATGTTTCCTACACACTGTCAATAGTCTGAAAATATAATAATTTCTAGCATCACAATCAGTGAATATTTACAGCAAAATTAAACACTCGTAAAATATATCATGCTGTTCGTATTCAAACGTATATAGCACGGACTAGCCAGATTGGGCTAGTATGGAGGTAAAGCATAGTAATCGCAAGTCTTGCGCCACGTGTTTTACTTTCACCATTCATCCTTTGTAACTGTAAGAAAAAGATATCTAAAATAACTAAGGGTCATCAGAAGATGACAAATCCCGTGGCCCCCACAAATTAGAAAGAACAAATCATCTGACTGTCCAACCCTAACTAGCTAAAGACACCACTTCAGCCCTCGATTAATAAATGTTTCTAGTTTGGTTGAAAAATGCTGTATAGGTATTTAGTTCTGTTCAAGAAACGACGCCTACTTCCGTTTAAGTCTTCAGCCCTTAGTTAATACATGTACTAGGTTTGGATGAAAAGTTTTTCACGTTTGTAAAGCTGTGCTACGGAAACGACACCTATCCTCACCCTTTGAAAACAAATTGTTTCCATGGAAATTGAGATAATCCCCAAAAAGCTGACTGGCTGACTGACTGATTGACTGACGCACGTCACCCGTCGCCCACCCAGAATGACTGGAATAGCAACTTAATTAAAATCCTACTGCTTTAGCCAGTGTGTGGGCGATCAGCTGTTCATCCACGCAGTTTTGAAACAGGTAGATGTCGCACGTCACCCGCCGCCCACCCAGAATGATTGGAATAGACATTTGAAACAGTTTAATATTCTATTTTATGTAGAACCTGAGGTGTTGACAGGGTGGCATTATTTTCAGAACCTTTCGATCCTCAATAGACAGCAAATCAATGACGACATTACAGTTTCCGTTATGTGTGAACGCAAGATGCAGCTAGCCGGTGAGCAACAGACTTTCATGTTTCCTACACACTGTCAATAGTCTGAAAATATAATAATTTCTAGCATCACAATCAGTGAATAATAACAGCAAAATGAAACCATCAGAAGATGACAAATCCCACAGGCCCCACAAATAAGAAGGAACAAATCATCTGACTGTCAAACTGGAAACTGGAAACTGGAAAATGCTTTTAAAGAATTCCTAAACAGCAAAATACACCACTTCAGCCCTCGACTAATAAATATTCCAAGTTTGGATGAAAAATGCTGAATAGGTATTTAGTCCTGTTCCAGAAACGACACCTACTTCCGTTTAAGTCTTCAACCCTGACCGACCGACCGACCGACCGACCGACTGACGGACTGAGTTTTAAGCCCATGGCCCTTACTTGCTCCAATGTTCACACTGTTGTCGAGCGTATGCCATGACAAATAAACGTCAGTAATATGAAAGAAAGAACAGGGTAATCTTGAACTTCTTTTGTGTAGATCATATATCTCAAAGATCGGGGCTCGTCTCCATTACTTTTCAGAATGGCGGATTCACGGACTTCTATACTGAATCTTATTTAGCAGCATCATGAAACGTTTCTGCTCTTAGTTTTTTCGAACAAAGCTGGAATTACTGGACTCGATCGTAGCGCCACCAGTGGCTATTACCAATTACGTCCCTTTTAAGCCTCTCATATGGACCAATCAGATTCCACCTGTCGTATCACGTGCGTTTGTTTCACACATAATGGTGGCGCCCAGTCAGGACGATCTAATCGATAATCGAGATCTATATTGTGATAAAACGAGTCTTACATCGCGAAATGCATCAAATCACGTCAGCACCTTGATTAAAAACATGAAAAGATTTGGAAAATATCTGCTGACAACAGTTGGCGGTGCACATGTTTTGCAAATCCTGCAATCGACCGAAATCTGCAGGACAGTTTACGAACCGGATTTCGATTTCGATGCGCGATTTTGATTGGACTATGCATAGACTCGTTAGTCCAGCCAAAATGTAACTCCATAATAACAGCCTAGTTCGGCAAGGGTGGAAACTGGACTTTTATATCCAGTTAACTCTCTTGCCTTGGGAAGATGAGTTTTTTCCGGTTTTCTAAAAATTCCAATAATTGAGGGGCTCATTTCCATAGCATAACTCATGTACCGTTTGTATTTCAACAAAGGTTTTCTCTATATATTCTACACTTAAACAACGGAAAATCAGTGTACCCGACGATAGCCACTGTCCCCAGTGATCTTTCCACCGTAACACTTCCATCCTGATTTGGCAAAATGTACCATTCAGCTAGTAGCATATTATTCAGGTTTTTATCAGTGTCATGGGTGGGGGTTATGTTTATTATTATCGCCAACATAAATATGTACTATGAATAAATAATAACAACGAACTGTGTCTTTCAACACTTTG